AGGTGTTGAACTCGCGTCAATCCATATGCGTTGAAACTAATGCATTATGATCACGACACTCACACATTTCTCCACGGGCAGAGGCTTCCCACCGTGGAAGTTTGTGAGATCAGAGCGATGGTCGTCAGAGTTTTTCCCTGGAGCAAACACAAACAGAGGTTTAGTCTTTAGTCATGTCTGAGAATAAATCCCTTTAAAATGCTAAAATCTGGAGAAGTTATTCAACTATACACAGCAACCTCTAGATTTAAAGACCTGATATTGCCCATGAAGATAATATTTAATTCACCAAAAGACATTTCTATGAAAAAGCTATGATGACGATATGGACATGTTTACAGTCCATATCGTCTGTTTACATGTTTACATGTGTGAAATATGCATGTGTGTCTGTGTGTGTGTGTGTGTGTGTGTGTGTGTGTGTGTGTGTGTGTGTGTGTGTGTGTGTGTGTGTGTGTGTGTGTGTGTGTGACTCACAAGCCCCATGTCATCTGCCAGGATTCCCCCACGAACTCTGTCTGGTATTTCTTTGGCAGAGAAACAGGTCAGGCTGTTGTAGTACAGCTCCCCTCTCTTCTCCCAGAAGGGCGGAAGCACAGACTTGTTCTCCCGCGCGCACATCCAGGACAGCGCCTGCTTCTGGTGAAGCAGGAGAGGAGTGCCCACAGACTGCAGAGGAAAAAGAGGAGGAAGATCACAACACTGAGGCATGGACAGAAATACACAACAACTATTGTTAAAGGTCACATATTATCCTCCTTTTCAACAAGTTGAAATACGTCTCTGAGCTTCTCAAAACATGTGTGAAGTTTCTCATCTCTGATCTTGTATTTGATCACTCTATAAACCCCTCTTTTTCAGCCCTGTTCAGAACAGGCTGTTTCTGTGTCTGTAGCTTTAAATGTAAATGAGCTGTGTCTGACCACGCCCCTCCGAAAGGGCTTGGGTGGCTTGGGCTTTCTTACACCATGTCCAATTGTTTAAGGTGAGAAGGCAGACTCAGAGGGCAGAACAAACAGCTAACTGTGGGAGTGTCCACCATCTGGGGGAGGGGCTACTCCCCTTTGTGATGTCACAAGACGGAGAGGATGGACTTTTCTCATCATTTCGGGGTTTCTAAACAGGCATAATATGTGACCTTTAAGACAATTATTGTGGGATGCAATAAGGTGACAGCTCTGAGGTGGGAAGCAGATTGTCCAAAAAGCAGCTGTCTACAGTGACCTACAAAATGTACAGTATCAGAATAAACTTCACTTTTTCTAAATCAGTGGGATTACAAACAGCCAGAAGACTCTTAATTAAAGGGCTCGAATGATGATCCTGTAAAACAGACTTGTCAAAGACATCTAACACAGACATACTCTAAAGAAATATGACGTCTACACTCATTTCCATACAAACAGAAACAATCAAATCATCACTTATTGCCAAAATGATGAACCACAAACCCATCCAATAATCACCTTGGCTGCTTCTTTTTCTCCATCTTTACTCTCCATCAAGCCGTCGAACAGGTTGTCGAATGCATTCTTCAGCTAAAAGAAAAGAGAGTGTGTGTGTGTAAGACAAGACAACGACGTCACACCTGCTGCTTGATTTTTTATAAAGTTTACAGTTTGACACCTATGTTTACCCATTCAACTTAATTCAATCATTAGAATTATGAGACAGCATATTTGCTAGGTAAGTCAGATTGTACAGTCACTTATTGACTTGAGAGGATTTCCCTCAGAAGACCAAAACAAAGGCTAAACTAAAATGTATTTATGCCAAATAGATGTCATATCAACAGCAGGGTCAACATTAACTAAGTGGATTACCTCCTCTGCCGTTAGAGCGATGGTCAAACCTTTTTTCGATGCCAATGCACGAGCAGCTTGACTATTATATGACTTCGGATTTGCACCTGAAATCAAACACATATAGAGATACACACACACACACACACACACTAAACCGTGACATTTCTGACAATGACAGATGACGCATCAATGTGGGCTATATGGCAAAGAATCCAGATTAAAAAGGCTAAGTAAGCATGTTTCCCATTTTTACCTGTCGATTTGCTCCCACTTGTGTTCAGTTTATATCCGCGACGTGCCATGCTTTCAACCACGGCATTTTTGCTCTCTTCTTTCCCCCAGAAGGAGAGCATCACTGGCATGGTAAATGAGTTTTTGGTCCCTGAATGCACCACCCTGGTGCAGCGGAAACAATACATGTAATGTTTTAATGGCAATGCAATCACATTGGACTAAAAGCTCATTGTTTAGAACAAGAACAGAAAACCTGTAAAGGGAACATTTTCCTCTCTCACTTTCAACATGTCAACAGGTAAATGAAACTCTGTCACACTACTACTCACCCCTCTACTTTTGCCAAATTGTTGTCCATGACGTGGGCCATAGCCGCTGCCAGCTCTCGCTTGATGTGACCCACCTGGTTGCCATAAATGTTGGCGACCATCACTGCATTGCGGTCGTATTGATTCTGAGGCTCCCTCACTAAACCGACCATTTCCCCTTGATTCACCTGTGCAGAGAGGCAAACACAGATCATTTCAAGTGCATCCAAAAAAAAAAAAAAAAAAAAAAAAAAAAGAGCTTCACTTTGTGGCATTCTTGTGTGTCACTGCGTTTGAGGAATAAAGGTGACCCTGATTGAGTCTCACCACTCCAGTGTAGTATCTGAGGCCGACCACAGTGCCCTGCAGGTTGCCAAACAGCACGCTGCCGTCTGCGTCCGGCTCCTCAGACGCTGCAGCTCTGATGGCCTGCGACAGGGTCTCTGCATTGGACTCATTTCGGTCCGCGAAGAGGTCCACATCACTGTACCTGTTCCAGCCGAACCCCCACCTGCGGGAAAACATGACACCTGGAGCACACAAAGAAACACACACACAGACAGACAAAAATAAGAAAAACATTTTTTGAAGAGACCGGAGAGAGCAAATTTAAACTGATCACACAACCCTTAAAAAGCTGTCTCGAAGGTGCACATTGATTATGCAGCAGGTTGAAAATAGAGATGCACCAATTGGGAAAATCAGGGCTTACGCCGATACCGATGTTTGAAGTAGCGATTTAGCCGATTGCCAATTTCGATGTTTTGTCCATTCTTTTGGTGTAAGACTCCCACAACACATTGCCACCATTATCTTTCATGTTTGACAATGAAAAAGAGTCAAGAGTTTGTTCAACAGGTGACTTTATCTGCCCAATAAAAACCTCTTCTCAGTAGATTAGGCACAACAAATAAACATCGGCTACTGATATCGGTGTGCCACATTATTTGCCGATGTTTGTCAAAAGGGCCAATATCGACCGATATCAATGTATGTATGCATCCATAGCTGAAACTAGAAAAAAAAAACTGTGAGGTAGTCAGCTGTCCATTGAGTAGGTGATTTATAAAAACACAATGAGCATTTAATCCAATGTGATTGCATTGTTACAAAAGCATTGCATGTATTTCTATGCTGCACCAGGGTGGTGCATTCAGGGACCAGAAACTCATTCACAATGGAACTACAAAAAAATGTAAAAAGGTACACATGTGTCACCTAAATGACACCCCTCAAGAACACAGGTATAACGATGCAGTTCATATGCAGTTACATCAAGTCAACAGGTGATACAACAAATCTGCAGAAGTTCAGGTGGGCAAAAGACCCTTCACCAAATGAAAGTTCACCCACACCTGAAGCTGCAGGTAGAAGTTGAACTAGACTCTGAATGAACCCTATAATGTATTTTATCGTTTAGAGTAACAGGTCACTCGTCAATATGGAAACACAGATTAATCACGTTTCGTAGATAAATAACGCATCCTAAGAACAGCTTTCCGTGCACGATATTGTCAAGTATTCATATCTGACAAAGAGTTTGATGTAATAACAATCAAAGGTTTCGTACTTATTGTCCACCAAAAGGCGACTGTTGTTTGTCAGAGGAGCTTTTGTGTATCTGCTCCTGATGTTGTTGCTAGCTGCTGTTCTTAAAATCAGGAAGTGTCAAGTTACCTGTAGTTACTCTGCAACTCTTGGTACTCAACTTCAAAATAAAATATTTGTTTTTAATCACTATTTTTTATTATAATGCCCCCAATTTTTTTTTTTTTTTAAGGAACTTTGTTAACTATTAACTACAATCATTATTTGTACCAGTTGTTGTGTTTGGTTTACGGAGATAAAATAATCAACAAAGGCTCTGGTAGATCATCAAATGTGTCAATGTGAGGAAGTTATGCCAACCTAAACTTAATTTTGGACGTGTAGATACCGTGTAATTTTCTATTATTGTATTTTTTTTTATTTAACTGAAATACTGAAGTAAATATGTTTGATTTTTTTAACTTCTATTTTTATTTTTAAATAATTATATTCCCTGTTTCCTGTTTTCTTGAGCTGCTGTAATGCAAAAATTTCCCCCATGGTGGATCAATAAAGTTTATCTTTATCTATCTTTAAATCGTAGACAGTAACAATCAATCAATCAAACTTTATTTATATAGCTCCTTTCAGACAAATTAAATTGCAGTTCAAAGTGCTTAACAAGAGTGCAGAAAAGTTATTGACAAAAAGTAGTTTATAAAATCATTGATAAAATCATTGAGAGACTAATGCACCCCAATAAGAATAAATTTTTTTTTTTTTTTAAATAAAATAAAATAAAATACGACACATAAAAGCAACAAAATATTAAAATAAATACATAAGAGAAAACATATTGAAAATTGCCGTAGGATAAAAAAGACAATACAGTAATGTTAAGATTTGAATTGATATAAAACACGATATAAAAGCCAGACTGAATAAATGAGTTTTATCATGTATCACGGTATAACCACTATTTGGAAGCGCCACAGATTTTATTCTGAAATCCCATTCGGCTTGTTTCCGCTCACATGTCAGTGAACTCCACCGGAGGTAAAGTCCTGCACACAGACAAGCCACGGTTTACGCGCCCTTCACACTTTGTCCAATGAGCGCTACGGAAGCCGCGACGGTACCGATTTCCAGAGGGTTTTAGTTTCTACGACGTTCCGCTTCCTCCCATGAGCGCAAGGCTCCACCTCCACCAGCCTCAGCTAAAGACCGGACAGAGAGAAGTTGTGAAAGGAAGCAGTCGGAATAAAAGTACATGTGTTAAAAATACAACATCGTATTTTTGTGTTTTCATCCCCGGGGGGAAGTTTGTGACACCTCGGCGTTGAATCTTACATCGAGCCGAAGAGAAAGATCCGCAGAGACGGGGCGGAGTTTCGGAAGTTTGTCCGGAGTAGGCTACGGCTGATAGCCTACTTTTTGGGTTGACAACAACCGGTGAGTTTAATTTGCTCATTCATTAGTCTTAAATACAAGTTACCTATTTATATTTTAATAGGTAATAACTTCTTCTAGCTTTGCTTTTCGTATAGTAGCCGAAGATTAACTGCAGCATCTTCCTCCACATTTCTTTTTGAGGAGACACTTTTCCTGTCTCTTTCAGAGGATACAATTAAATTACAACAGGCAACAGATCCAGATTCTGGTGTTGGTGGGATTTGTGGCTTTCTTTCTTTCACTTAGCAGCAACCAGTGCTTGTCTACAGGGACTTTATGCCATTGTAATAACATGTGATCATCGACTGTGTAGCCTGCAGTCAAGGCATGACCTAAATTAGGCCTCAATTGTCCTGTGCACAGAAATATCTCTATTATTATAATCTATCTAATGTTTCTGTCGTGTAGAAATGTATCCTTAATCTTTACTTTAACCATAGTTTGATTGTAATTATCTAATCCCTGCAAACAGAACCTTCTTGTGCACTTATTTTGTAATCTTGGCACCCTGGATGAGCTTCTAAAAGCCTTTTAGGACCCTCATGTTAGGAAGGTAGAAGATTCATCATTACAGTGTTGATTGAACCGAATACGCTTATTTAGACTTTGAATAGAGAAAACAATCTTGAGATTTGTTGAGTGCACAGTGCATCAAGCAATCGGTTGCACTTAATCTTTTAGTCGGCGGGTTTCAAAGCAAGGGAGTAGTAATCATTTATTTCAGTCACAAGAAAAAACATAAACATCTTGAGCGAAAAGGTGTAGGCTGAAGGTTATCACGCCTACCCTTATTACAAATCATATTATTTCAGACACTACTAGTTTGGCTGCAAAAACAAAACATATCAGAAGAATTTCTTTCAAAATAAAACAAGGTACTCAAAGCAATTTGAATACCTTGTAAATCAACCACATACACTTAAATTATTAAGAAGGTAGAAGATACAGTTCATCATGACAGTGTTGATTGAACCAAATACGCTTATTTTTTTAAATTTTTCTTTTATTTGTCAATTTTATTTCATTCAAAAAAAAACCAATAAAGTTAAGAAAAACAAACAAACATAAAATCTCAATTTTGAATGAAAAGGAGCAGAAAGAAGATTAATCTTATAACATCGGCCCCTCTTTTACAAAACAGAACACTTAATTCAAAAACAATTTAAATTAAATTGGCAAACACAGCCACTGGCAGCCCCCCCCCCGTAAGTCCTCCTTACCAATTCATTATGCACAAAGTATATCACAATACATTTTTATTACAGCATCACGATTAAAACAAAACAAAACAGTATCTCACTGACATATTTCCACATATTTATTCAACAAACTGGCTTTAATTTTTCTTAAATATCATATTTGATTTTGATTCTTTAGTTTCTCTGTTGAGATTGTTCCATAAACCGTATTTAGACTTTGAATAACACATAACAGAAAACAATCTGAGATTTGTTGAATGCACGGTGCTTCAAGCAATTGGTTGATCTTTTAGTCGGCGGGGTTTCAAAGCAAGGTACTCAAATCAATTTGAAAACCATGTAAATAAACCACATGCACTGAAATTATTAAGACTATTTGCTGTTGGTCTGTTACATACAACCCCCATAAAAGCTACACCATGTGGAAAAAGTTCAAATGGGGTCCCGCAGGTATCACTGAACCACTCTTTTCACGTTCTAGGCCAGTGCTCCCAACACAGCAGACCGTGCCTCCAGGTCCGGGTGGTACAGGGACGTTTTGACACCGAGGTTGGCGATTTGATTCATGAAAATGTTGACACAGAGGTGGAGGCAGCTGCTTGAATAACAGGATAAGGTGTTCAGTGTAGGCGTGCAGCTGGGCAGTGTGTTTACTCTTCAATCACTGCCAGACCTATAATCAGTGAGACGGTTGTGAGCTCAGACAGTGTAGTGTGTTTTTACTCTGTGTGTGTGTGTGTGTGTGTGTGTGTGTGTGTGTGTGTATTTACGTGTTGGTCTCAGTGAATGAATGAAGGTAAAGGTGTGTAGAGAGTGTGCTCGTGCGTGTTTTGCGTGCGTTTTGGCTTCATCACTCTTTCCAGGAAGTCCTCCACTATATTTCCTTTTATAGAAGCTGAATACAAAAGGCTTTGCTGTCCACTTCCTGTAAACAGCTTCGCGGCTGTGTTTGCTGCGCTCTGATTGGGCACCTCGGCCCTGTGACCCCCTTCTGGAGCTTGGGGAGTTCCAGGATGAGGAAGTGGGCTTCCCTTGGTGGCCGCCAGCCACAGGGAATAGAAAGTACTCTGATGCAGCAAGAGAGCAAAGAATGAGGAATAGAAATTCGGAAGGACAGATGGATGGTAGAAGGGAGGCTTTGTGAATTGAGAACAGATGACAGATGCAGTTGGACGCCATCTGGATGTAAAATAGTCTGTGTGGTTACCAATATTAGAGCCAGGAACGGGAAGGAAATGAGAAGTTTGTAACTTGAAGTCATCCACATCAGTGGAGCTGTAACAGTTCATAAATCAATACGTACGATAGACAGAAAATCAACCTGCAGATTATAATTTTGAATAATTGATTTCTAAGATGAGAAGTTTGCTCATTCAAAGACACTGAAACCTGAGGATTTGCTTCCTTACTCTTAACTCTTACTCTTCATTTAGCTAAATCGATACCAAAATGTATCTATTTATTTCCTTATTTTGAGCCATATTAAGTTTTCTGTATCCTTCTTTTTTTTTTTTAAATCAATTTCACTAAATCAATGCCATGATTCAAACCCACTTATTAGATTTCACACAGCTTAAGGGGGGGAAGTGCAGTATGATCCAAAGAAACCTGACATGGTTCAGTATTTAAAATAGTTGTGTAGGGGAGATTGACTTACTCTTAAATCTAGCAGCTTTAACGCACCCTTAGTAGTCATTTAAAATGTGTCCAGCCGACAAATAAAAGTCCATCACTTCTTCTCTGGTTGGCTCTTGTTTGGTTCCAATCAACTCCTGGTGGTCCACTCCGGGTTATAAATGAAGACCAGTCAAGACCACCACTGATGGGCGATTTTTTTTTCCCCACGTCATTACTGAGATTAGAAGGCAAACGCCCCTTTCTAAAAGAACAAATCATTTCAATTCATTCATAGTTCGCTGGTTACGGCCGCAACCTTCTTGGTGTTACGGTCAAAGTGAGTGACACGCCCCCCCTGCACACAAGATGAGGATTTTTCAGTGATATTTGTGGTCTTGGTCTTGCCTCGGTCTCTGAGCAGTACAGTCTCGGGTATGTCTTGGTCTCGGTCAGTGTGGTCATGACTACAACACTGAGAAGGGCACACTTTCAGATGATGCATGATGCAGTGGAAACAGTTTTGTACGAAGATTACTGCAAGTTTTCCGCTGAGTCAATCGATCACTATTTATTTGTGCAGCATTAATTACTGTTATCTCAAGACACCAAACAAACAGAGCAGGGATAGTCTGTACTGTTTGTTTTATGACTGACTCAGACCCAACATTAATCCACCATGAGCAAAACACTTGGCAACACTTAGCAAGTAACAGTGGCTGAGGAAAAAAAACGTCCTGAAGCCTGAAACAGAACCAGAATCACGTTGACCAGCGCTCTCAAAAATGGAACCACTGCAGCTCTCTGCTAAGTATCATCGAAGAATTGCATGACCAGTAAATCTTTGGAGTCAATGAGTAACTTGCATGAAATTTGAAACTTGAAATTTCTGCTGATACGATGGAAAATCAATGCAGCAGCATTAGGGAGTGTTTAGTTATACAAACACACACACACACACACACACGCCTGTAGCCCGCGGTGCTGAAGTGTGCACCTGCCTGTGCTACCCTCATTGTCTCTCTGCTGCACTCACACATCTTAGCTCTAAGCTACGCTAAAGATGTTCAACAAGTGCTCACAATGGAGCCCCTGTTGGCGAAGGGGGGGGGTGTGTGTGTGTGTGTGTGTGTGTGTGTGTGTGTGTGTGTGTGTGTGTGTGTGTGTGTGTGTGTGTGTGTGTGTGTGTGTGTGTGTGTGTGTGTGTGTGTGTGTGTGTGTGTGTGTGTGTGTGTGTGTGTGTTAGGGCAGGGAATGTGTGTATGAGACGGGGCCTGCTTGAGGAGGAGCTTTGTGTGTGTGTGTGTGTGTGCGATGAACAGGAGGACACGCCTGCAGCTATGGAATTCCTACTCAGAGACAACTTGTCTCAGCCTGGCCTGCCTGCACCCAACACTTAGTCCAACACACACACACACACACACACACACACACACACACACACACTGGCTTTGAAAATGCACATTAACGCTGGACCGGGTCTAATTTTATCCTGCCAGGGCAAGAATACACTTGTCCCATCCAACATTGTGGAGGAATGAGGCAGCCTGCTAAGACCTGCCCTGAGAAGGCAGAACAGAGAGAAGGAGACTTAAAGAATCAGTGAGAGCTACGTTTGATGAGCACTCGACAAACCACAGCTGGATTTACTGGCTGGGATTTGAAGTCTTTATTGATTTCCTGGTCTTCTGTGAGACGCAGAAGAAGAAACAAAAGGGTAAGTACTTTGCAGCTTGTATGAAAGCATCGAGGTTGACATTTTGAGACGCAAAGAGAGCTTGAGCAAACTCTCATTTTCTGTCGGTGGATTAGCTCGTTGGGTTGTGTTTTGTTTTTTTTGGTCTCACTCATGCTATACGCTAAACTGTTGAACTTTTGAAAGGTTAAGATGTTGAAAGCTAAGCAGCTAACAAACAGACGTCCAGTGATTACATCTTAAGTGCATGATGGAGTTTTAGTATCCATCCTAAAGTGTTGAAAAACAAGTTAAATGAAAGTTTGATAAATGAAAAGGACGATGCAGGGAGGAGGAATAACTTCCCCTTTGGTGAAGTTCGTACTGATGTGTCTTCAGTTTGTGGCCTGGGGACGCTGCAGCTACACGGGACGAGTTGTGTGCAAATGACTTTTGCGTTAACCTCACAAGCCTCGACGCGTGTGCCGGTAAACACATTAATGACATGACTCTATTTCAGAGTATTCTCAGATTCTGAGAGTCGTTCATTGGTTTTGTGTTGTGCTGTCTCTTCGAGGTGAGCAAGGTCAGCTGAGCTTCTGCAGGAGAGCAGGTTTCATGTGTGAATTAGAGGTCACAGGCATTCCTATATACCTGAGCCGCCACCGCTGTTATCCGGGTTTTATACACGCTGTGTCATCGCAGCCAGACACAGGAAGTGAGGAAACCTTTGTTTGCTTCCTTTTTCCTGTCTGTGATGTCACTCACAAAAATAAGTCTGCAGTTTAGTGTCAATGGCACTGCTCGCTCTGCAAGACTGAAAGTGGTGTTGTGGTTGAGGTTTTTTTAGCTCGTGTGTGTGTCTGTGTCTGTATTAAAGTGTGTGCCTGTGTCTGTAATCTCAGTTTTTACCATATTTGGGTAATGGATGACAATGGATGATGTGTGGTAGTGGTGAAGCCATTTTTCAAATCAAGAATAGTGCAGAAATGTTTGAATCCTTTTTGGAGCAGAATCCCGGCAGAGGAATTATTCAAATCAAGAAACAGCAAAAAAAAAAAAAAAAAAAAAGCTTTCTTTCTTTCTTTCTATGTTGCTATATCGTAACTAGAGCCCGACCGATAAATCGACCAGCTGACATAATAGGGCCGATATTAGCATATCCAGTGACTATTGTATCGGCTACTTTTATCACAGATAAACATCGATATTAATAGATTTATTCACCAGTTTGTATTAAACTAGCACTTCTCTTTGACCAGCAGAGGGCGCTTTATGGCTCACAACAAGCATCATCACTCTCCAGAGTGTCAAGCGGTGACGCCCGCACATGCACTGTTACTTTCCAGTTGAGTGACAGTCTTGTCTTGGTTGTATATCTTTTCCACAAGAGTTTGATAACTGCATTTGAGGGATCAATGCAATACATGTTTATGTATCTATCTCTCTCTACAGATACCGGCTGATATATGGGTATCAGATTTTTTTTCTCTCCATAATAACGTTATCGGAAATCCCATATCGATCAGGCCCTAATCATAACGTGTAATTATTTGGTATTTAGTACTGATGCATCCATAACTTAGTCAAACAGCAGCGTTACATGTTAAATAGTTTTGTAATTTAGCGCATGGTTTCCAATTTATGGGATGGTCTGCCTTTAAAATGTATTCATTTTTTATTATTTATTTTCTTTCTCTTTTATTGCAATATTTGGTATTATTTAAAATCGTTGGGCTTTGGATGTTATTAATTTGGAGTTCTTTGAGAAATTGATATCCAAAACATTTTTTTTTATCACTAATCGAACAATCAACGTATCACATATCTGAATATCTGCTGTGTTCACACATGCAGCTCGCCTGAACATTTTGACACATTTCAGGTTTTGTGAAATGTGACTGTGAATTGTTTGCGCAGTAGGCGAGTACCAGACATTTGAACTGGATTCAGACAGTCTCCTGGTGCCAGTGCAGGAATCTGACTGGCTGTGTTGTTTAGCTTTCATTGAAGTTTTCAGACAAATGTTAAGGTGCAAGAGATGCAATATGTGGTAGAAATGTTGTGGAGGAGAATTATGAAGTATGAACTGGAGATGCTAAAGTCAAGCACAAGCACTTGCAAAATTGCTCTTAGGTTCAGCTTTGACTGTCCACTATATAATGTTTCTAAGGTTTTGCACTCACCAGCTCAGTTCTTACTGAGCTTGCAGCTTTTTCACTCGTGGACAAAACTCCTGGAAATGTCCTGAAATTGTGGAACGCTGCATGTAGGCAGGCACACAACCTGATGAATTTTTAATCACAACTGTATCCAGACTTATTCCGCCCAACCCCCTCCTGAAAATTCTGCAAGAACGCTGGCCGAGCCAACGTGTGAATGTAGCAGAAATGATCAGGAAAATTCACAGCAAGCGAGAGTGGACAAGGGGCGCTCGTTCATGAAGCGCCCAATAACACTTTGCCTTGATATGATGTAAAAAAACTGTCATTGTAGTGTCGGACTCAGTTTCTCCATCCGTCTCCTTTAATAAACATAACACTGTTACTTCTGGGAAGTCCTTTTAAAGTCACGCCTTGTCTCCTGAGACACCCCACCCCCCGCCTCCCACCAAAATGTCCTACAGAGAAAACCTCTGAATGTATCTGGAAAAGCATCATTAGGACGATTTTAGGGTCAAGCTGTTCATTTTTAGGGTGCATGTGTGAATAAGGCTGTACTGAGCCTTTACCCCTCCTCTCTCTCTCTCTCTCTCTCTCTCTCTCGCTCTCTCTCTTCTCCTCTCTGCATCCTTTCCTTCCTCATTCATTGGTAACACTAAACGAGACTCAACACGTCACTTTTGCCCGTTCAGCGTTGCTTCCTGTTCACATTCTCTGTTCCCTTCTCTACAACACTCAGTGCTTCTCCACAGGGTCTGGCATGGATTTATTCTAAGGTCTGTGAGTTCTTTCTTGATTTGGCATTCACTGCTATCGCTCCCTGTGTAGTGTAGGCTAAGCTATACTTTGTTTAAAGCAACTTCTCTCTAGCTTTTCGGGCTAACTCAAAGCTTAATCACGCATTGTGAAATGCACAAAAACAGGAAGAAGCAGTGAACAAGTATGGCAGCATTCATTTAACTTGTATCCATTTTATTTTGTGTGTGTGTGTGTAGGTGTAAGTGTGAGTAGATGTGTGACAGCGGAGTGTGTGAGGACAAGCCCCCCGGCCCCCCTGTCAGGATGAGCAGCCAAGGAGGAGGAACCAAAGACTCCCAATCAGCAAATCACAGCTCTCGGCCGCTGCCGTCTGTACCAGAGGAGAGGAAGTCCAGAAACAAGATCATATCCATGTTTGCATCTGAGAAAGGTGAGAGACTGAGAGAACTGCGCTCATGTTTGTGGACACGCATCAGGAGAGAAAGCACATTCGCTGCAGTACATGACCAAAAAAACAGACCCTTGACCTTTATTTGCAGGGGGCAGGAAGAAGGACCGGGACAAGGACAGACCTGAGATCTCGTCCCCGTCAGACTTTGAACACACCATCCATGTTGGTTTTGATGCTGTCACTGGAGAGTTCACTGTAAGTACTCGTTTGAATCCCTGAGATTGTGTGTAAAGTCTTTAGTTAGTAGTTCCTACTTCTAAATGTTGCACCCAAGCGACAACCGCCAGCGATGGAAAAGGAAGCCAATGCAGAAGTGCAGCTGCTTAGCTGAGCTTTGCATGAAGACTGGAAATAGAAAACGACATCCATCATCAGATCTTGCAGAAGATTTCTGCATTTTTTCTTACCACTGTAACTTTTGCTAAATGTTGCTTAAGTGCTACACTCATGATGGATTAAGCTGGGTCTTTGTAATAAAGCAAAAGTAAGGTCTTTTACCTGCTTTTTGTAAAGTGTCTCGAGATAACATTGTTATGAGTTGACGCTATACAAATAAAGATTGATTGATTTATCGTGTAGATAACAGAATCACATCAGTGTAATCATCTCATTCTTCTAAAGTGAGCAAAGCACATTCCCCAAAGTGTTGGACCACTCCTTTACAGTGTGCCTCGTCTACTTCAATACGTGGGAAATGGTCTTGCATTACATGCTATGTAAATCTCTATTTAGTGAACTCTTACGTAATAACTCGCCTACCTTTTATCTGTTGAATGACTAGAGGTAACTTCTTCCTCTGGAGATACTGATTTAAGTAAAAAGTGATTAAAGATTGTGAGTTTGAGCTCTAGTTGTGCCATAAGATTCTTGCAGCTGTTGTTGTATTATTGAAGGGCAAAGGCATCTTGAGCACAGAGTATGTAGGTGATTCAGAAGATTCTTTCATATAAGCGGCTTTTCTCAGAACACTTCTGACAGTCGCACAGAGAGACCTGAGGATTTTATTTAGTCAGCCATTCTATCTGTGCAATCATCATTGATGGAATATGTTTTTTGTTTTTTTTAAATTCAGTTTCCTCACATTGTTTTATGGACAGATGTTGCTTCAAAAGCTTTTCGCTGATGTGTGTGTGTTGGTTTTGTCTTTCTCCAGGGTATGCCGGAGCAGTGGGCCCGCCTCCTTCAGACCTCTAACATCAGCAAATCAGAACAGAAGCAGAATCCCCAGGCCGTCCTCGACATTCTCAAGTTCTACGACTCCACCAGTGGAAAACAGAAATACCTCAGCTTTTCCGCTTCAGGTCAGTTTCTGCAGATTCAGCTGTAAAGTCTCCCGTTATCTAGTGCTTATTTTCAACCGTGCACTCTAAATCTAAAGCGATCGACAACTTGTGCAACGACTCAGGTTTGCAGTATTGATACTAAAGTGGATAAAGATTGTTTCCATTGAGGTTGCTGTCTCTATTTTATTCCATTTTGAATTTAGATAACTATATTTTTTACTCTTATATTGTCTATAAGTAGACAGTGTTTCTCATTCTGAGTCTAATTAAAAATAAGTCCATCTTTTAAAAAGCACAGACTCACACTTCTGTCGTTTCCATCGTCTCAGATAAAGACTCGCAGTCGGTGAGTTGCTCCTCTTTCATTCTGCATTCATAACAGTAATATGACTTTCAGCTTCAGCTTCAGCTTGATTCTGGCTGCCATATTGTTTAATATATGTAAGTATTCCCGTTGTTGCAGCAAGGCAAGCAGGGTACAGGGACTTCCCCGTCAGGTGGCAAGGATGGAGACGATGATGATGATGAAGACGCACCACCTCCGATTGTCGCACCCCGGCCTGAACACACAAAATCAGTGGGTCAAGATAAAAAGATGAATATATATTGATGCTGATTTTTGTAAATGAAAGAGTACTGAAAACATTTCTACTTTAAAACAGTTTGACTTTGTCTGTGCTAAAGCCCATTCAGTTGTGACTTAGAGTCTTTATAGCTGAAAAGTCAGTTATTTTTCTACTTTCCAAATATTATAAGACTATAAATAAGAAGGGCAATATTCTTATTTTTTTATTTTTTTTGTCTTTCCTGTGTTGTGTCAGGTGTACACCAGGTCGGTGATCGACCCGATCCCAGCTCCAGAAGGAGACGCCGCCTCTAAGGCAGCTGACAAGAAGAAAAAGGGGGGAGGCAAGATGACCGACGAGGAGATTATGGAGAAACTAAGTATGTTATACAAACACTGGAAATGATAACATCGCTGGTAGAGCTTTTTTTTAAATTTATTTTTGGCTGCAGCAGCACTGACTACACTCATTTCCTTTGTGACTCCTAGGAACTATTGTCAGTATTGGAGATCCTAAGAAGAAATACACTCGCTATGACAAGATCGGCCAGGGGTGAGTCAGAATTCAGGAGAACGCAAAGATTTAAAAAAAAAAAAAAAAAAAAAAAATCTGCAGGATTTCCTATGTGTGTGTTTGACCGGAAATCCAAACGTAACCAAGTATTTGTTGTGTAAGATTGACAATAGATTAAGAGTTCCAGTTACAGAAAATAGAAAAAGCCTGTTATTTGACCTCTTTCTGTTTTTCACATTCAGGGCCTCTGGTACAGTCTACACAGCCATCGATGTCGCCACAGGACAAGAGGTGAGGATATTTCTTTTACGTCTCTGCCACTATAAAAACACATTCAAGTACCTGTATAACTTGATGAGAAGTTTGATTAAACTGCTGATTAAAAAATCAACAAATATCAACAAATTGAGGATTTCCTGGCATTAATGTAATGTTTGTAATTTATCATAAAATTATCATTATTCTGGTGATGTTTTTTTTTTTCTTTCAAACTCCTCAGCTCATGTTATTGATTTACAATTCCTGATAAAACTCTATCATTTAAATAGAAGAAATAAATCCAGCCAGGATATAAATCATGTCAGTCTCTTTAAATCACTAGTTTAAAGCTCCTGTGAGAATATTTTTCTGGTCATGAAGCAGACTGTTAATAATACTGAAGCCTCTTAATGACCTACAAATGGAAACATGATCATCAGCATCAAGATTGCTGATTTCCATACAGTTACTTTTCATGCCTGTAACTTCTGCCACGGGGTAGGTATCGGGGGGGGCACTAAAGTGACATGATTTAATTAAATGAAGATGTTTTTGGTATCTTGCTTCAAGGTTTTGCATAACAGGAGACAGACCAGCATCGATCTTAAAGCCTTGTTCTAACTTATCCTAATCAGTGTTTAACCACAAAACAGATCCGTAACTCTACATTTTAGCACCACAAGTACCTTTATGAACTCGCTGCACTGTTGATCCTCATATATTACTGTCATCAGACATCTAAAAGTCAGACTGTTGCACGACAGTTTTGTGGAAGCTTTGATGCAGTCTGTAAAAAGATGTCTTCGTTTTGTTTTGAAGTTATATTTTTGGACCTTTTTTGCCGCTATTAGGTAGGATAGCTGAAGAGAGACAGGAAATGTTGGGAGGAGAGAGACGTTCTTTCCTGGGAAACTTAAGAAGAGCTTTAGAAGACATGATGCTCTTTTTACATCTGATATGTTTTTGAACAGATTTATTCATTTTTATTTCTCTTGTCAACTTTAATTCTGCAGTGAGCCAACACTGCTATCATGCTGCCAGCAAGTTGATTAGTTGTACTTTGCATTACCCTGATAACTTGCTGGTGTTTGCTGGACCACATTTAAAAATGATTTTGTGTTCTGCACTACAGGTGGCCATCAAACAGATCAACTTGCAGAAGCAGCCAAAGAAAGAGCTCATAATCAACGAGATCCTGGTCATGAAGGAGATGAAGAACCCAAATATTGTCAACTTTGTAGACAGGTAACAGAGAACCTCACATAAAACAATATGCAATCTAATGTCGCCGACTGTGAGCAGAGAGCGTCATGGACGTGTTTCTTTGTTTTTTTTTTTTTTTAAGTTTCCTCGTTGGAGACGAGCTTTTCGTGGTGATGGAGTATCTGGCTGGTGGATCTCTGACCGATGTTGTGACGGAGACGTGCATGGATGAGGCTCAGATCGCTGCAGTCTGCAGAGAGGTAAGAGTCTTTTCAGACAACTCGGATTTAAAAACTTTATATCACCTATCACAGCATCCTCGTGTGTGCATTTAAGGGCTCAATGGATTCATCCTGTATTTATGAAGCAACTCAGACAAAGCAGAAATTACTTTTAAATTCAGATTACCCTATTGAAACTTCATTTGTACATCATTGAGGACTTACAAAATTGTATGTTGTATGTCGTCTCCAAATTGTTGAAGATTTTCCACTGTTCATTCTGTTCTGTTGCCACCTATTGGTGTATGAAATATTGTGAAAGCGTGTGCATGAGTGTGTCAGATGCTTATATGCGTTTGGGATTCATATCCCCCCCCCTTCTGCATCCAGGTGCTGCAGGCTCTGGAGTTTCTTCATGCTAACCAGGTCATCCACAGAGACATCAAGAGTGACAACGTCTTGCTTGGGATGGATGGATCAGTCAAGCTCAGTAAGGGACACGTGTTGTATATATTTGACCGAGTAGCACATGTTTTTTTCAGTGTTTATATTCACATTTAATCCAGACAGTTTTTAATCAATCTAAAAACATATTCCTTTTCTCTTTTTGCAGCTGATTTCGGCTTCTGTGCCCAGATCACCCCGGAGCAGAGCAAACGCAGCACAATGGTGGGGACGCCGTACTGGATGGCTCCAGAGGTCGTGACCAGGAAAGCTTATGGACCCAAAGTCGACATTTGGTCTCTGGGGATCATGGCCATAGAGATGGTGGAGGGGGAGCCGCCGTATCTCAATGAGAACCCTCTCAGAGTGAGTGTCAAAAACTTGACAATTCTACTACAATTCTACAATTCACTTAGCAGACGCTTTTATCCAAAGCGACACCCATTGCGTACAACACAAGCAAGGATCTAGAAAAGAAGAGAACAATGTCAGTAAGAGTAAACTATCAGCTTTGAATCCGATTGGACACACAGGTGCTGACAGGTTTTGCACAGAGGCAAAGCACAACAGTTTCTCTTTGAATGTTTATTTACATTGCTTGTTTTTGTCTGAACAGTCTGCATGATGTAAAAACAGATCACCAGGTACAACCCATTTTTAATGGACAAATTTCAGATCAGTATTTAATTTCTTATCAAACTCTTGGGCTGCAGCAAACAAATGTACGTCCCAAGTGTAGCTACTTTTTCTTTACTTCCTGGAGGAATTACTTTGAAAACCAGCATTCAGGTCATATTAGTAAATGAGAGCATAATGATTTAAACAAACTAGAGTCAACGCTGTCCATATTTTACTGACTCTGTGCTTTTTGTGTTGATCTTTAGGCTTTATATTTAATCGCCACCAATGGGACTCCTGAGCTGCAGAGTCCAGAGAAGCTGTCTCCGGTCTTCAGGTCCTTCCTGTCACGCTGCCTGGAGATGGACGTGGAGAAACGAGGATCAGGCAGAGAACTGCTGCAGGTAGACGAGTCTTACACGCTGCCTATAGAAACTGCTTATATAAAAAAAGGGATGCAAGATAGCAAATAGCCCTATTCAGACTGATGTTTCAAACTGCGATATTTACGCCCATGTGACCTTTCACCTTCGATCAATGTGTGGGTGCATGTCTGACTGCTCCCTCTGTGCCGTCCTACCACAACGCTGAAAGGCAATGTGAAGTCACAGACTGGGACACAAACATTACACCGTCGCAGAATCAATATGAATGTACAAAGAGGTGATGACGGCTGAGCTTAGTTACGGCACATTTGTGGGGGGAAAAAAAAGCTGTCTGAAAAGAGCTGATGACTGATGCGTAGATATTGGTAAGAATGTCAAACCTACTTTTTTTTTAATCTTCATATTTCACATGTGCACATCTTGTCTGTCTCTCTGTCCGCAGCACCCCTTCCTGAAGCTAGCCAAGCCTCTTTCCAGCCTCACCCCGCTCATCCTGGCAGCCAAGGAGGCCATGAGGAGCAACCGCTAAAGCTCACTCTCATAGGACTTTAAGAGCTGAAGCCAATGACAGCCACATCCGCCAAACCAGCAAGACCGTCAGCAACCTGCAAGGGATGGGAATTTTTCAAAAGCCACAAACTCTGTCTCCTCTTTTCTCTTTGATTCTTTTTTTTTTTTTTTTTTTTTTTTTTTTTTAACTGAAGCCAGATTTATTTTGACCTTTGTGCCTTTTTCTCAACCTGCATACGACCATTCTGTGTTTTCTATTTGTCGCAGCCAGAGCACACCGGAACTGGTTACTGCAGTATGTCTATCAAGCACACAGGATCACCGTTTCAAAGATTCAAATCTATTTTTAACACATTTAAAGCTGTAAAGCTGTAGAGAAGGGTTTAAATGAACGTACTGAATATCTCCATGGTGATTAGAAGTCAGAGAAGTAAAATATGAAACAGGAGAGCAAGGGACCAATAGAATTAGATTAAGGTTTGACATTACAAGGTAGATGGGGAGTTTTTGTTAGGGCTTTTTTAGATATTATGTGACTCAGATCTACAGGGTTGAGGTTATTTATCTCGCAGCGTCAATCTCACTTGGTATTTCAAAGATGACAGTTTAATCAGCGTGCAATTTCTCTTCCTGTATTGCAGTCAATGGTTATTTAAAGTAATAAAAAGATGAGAAAATGAGGGACTAATAGTGCAACCTGGCTTCAAAACTGGACATAAGTGCGTTTGTTAATATAAAATAAATATTAGGTGTTTTCAGACCAAACAGATCTGGGGACTTTTTTGAAGAGGAACTATCCACCAGGGAGTTCCCTAAGAACTACACAACGGGGGGGGGGGGGGGGTGACTTCTTTTTTTCTGTCTGCATTTGCACTGGCATGAGTACCTACCAACTCTGAAGCAGGAGCCAAACAGGTTCCTCTCAATGCTTCATCATTCCTGAGTTGCGAACTCCAACAGTTCCTAGAACTATGTAAAAGTTCCTGCGGTCCAATAACATCTATTGAAACATTTCTAAAGTTTGAACATCAGACATCTTGATCAAAAGAGGATTGTGAGGACTTTGAATTTTCTCGTGTGCAGAGACTGTCACCTTTGCGGCTGGATGCCATGAACACACACATGCACTCTCACACACACACACACACACACACACACACACACACACACACACACACACACATCAGTCAGGGTCCTGTGGTTTTAAAACATGAATCAAATAACTATGCTGTGCAAATACTGTGCTGTACTACAGCCTAGCATGGCGCAGTGCAGTCTTTGTGTGGTGGAAAAAAGCCATACCAGCGTCTTTGTTTGACACTGACTGAAGAATATATCTTCTACAGTTAAAGGAGTTGGATTATTTTCCTATTTTGTTCTCATGTTAGATACCCTAGTCCACTCGATTTTCTGGTGGCAGCTTTGGGTTTTTACCAGGCACCAAAATACACCATCATTGAGCTTGACTCAGACTCTATAAACTTTAATCAAACTCTCTATGCAGGCACTTCTACAAAGCATGCAAAAAACCCACCTGAACACACAAAGCAACATTTCTGTCACTTTGGTGTGTGTCCTCCAGATGTCGTGTTATCCAGCATTTTTCTTATTTGCATTGCACGCTTTACTGTATATGTGTTGGTGCAAGAACAATACAAATAATGTATGACAATGTCTCAATGTGCTAAACTGGAGGATGACTTTGCATTATTTTTGTATATTATGTATTGGTGATATCCTGTTTTTTTTTTTGTTTTTTTTTAATGGCTTTAAAAAGAAAGTATGTAAATCATTTTTTAATGTGTAACTAACAACAGAAGAAAGATTATTTTTTTCCACTTTTGTATTGAACAATTAAATTCTCAGTGGAATTATGGACTCACATCCATAAAATGCCAAAATAAACCTTTAAAAAAAACAGAGCCAAAAGTTCCATAACTGTTATACTCGAGCCAAACCTTACTCATGGAGTGTTTTGGATCGATCTTAAGTTAAGAGTACCAGATTGGATTGGTTTTTACCTCATTACCAGCGTGTTAGAGGAACATTACAAACTTTTTTTTAATCTGACTCATGATGCAGTAAAACCCACCGGCATGGTACTCAACAGGTGTTTTTAAAATAGGAATATACTGTTCTCTGTTTTTTTTTTACCACAACGGGCATCATTTCTTATCTGAGTGATCGAAGAGTTGAATGTGTTGTTGCTCATCATGGAACCAACAACTTGCCACGTTGAATAAAATCCAGAAGGGATGTAAATTATTAATAAAGGTGGACTTAAATTGGCTTGGTGTCTGGATCACTCAATGGGACTTCTGGATAGAAGAGGGGCCAAGGAGTCGCTGAGCTTCTCGGCTGGTGCTAATTAATTAATTACATTTGTCTATGAGTCAATTCAGAATCTATAAAAAGATGCAAAAGTATGAACAATACTACCATAAAGAGAAAAAAAACTGCAGTGAAAAAAAGGCCACAAAGACTTTAATTATAGAGACATAAAATGTTTACGTTTTTAGGACTTTGTAAGGGGTCAAGAGTGACTTAAAAACTTTTCTGTTCTGTTCTGGTTTTTGTTTCCTAATTGTTAACATTCAATAAGCATTCCTTTAAAATATATATGCATGTATGATGGGTCGTTATTTCATATCTGACCTGCTGTATCCAAGATGTGAGGGAGAGAGAGACAGAGAGAGAGAGAAATAAGTCATATTGTAGTGACGATAGTTAACAATGTTGCCTGATTGCCATCTTAGGTTTTTATCACTCTTCACTCTCAATCTTTATTTGTATAACGACAATACATAAATGTTATCTCATGACACTTTTTAAAAGTGCAGGTACTCTTTGTTATAATATCACCGTTTGTGTCTGTTGTACGACAGTGCCACCTAGTGGTTTGAAGTAGCAGTCATCAATGACTGAACACAACACATAGAAACACAAGTGAGGAGGTATAATGAAGACAGGACATTTCACCGTGTGGCCTGTTGTTGTCCTGTATAACTCTCAGGTGTATGACTGAAGTTAAATGTGGAGTATCTGTTTACTCATCCTGTCTCTTATGAAACATCCCTTCACTGGTTGAACATGATTTCTGAGATCCATACTGTAGTAGCTTGATATTGGAAAGGAAAGGCCCCTAATATCACTACACAACTCTTCGCCCTTGAATTACAAAACCTCAATTTGATGAGAACTGTAATGTTGAAGAAGACAGAAATAAAGGGAGAGCGACGAGGGATGACTCACAAAAATGTATGCAGGCTAAAACATCATGCCACCAGCACTCCTCAAAAATGGACATGTTTATTTGTTTAATTTCTCGTCAAAAATACCAATTTAAACTTAATATATGCAACATTAGCGTGGCAAATCCAGAAAAACATCTAATTTTTAGATATTATGAGAGACAAATGAGGCCTGAATTGCTTGTCTTTTTGTAGAAAATAAAATAAAAATAGCAGCCAGTGAAGCAAGCAAACAAAAACACAGACAAACTCGACTTGCTGCAATTGAAGCTTTTATACACTAATTACAATACAAGGCTCATGATTTGCTTGTGATATCTTGAAATAGGATGTCTATCTGGACTTGTCAGGAGGATGTGATTTATATTAAGCTTAATGAAAGAGATATAGAATGAGACAAATACACTTGATAACATTTGAATCTGTGCAGAGCATAAAGCACTTTACTTTCAGCTTCTCTTGACTGGTTTCGGATCACATCACATTACACCTATTTTCACTGCAGTAGCTCAGCTGCCAGATTTGATGCCGAACACGCTGCGCTCCTCGGGGTGACTGTCTGACACTCCCTCCACCTTTTCCTTTTCATTAGCCCGCTTGTCGCTCTTAGCACTTTCACACTTCTCTCTTCCTCACAGCAACTCCCTCGTTCTGGAAACCTCTCAAATCTACAGTGTGGGTAATTTATAACCACAACACCGTGTAGGGAACCGTCTCTCGACATGCTTGCAAAAGGGTTGTTTCTTTTAAATTAAAACAGTAAATTATGTCACTTCTTTCAATTTTTTACAAACATGGTTTCCAGGAGGCCTTTTTGACCTTTCCTTTGGAGCTGCATTGTCACAATTTAGAATATTTAAATAATGGAAAAGGACCTATTTGCAGGACTCACAAAAAAATGATTTAGTTAAACAAAATTATCAACAAAGCTCACTAGTTCAGGAGTCCAAAGATTCATGACTGTCAAACCAAAAACACAAGGGGGAACACAAGGAGAAGCTAAAGGAAATATCCAATTAAAAAAGCAAAACAGGGACACGGGGACGTTGACATACGACGACCTGACACAGAAGGGACAGAACACAGAGAATTAAAAAAGGGGAAATCAATACCGGTTGTGACAGACAAGACAAGCGAAACTAATGGGCAATCAAAGTGGAGGGAAAACACACAAAGGGAGGAAGTAAAAACAAGCCAATCCACGCTTGTTTTTATCCCGGCTGAAGAGATTATTTATTTATTTGTGTTTTTAAATTGATCAAATTGGTTGAGTCTTCGACCTCCTTTATGCCTCGACTGGTGGAAAATGTATTATTTTACTTTTTATTACTTTTTTTTTCCTCAATGTTTTAATAGTTTAAAATAGTTTTCATTCTCTCTAATGTGATGTCCCTTCTTTAATCTCTTTTGTAATCTTTGTGTCATGATGGATGGTAGTCTAGCTGGCTGAAAACAAATCTACCTACCTAATAAAGTAACCTGAACTGGAGACAAGAACTACAAAATAAAACAGGAAGACCACCACTAAACTCAAGAATATTACATTACAGTTTTCCCCCATTGTATACACACACAAAAAGGAACTATGCACAATTCTCTAAGCTTTCAAGCTCATGGTTAAAAAACACGACTCCAAACTACTAAACTCTGAGCACAATCCTATTGGTCTCACTTAAAAACAATTCTGGTAAATGGTAAATAGACTTGAGCTTATGTAGCGCTTCTCTAGTCTTCTGACTACTCATAGCTTTTTACACCACAGGTCACACCTACACATTCACACACTGATGGTAGAGGTTGTTCTGTAAAGTGACCATCAAGAGTAACTAATTCCATTCATACACATTCATTTGCTGCTGACGAAGCAGCGGAAGCAACCTGGGGTTCAAATTTGGATTAAGAATGGGGCGGCTGTGAGTCTTGCCCAAGGACACATCGGATATGTGGCTGCAGGAGACGACTGACTCCAACTGAGCCACAGCCGCCCCATTCTTAATCCAAATTCGCCAAATCTCTGAACACAATTTTCATCTTACAGCAGACAAAGAAACACTAGCCTTCAAAATGCAACACACCCACTTATTGATTGCCAATAAGTCTCATTCACGTTGCCACTGTGCAAAGTTAATTAGAAGAACACTTAAATCATGTGAGAGGGGACCAAAAACTCAATGGAAACCCATGAAAAAAAAATGTATTGGAGTTTACAGAAAAGCACGTAGAAGACTTAAAGAGCAAGAAACTCTCTGGTGTGATGAGGTGGTACTGTTTAGACTCATTTCTAACATCAAGTGTAAGGGAATCAGATTTATATTTTCTGTTTGGAGATTAACCATCTATTCTCTTACTCCCTTAATCTATTCATCCATTTCTGAGATTTATCCTGGAGCTACTACACTACACATTGTGTTGCATGTGATCGTCTATGTATGAAATTTCGACACCAAGGTGGAAGAACACCTGGGACATGCAGATCAACTTCCTCTTGCTGAGTTTGTTATTCACAATGCGTCAGTGAGGTGTTGATGAGAGCCGAGGCTTTATTTATATTGTGGTGTCAAAGAACATGGATGTTTTTAAAAAAAGTTTTTATTCGACTATTTTTGGTAACACAGACTTCTGCTTGTGATGGGGACAAAATCAAATCAAACAAATTCTTTCTAAGGCACAAAAATGCTTATTTTCCTGACAGGAATAACTTTACAGTTGTTTGTATATTTATGTTGTGTTATTCATGTATATATACTTATGTATGTGGATTACGAATCACACATTTATAAGTATTTATTTCCTATAAATGTCTAACATGTTTGTTTTCACTAATCTGCATTAAAAGCCTCTTCCATAAAAAAAAATGTCTCCCTCCTGAATTTCTCGTTTCATCAGTAAAAAGAATGATGAACAACACAGTAATGAGAAACACTGAATACAAGCAAAAGATAATGAAATCCCCGGCCCCTCTGTCAAGTGGAGGACAGAGAGATAGTGAGACAGACAAAAGACAGATAGAGGAGATGGGTGGAGGACGAGTCCACCTTGAAGGAAAACAAATTCACACAGATACACACACAAAAACACACATGGACAAAAACACACTCACATAAGGCCTGGCGCACACACACACACACACACACACACACACGCACGCACGCAAACACGCCTTTTCTATTACAGTGCACACAACAATTTATAGCTGTGCCTTTACTGACCTGCCCCCCCTGATTAATTACTTTTGTGATGCCGTCAGCTGTATTTTTTTTTTTCTTGGGTGTCATGCACACTTTGCCGCACGTGACTGCTGCTCCGAGCTACACATGCACCCACGGACATCTCGGACTCCAGCATCCTGGGAGGCACTTACATAATAAATTCTGTCACTTAATTAACTCAAAGCTGCAGAAGCAGTTTCACAATGGTACTACATGTAAACATTTGGCTAAAGGTTTGATGAGTGATAGGAGGGTGAAAATAATCTACGCGTGCAGAGAAACAAAGCTTTGATGACATTTAGGTTTGAAAAGATTGAGTTAGTAGAAAAGCATATTTTGCAGTGTCCTTGTTTGACTTTTGTTCGTCCTTATAATACACTCAATGGACTCACAACTGGAAATCAAGATATTGCATATAGCTTATTAAATAGTCATTTTTAAAAAGATTTCTTCAAACGGCTGAGACGTTGAGATCATAAATTAAACTACTGAAGAATATTTTCCCAATTTTTCATTAAGGCTGCATTAACAGTTTTTAATCCTGCAGCTACCAGAATGAACGACATCTACAAGAGATTTAATATGTCTGGATACACAAGGAAGGCAATCATATTAAGCCAGAAAAAAAAAAGGCCTGCAGCAAATGTATTCCCGAAGACACAAAAAAAACATGAGCAATAAGTGACCTTTTTTCTATAAAAGGTGCTTTGTAATCAAGTAATTGGTTAAAGGTCTGGAGCTAAATATTATCGGCGTATCATTGCCTGTTCTCATATGCAATGAAATATAAATAAATACAAAAAAAATCCTTAAAAAAAAGTATACATTATGTCATTATCGGGTTGTTGAATCTGTTGCTAGAAAAAAAAAGGTTGTTTTTGATGTTTCACGTTTGGTTTAAAAAAAAAAAGGAAACCATGAACAGGCTTCTTATTGAGTTGTTGATTAGGATTTTCCTAAGCCTTGTGTTCACCACATCCTCAAAAACACAGATAAACACGAGTTAAGAGTTCATTTCCGGGGCGCTGGAAGGCCTGGTGGTTGTGTCATGGAGACTGTAGTCCTCAGGGTGGCCGTCCAGGTTTTGACCCGGACCTGCAGCTTGTCATTCCCCGCTCTCTCAGCCCTGTTTCTGACTCTATCAACTGTGCTATCAATAGAAGAACAAAAGCCCCAAAACAAATAGGAAAAATGAATAAATTTTTAATTGGATGTCTAAACAAAAAAAAATCATTTTCCAATTCCAAAGACCGTGGGGTTAATTTGTAGAATTAATTGCTATAGATTTGGTCTGAATTTGGTTACTAATAAGAAAGGTTATCTTTATTTAGCGCAACCGAAACCTATGAAAGTACGTCTTGCTATACGGGTCCTTATGAATGCTCTTAAGAAATAAACTAAATGTCCTTTTTTTCAAAGTAGGAAATCTTGACCTGCCACATTGTGAAAGCACAATCCTTTCTTTCAAATGACGACAGAATCCCATTAAGCGTCTTCAGATTTAGGTTCACGCTTTCATGGCTCGTCATCTTTAATGTTATTACTGCTGTGACACACGTAATTTTCTCACGTCATTTATAGCAATGACTTTGAAATGTATTGTCCTTCTAATGTACACCACAGATATGGAGAAAAAATTAACTTAGTATGCTAATGCAGTCATTCAAATGACAATTACAACCTTTTACATTTCTCATGTCATGTTTATTATCTGATAAAAAGGCACTCACTACATTTAATGTGATCGGTTCATAAAATAAATTGTACACAACACATCGTCACAGGTCATGGTCAAGGTCATGGTAATGGTTCATACTCTTTATGTCAGGTACAACAAATGTTTGTGTGTGGATCTGCTTTAGAAATGCATGCAAAGCACGCTTGGGATACAGTAAATTATTCTGTAAAAGTAGTTGTTACAGTAGGTAGTATAACGCCATTGATGCTTTCACACTTGCACAAAACTCCTGAACACGTCCTGAAGATTTCAGGGTGAGCTTCATGTTTGAACACAAACGGACAAATTTTTTGATCTGACTTTACCCAGAATTTTCCTACGTCCTGTGCATGCCCATAAACTGTATGCATACAACTAGTGTAATCTCCATACATGTAATAAAATTTATTACGTTTTCTGGTTGCCAATTGGTTCTTCTCTGCTAATTTTTTGACATTGTAAATGTGTCAAACTGCACATAGCATTGATATAAAGGGGAAAATTGTCATTGTAGCGTCAGGCTGTTACTTTTTGCCACTTCAACGTAATTCTTTTAACTTGTATTTTGCATCCTCAGACCCTCCCCCCCTCCTGTTCAACAGGGATAGTCTCCCGTTGAGAGGTGCATGTGTGAACAACTAACTCAGGAAGATTTCAGGGGCAGTCCGCTTGAAAGTTTCTAGTAAATTTCAGGAGTACAGTACAGATGTGAAAACGGTAAATGACCGTAAATTGTCACTGTATTGAAAACAGAAATGTCGGTGAGTACAACTGTAGGAACAAAAGCCTATTTCAGTGTGAAAGATGATTCATGATAGAAAATGTTTAAAAAAAGAAGTTATACAAAAGTAAACATGACATAATATCACTTAATATTCATATTTTACAGTTCAGTTGGAAGTTCAACTCAAGTGCTTGGCTTTTATAAAAAAAAAAGGAGTAAACATAGATGCAAACATGCTTGGTGAGTACAAAATCAACAGCATCACATTCATTAATTCAAAAAAATATTTAAGATGTGTCATTACATTTGTGATAAAGTTTTGTATAAAAAGTGTTTTAATTTCGCTGACAATCGAATGGCCAAAGGTGATTAAACGTGTGTCTGTCAGGTGTATTCCATGTCACTGTTCTTCAAAAAGAAAAATAAGAAAACGGTGGCGATCATTTCAGAAATATATATATATATATTTTTTATAAACAAAACAACAAAAAAAAAGCTTCAAATCAAGCTTTAAAGTACGTTGTATGTCAATGAAATGCTTTGGTTGTGTTTTATAACCATGCACAATCCAGGTGAATAGTCTGTTTTCACAAGCTCTAACTGTAGTGTGTAGTATATATACCCTAAGGCTATATTTTCAAAGTCATACGCCATATAGGGTTAATTGTACATGTCTTTTAATGCTTGTACTGCTATTGATCCGGTATAAACTCAACCTTCGATCCTCGATTCATTAGAAAGTCCTTTTGAACCAGCCCACTGAGCTAAAAATAGCCACCAAAGTACGAGATGACAAAGCGGAGATCAATGATGTTTCTGAAGATGGATGACATGGCTTTCTGGATGTCCTGCCCACATCGTTAAAAAAAAACAAGCTTCAACGTTAACAGGCAGCCGTTGGTCGTGTATCTCAGGGGAGTCCTCAGGGCTAAAAGACAATGAAGCTGGAAAGACAGCTTCAGTAGAAATCAAAGTTCTTAAGGAGCCTATTCACCACATTCGAACGGTGACCGTCGTCTTTTTGACATCTGGCTGAGGCTGGGAAGCTTAAATGCTGTTATATAGTTGTGCTGCTCTGCTTAAGGTTGAAGGTCATATACATGGAGATCTAGGGTAAACAGCATGGCGGTTGACAGGCAGGAAGACTAGGTGGTCATAGTTTTTGGATTACATTTTTTCTGAAAATTAACAAAGAAAGAATGCATGGATGAAGTCATAGAGACAGACTGAACATTTGGCTTTACATGTTACAGTGTGGATGTGTGTAAACATTGATTTGCTGTGGTTGATCTGCTTCCCAATTGGTTATTTTTCGTTTTCTTTCAACTTGACAATCTGTAGGATCAGCTGTATATACGAGTGGATTGGATCACTCTTTACATACCTCATACCTCGCTTGTCAGAAGGGAGAAAATCAATTGTGTAAGCTCGGAAAGTACCAAGCCCTTAACTGTAGTAATTTGAAACCAAACTCTACAATACATTTCAACCACCTAGCTAATGGTAATATAAGCTGGGAGGTTGCTGAATGATAACTTTAGCTTTTCTTACTGCTGCTTATTTGATCAAGTATGACTGCATTCAACCGCACAGTGTGAGCACAGCAACGAGCTGATTCCCTGACTCTAGGATTATGTCCCCTCCCCCTGATTTTACCTGCACTAGCTCACAGACAACTTCTGAAATCACCATGGCAACAGTAGACATGCCTGTTGAATCTGTTGCTCCCCTCTGATCATGAAAGAAACTCTGGCAGAAAATGTCTGGAGACCTCCAGCTGACAGGGCATCCTTGTTTTGATTTATCTTCTTAAAGCCTGTGATTATTGATGAGGCAGATCGTATGTATGAGAGAGAGAGTGTGTGTGTGTGTGTGTGTGTGTGTGTGTGTGTGTGTGTGAAGGCTATTTCCATGAGTATGAGACACCAAAAATCAACTCGGTCTAATGGGAGTTTTCTATTGAAAATTGTGAATGCTGTGTCCTGATTTAATTGGTACAGTGTGAGCTCTCAGGTCGTGCCTGACAATCAGGTCTTACAGTGTGAGCACATAAATCCTGAGGTCTGGTCGGGCGTCGTAAACAACTCAGTCGTACAGTGTGAGCTGATATTCTACCAGTGTATGCCAGGGTTTATGATTTGTAAGCAACCTAAATTCTACTTCCGAGCTAAAAGCCTTGTGTAAGCTAGGAATGTAGGCCTTACAGTATCTGTTGTATTTTGTACCAAAACTCTACAGCACATTTCAGCCACCGCTAACGGCAATATCAGCTACTGCAGTAAGTTGCTGAATGCTAACAATAGTTGTTCATTGAGTGTAGCTTTCTTTTGTTTTTTCATCGTTTCTCGTCTTTGTAGGTGATCAATCTGGAAGTGGTGAAAAGTAAATCATTTGGCAGATACCCTAAAATCTATATGACTCAAAACTTGGAACACAGCGGACATTATAACAGCATTTTAGCTTCCCACACAGAGCATGATCTAAGAGGAAAAATGGCTGCTGTATGAAGTCGGTCAATTAAAAAGTTGCAGCTGATATGAGGTATTTTCACTACAGCCTCTTCTGTCTCTTTAGCTCATTCATTTTTGGCAGCACATTTTCTTCCCATGGCTATGGCACGATAACTGAATTTCCTGGGCGCAGTTCCAATCTGCGCATAGGAAACAGAAAGGCACATTTCTTTAACATCTCAAAGGATCATGCACTCTGGTATTGCGTCGCTTGTCACTGTATCTTTCAGTCTGTTTTTTTCTTTCTGTCTCTGAGTGCTCTTCCATTCAGTACCTAGTCACTCTCTCCGTCTTTGGCCTGTATTGAAATAAACCCATTCAGTTTGGAGCGCTCATTTGCATACTGCGACAGGTTCGTCAGACTGGTATTTCCCTCTTTTCTTTCCCCACTTTCCTCATCTGGCTCCCCGCTGTCTTCTTCTTCCATCCTCTCCTCACCCAGCATGGCACTGCCATTGTTTATGCAAACACTCGCCCTTCGCGCGTCGTCTGGGATGTTCCTCCGCAGCTCACGGTTCTTGTTACGTCTTGCCAGCTTGGTGAGGGATCCGAAGCGCAGGTTGAAGAGATTCTCCTCAGAGGAAGACGCCGTCTGCGGTGTTTGCTCACTCCCCTGATGGTCGTACTGCTCACAGGCCCCCTTCAGTCTCAGGTTGTTGAGCTTGGTATCGATGCTCTCCTGGGAGGAAGTCTTGAAGCGGCCTGCATCCAGGCTGGCGAACAACGCCCGCTTCTCTGGAGACAGCATGTCCAGGGAGTGAGCTCGCTGTTCCAGGCCGAGCTGACGGCGCTCCATGCTGCGGATGGTGGCGGCTCGTTGGAGCTTGTCATGAATCTCAACGCTGAGGCGACGCCGTGTTTCGCGAAACTCTGCTCGAACGTTTGCCTTCCATTCAGCCGCATGAGCTTTAATCTCCCCAACCTGTGACAGAAGGACAAAGAATTAAGAAAGAATTTTGTGTACAAGCTGCACCATCAGTTAAACATTTTGTTTTTTAAAGGTCCTGAAACCAACTTTTTATTTGGATTCTGAGAACTATTGATGCACTCTTAAAAGATAACGTAATCTTTTGCAATGTCTGGAACAATTTTGCTATTGTTTCTTCCACTGGCTTGAAGTTGCCGGTCTAATGTGATTGTTGTGCACCAATCAGGACTAAGCAATGTTTGAATGAAAATGTTGGGCTCTGTACTTATGTGTGCAGTTAGCGTGTCAATCAATAAGATAAAACAATAGTCAAAAAGTCTTGAAGAAGGAAATGTTTTAATTTCATTGTTAGTCATGAGTATTTAATGGTGTGAAGAAATCATGAGTCCGACCAAGACTTAAAGGACTTCTAAAATTGAAAAAATGTCATTACAGATAGTCAATCCATTGGTCCCTAAGTCTGTTTTTAGCACCTTCAATTTTTTAAATATATTTTATAGATCATAAATAAGTGTATGTCTTCTCTGTCTGGACTTTAACCAGGTCTAATCAGTAATTTATCGTCCAAATTGGCCCAAGAGGCAGCAACTAAATGACCTTTATATTTCTACCACTCTAGCGTAATACTAAGCCGTGCTAATTGAATGATCCCCACCTCCTCTTTGGTCTTTTTAGACAGTACTCGAAGCCAGTCTCCAATCATGCTCAGGACCGCAGCAAAGTAGGCCAAGCCCACCAAGATCCAGAACCACACGAGAGGCTTGTACCACTTCATATACTCCAACCCTCGGTTTCCACCTGGAGGCGAAAGAAGAAGGCAGGTATGGCTTGAATAATAGGTAATAGAAGTCAGACAGTCATGTAGGGTTAGGGTTACAACAACCATAGATCTACCTGCCACATAGTCTCCTATTCCCACTGTGGTGAGAGTGATCACAACAAAGTAGATGGAGTCCAGCGTGGTCCACTTCTCAATGTGTTGGAAGATCACAGCAGGGATGGTTACAAATACAATGCAGCCTGCCAGGATGAACAGGATGGTGGACGTTACTCTGATCTTAGTCCGGCTGATCTGTCTGTGTTTTTGCTGGAGAAATCAAAAAGGAGATGCTATTAGACACAGACAGCAAAAGCAATTTAAAAAAGATCATATAACACTATGATGATGCGATGATAGTTGAGAAGCAAATGCTAATCAAAAAGAACAAAAATCTGAAACCAGACAAGCACAACAACACTTAAACACTTGCAAACTCTTGCAGCTCACCCTGAATATCTTCTCAACTCTCAAGATGCTTTTCACAAAGATGGTCCCCAGCTGGTCTCCAATCCCAGCCAACAAGAAGCCAAAGAGAGGGATGCCAAATATGGCATAAAGGATGCAAAAGATTTTTCCGCCTTCCGTGCTCGGAGCTATGTTTCCATAACCTGTCAAAACAAGGACAACACGGGAGGGGGGGAGGGGTGGGGTAAAAAGATCAAGATCCAAGCCATTAAGGGGAGCAAGAAATGCAAAGAAAGACAGAGTTGCCGAGGAAGATGCAAAGGAGTATTACGAGTAAGCTGAGAAGGAAAACAATTAGGATGGTCTTATGCAACATGATCAATACAGTCTTTATGGTTAAGGGGTCTCTGGAAAGCAAGATCCTAGAGAGCCAACAATTAAATTCTACTTCGAGAAAATTGCATTATTATTGCCCTAAAGTGACAGAGATACAATGAAGAGTCCAGGGAAACCAAGGACAAAACCTATTAACCCAGTTCTTCCAGATAGCAATCGTGACGACAATATGAACATGCATCCTATTTGAAGCACTATTGGTATTTGTTATATTTGTGCAATCACACTGAGGGCAGTTCAATTATAAAGATTTTACACAGGATTAAATAAAAATGTATTTGGGCATTTCTGGAGAATAAATGTGTTTTGTATAAGTAACAAATGTGTTATTTGTAGCTCAACTGCAGAATGTCTTTTTTTTTTTTTTTTAAAGGTTTATTTCTTGGCCTGTTATGCCCATATTTTTAGAGATAGGACAGTGGACATAGTCAGAAACCAAGGATAGAGTGAGAGAGGAATGACATGCGGGAACTGAGAATGGGAAAGCCGCCCAGAGGACCTCGGCCTCCCCACATGGGGCACGCACACTAACCGCTAGGCTACCGTCGCCCCCATGTCTTCCACTTTTTATGCTCTGTTTTTTTTTTTACATCAGAGGCTTCATTAAACTTAATGAAGCCACTTAAAGCTCAGATGCATATCAGCAAATGTCATGGTCAATTAAGTATCTAGCAGGAGTACACCACAACAGCAAGTCAGGGACATTGAGCTCTTCTTTTCGATTGACGAATAATGGAGAGAGCATAAAACTCAAATGTATCAGCTTTCATGTTGGAGTTTACCTCTTAAATGTAACTATGTCTGTTTATTAAAATTTGATCAAAGATTTCAGGCATCCAAAGGCTTTTAAGTTTAATTTTTTTTTAATAAAAGATAATTAAATCTTGGAAAGCGGGAAAGCAAGAAGAGAGCCCTTAACAAAGAGTTCAACCAAGTGGTCTAAATCAGCAAGGTCGGTAATGTTGATCTTCAAAGGTCTTTTTTATTCCACCATACTTTGCATCTTTTGGCACCAGTCCATGAGTGCACAGGGGTTTCTTTTTTAAACTCGCAGACACTGAGCAGCAGTTATGGGGAAGACTTCACAGGGAAACACCAAGGACAAACATGAAGCGGGCAAATCCCATCCAGAGTCGCTCTGTGATTTGCCTTGGGACAATACAGTAATGCACTTTTATATTAAGATTTAAGGATTTTCAAAAGTGGCAACGTGACATTTTTTTTTTCTAAACATACATAGTGTTTGCAGGTTGCGGTATTGACTGTCAAAGAACAGTTCTACAAGGTGGATTTTTTCATTTACCGATGGTTGTGATGACAGTTCCAGCGAAGAAGAAGGCACTGCCCAGGTCCCAGTGACTGGAATTATAGGATGTGTCTCCTCTAGGACTCACTCCTGCACTCACTGCCTCTACAGAATGCTGAAAAGAGACAAAATATATCAGTAACTTTGATCATGCTTCAACAAAAAACTACACTTGAACTTGGGATAATGGAAAATGTTCTTGCACAGTCAGATACGTATTACATCTCTCCCATTGAATTCTCATTCAAAGAGGAGAGGCAAGCTTGCGTGCAAATATACTCTTCTGCTTTGATTTCACTACACAGGGTCACATGGCTTGAAAAGAGTGAACACATTAACCCCCCTCCTGCAATGCTTGTGTGATGAATGTTAAATGTGTGTCCGTGGGTGACCCCTGCCACGGATTGTGTAACACTCCTGAGGTAACTAAGGATACAGAGTGTGCCTTTTATCTCCAGATCGACCTGGAGGGTCTCACTGAGGAGAGGAGAGGAGAGGAGAGGAGAGGAGGAGAGGAGACGAGAGGAGAGGAGAGGAGAGGAGGTAAATGGGGGAGGTAAATGTTGGATGGAGAGCCTTCAATTAACCTTGAACTCTTGTAACTCTTGAACTCTCGCTCTAGTAATAGGGGAGGTAGAAGTAAGTGGATGACGTTTATTCAATCAATTTGTTTTTATTGTATGATGTTAGTATAGTAACTTCATTTTGTTTTTGAAACAAAATAGCTTCTATATGTTTCTACATGTTATAAGACATAATTTAATTGGACAAAATAAGCATTGAATAACAATTTTCATTCATTTTATATTTCATTTATTCCTTCGATTTAATTGCAATGCTCTCACATGAGACCCCAATATTATGAATGGACATTCCTTTTTATGGTCTTCTGGTTATATCTAAGAATATAACCCTTATGTATCCCTAATCTATCAACATCAGCACTCAGCAGTAAATCTGTTCAAATGATTCAGTGTTTTTTCTCCATTTTACAGAAGCCCTAAGGGGACATGCAACCAATTACATTTTCTCAAAATAAATAATAGTTTTTCCCATGATAACAACTTTATTTCAGTTGTTTCCTCGAGGTCATGACTTATTTTTCTCGTCACGCTCAGATAATGTTGCTGGTCTGTTGATGAAAGGGATAATATTCTGGTGATCTACTGGTCACTGTGATAGGCCAGACCATGACACGCCATGCTGCCATTGCCCTCACTAATGAGCTACATTAAGCTTATTTTCTATGTTTGTTATGTGCTTTTGCGACTCTGGAGGTATGAGATAAATAAGATGGGAATGGGAGAAAACAACTGGATATATTATCCAAATAAAATGTATGGATGCATTTCAGCATAGGCATGTTTTTACAGTCCTACAGCTGGCTGAGAATCATCTTTTCTCTCTTTTCCCCGATGTTAGCCTTATTCTGTTGTGCCAGGGCTCAGTGTCAGGGGAAACATTAAGAAGTCACAAAGCTCTATATTTACTGCATCATTGATCTCCTTCTATGCCTCATTATGTAGCCATTAGAAGTTAATCTATAAGTGTTTTATTCTCAACTCTCTGTTTATTGGCATTTTATTGAGAAAAGCTTTAACTTGGCCTCAAGGCTCAAATAAATATTGGCTCTGCGGGGCATTAAAGTCAACACTAGAGCTGCCTTTTTGGACAGAAAGAGCCTCAGTGCATTTACCGACACATTCCTGTCTGGATAAAAACTTGCAGCTTTTCATTCAGTGCAACCCCCAGACTATTCATTCAAGCTGTTAGCGAGATGCAAGTCCATATTATAAAATATGAATCAGCTCTCGTGACATACATTTCAAAGCAGACAGAGTGGAGGACCACTTTCGCATCGCTGCACATGCCTGCTCTTAATCCTGCATGTGATTACCTCAACTCCGTCGGTGCAACTCCCCCAGTATGAAATGAGCTTGATACTTCATAGGCTTTCACAGACAAGGCTATTTTCAAGGCAAAAAATTCAAAGAATAAACCCCAAATAGTCTAATCCTGGAGTCAAGGGAGGAGTATAAATAGCCTCACATGGAATCTGAATACTTCATGAGAAGTTCTATTTTTGTCTCGCCTTTTTCACAGCCAAGTTCACGCTGCATTATAGATTTGGAAAAATCCTCCCTCTACACATGCACTTTTGAGGCACGTGGCTGGTAACTTACATTTGCATTGCGGTGTTAATTAGGACAACAAAGTGCTTTTGTTTCTTATTCATTTGAGAGCACAGAAGAATCAGCACACAGACCCCTCCGCAGCCTCCTTGCTAATGTTTGTGTTATTGTTTTTAAGCTGCGGCTTCATTAGCAAGCAAGCGAACTCCCTGCAGAATTTTATCCTCTCAGCATGTATCTCCGCCCCACAGCAGGTGACAACAGAGTGCCAGCCAGCATGATGCTTCACTCTCACCTTCAACCACCCTAACGGTGAGGGAACTGGTGCCACTCAGTATCCACTGCTGCATCTCTGCAGCCATCACTTACATCCAACGCTCTACTCTGACCAGCCTGAAGCGTCAAAGCTGCACAGGGACTACCAATGGGAAAACACAGATAAGGCTGAGCACTGCCTGTGTTTGGTTGTGTTTGTAATTTAAGGGCATAGAAATTTAGACACTTTTTAACTAAAATGATGAACACAATTGGCACTTGGTTCCCATACACCAAGGAGAGTAAAACTATAACACTGTCCTATCTCTCCAATAAAGGCACAAAATGCCCCAAAAAAACAAAAAGACAAGCTGCATATCAGGAAAGAGAGGGCTGTAAACACTTAGAGCTTAGAACAACAAACCCAGAGAGAGTTTGACTTCACTCTCTTAAGAAATTCATTAGTCCACAACATATTTACATAGGGTCTATTTTAAACGTGTGCTATAGGAACTCAGATAGCAGCATATTTAGCCTTTAACTTCATACTTAAGTTAAGTAAATACACTCAGATAGAATCCACTACATCTACAGTAGCTCGTGTTTGAACATCTGAAGCTGAACTTGAACTTGAACTTTACATTGTTGTCAATATTTAAAGTATTGATATCAGTTGGTTTATATCAACATCTTCACTAAAGCAGCCTTAGTTCTCACAAACAGCTATAAAACATTTCATACACAACAACTGAAAGTCACATTATTCACGTTTTAAATTATGTTGAGAGTGGTGTTTGCGTGTCCTGACGTAGTTTAACTGCAGGTAGCTCGGTGTTTCTAAAAGTTTATTTGCAGATAAGTGAGTCATCAATAAGCCAGGCTTGACTAGTGTCAATAACGGCGCGGCTTCACATCGTGCCACAGTATGAGTCATCCCAGCGGCACAGGGAAAAAAGCCAATCAAGTCTGCTTTCTCTGTGGGCCCACAGTGGGTAGGTGGACGGCACAGACACTTAAGCTGACACGAGGGGGGTCAACAGACGCACACGGACTCACACTCACACACATTAAGTCGACACATGCCGCGGAGCAAACCTTTTCAAGTTCTTCATCTCGACTACGTGAGCTTTTTTTGTCGTCGCTCACACACACACAGGATGTACATATATGCACACAGGCTTTCTATGGTTGCCATTTTTGTCTCAACTCCTCCACCAAACAGTTTGATAACAGTGAGTCACCACTGCTGTGTCGCCACAGAGGAGCTTTGTCTGAGTGACGGCTTTGACACAGCATGAACAGACTGATAAAGTAACCTGTTAAAAGACCAGACTGAGTGATGGAGAAACTAGTCCTGGAGGCTGTTTCTTAAGACAGCAGCTGGAAAAGTGTTATTCTTTAGTGTGAGCTTCCCACATGACAGGATAAAACATTTTCAGCAAATATAAATGTTGGAGTATCATCGTAACTAAACAGAATGATGAATTAAAGTGAGTTATTCTGATTTTAAAAAGTAGAAATTCAGTGAAATGACATATTCATACCACTCTTGAATTCGTATGGCTAATATAACATCACAGTTATTAGCGTTGCGTCGCATGAAGACTGGAAACAGCTAACCAGGCTGTGTCAAAGCTGCGCCGCTACAGATCTAATTTTACTGTTGAATGAGTTTGTTTTATCTGTACGGAATTGTAAATATGACAAACTTTGTTTAAACCGGCACAGACACTTAAGTCGACAACCTCCCGTTTAGCTTTTGCCATCCTGGTCTTTAAAACAAGAAATGACCATATTTGGGCAAAAGGAAGAAACATTTTGTTACGTCTATATCCTGGTTGAAAGATCGCTGTGGTACCGACCCTAAAGAGTACCCTTCTTTCATGTGGATTTTCCTCTTAATAGGACCAAAATGTACTGAATGAATATCCATCTGTGTTAAAGAAGACTTGAAACTAGTGACTAAGACTTTAAACTAAATATTACTGAAATAAAAAATCAACTGAGAAGTGAAGTCGTTTGCTTTTTTTTCTTCTTGCAATTCAACGATGTCTGGCTTCGCCCAATTCTGCCCATTAGAAAGAATGGAGGTTTATGACAATTCCTTATACAGCACACAGGAAAATGCTACAATTACCTAAGTGGCATTCATAGACTGTAAATATTAAAGGCCGCAGCCTGAGTGACGTCACCCATCTGTTACGGCAGGGGGCTCTGGAGACTCATCGGCAGCAGCTGCCATGATGGAAATCCTGTCTCAGCGTAACATTCAGACAGACTGAGAGCTGCAGCTGAGGCGGTTTAACCCCCCCCCCCGTACAGAGTCTGCCTGTGGGGACAATAACTAATCAGAGATTTAATTTTTTGTAGCTGACTCATTTCTACTGTAAAAACTGTCTTTTTTGGCTGTGGTTGTGTGGTTGTGACTAACATAGCTCTTGGAGTCAGCCTCAAGTGGACCCTTGAGGAACTGCAGGATTTCGCACTTCTGCATTGGCTTCATTTTTCAACACCGCTTCGTTGCAAATGAGACTGATAATTTCTCCCTAGCATACAGAAATGGAAGCATTTCTTGCACCGCCTTTTCGGTGTGTGTGTGTGATGCCACGTTAAAGCTACGACTTAGCTTTAGCCAAGATGCTGTTTCTCTCAGCGTATGGTTTAAACAGAGGTCCAAGCCAGATAGATGTAAATAATTCAAAGAAACATTAAACATGTAGCACACAAACCATTTACCACCACCTACTAGACATGGTTGTACTCATGAAACGAAAAGGAAAAATGCAAGACAATTTGTCAATTCTAGAGGTGTCAGTGGGTGGATTTTATTATCTTTGGAGGGAGTTTGTTTCACTGCTTTTCCATGATTTTTGGTCTTTGTGTTAAATTACCCTGACAAACTGCTGGTGGTAATTCTACGACTTATTGCTTAGTGAGTGGTTTTTGTTACCTCATCAGATGTAATATTGAAATTAGTTTCATTAGTTGATACAGGCAAATTACTCTTAAGCCTTCAGTATCTGGTGATACAATCTGTCCAGGAGATAGTCCTGTCTGTGATTCAGCTGCTGCTACAAGTGCTGCAGCGGGGAGTCTGTGACTGCTGCCCTGTGAGATGAATAATTGATTCCCTGTGGACCCTTGGCACACCATGCTAAAGGTTTTTATTTCCCACACTTCTCCTTAGAAAAAAATGTCATTGATTTTTCTTTTTACAAACTCATGATCGCTCTTCTGTGGCTCAAAGGTTGAACGCCGCAAGATAAGAGGAAGAAAGGATGCTTCTCTGAGACGGAATGAAAGAACAGAGTGGGTGTGGAAGAGAAGGGAAAAGACAATAAGAAGTCCAGTGTCTTCCAGAGCTTAGTAGAAAAAACAAACATCAAATGGAGCCGTTCGAGCGGAAAGTGGAGCACACCAAATACCATGTGGTTGGTTCACTGGGGATTTTTTCATGCTTAAGAGAATCAGAAGAACCAAGCGGTGCTATCATAAACCTCGTACCTACTATTCCTACACTGAAAAAAAGGTTATTTCTGTTCCCTTACATCAAAATCGCACGCTATGATTTAGCTTTACATATCAAAACCAGCTGATTCTCAATCCAAGGATGTCAAAAATCCCCATTTGTTGGCTGATAAAGATACACAAGGGACTTTTCCAATAATTATATTATATATTCCTTCCCTATTCCCCAAACAAAATAACCAACATTGTTACATGTGGCTTCCTTTTCTGCGTAAACATCTGCAACGGACATGACTGATTTCAATCTTGCTTTTTTCAATCACCACATTCCATCACAAATCAAACTTCCCATTCAGCCAACCGCACGCCGACACACCTCAAATCATTTTCCAATCCTGCTCTCGTTGTACGTGTCAGCGTGATGGAGTGACCTTAAATCTGTACCCATAATTCTGGGTGTGACATAAGAGAGAGGGATGTGATATGAAGCAGCTGACACTGTAAAAAGATGCTGTAAAAAGAAGTGAAGCGTGACGTGATGAACGATTTGCTGGCTTGTTATCTGGTTCAGTTCACACAGGTAGTGGTTGGAGGATTGAAGCTTCGGAAGCCATATTGGTAAAATGTGAACGGTGGCAGGAGCAGGATGCTTCAGAACAGCTTCAGCCAACCTTTGAAGTGTAAGCGTTGTCAGTCATGTTGCTGGCATGTATTTAGTATTATGTTGATTATTAAAGCTCCTGTGGGGAACTTCTAGTTTGTGTCGATTTTGTCGCAGCTTGTGGACAAAGCAGTACCGCTTACCTCTCTGCTGATTTTTTCCTGTACTTGTGTAAGTTGTTTTCTTTTTAACAAAAAACTCACCCTGTTTTCTTTCTACCGCAAAATGAGTGTGTAAAATTAGGCTGTTTTTGCAGCGTGTTGTCAGTCACAATCTGACACCTACCCTGCGGCAGCGGATTCAGGCATTAAAAATAACCACATAGAAATAATCAATCATGTCTGTTATGATCTTGTTTGCTTTTGTTAGTCATTCACAGGCGTCAGTATTAATGTCAGTCTGTTTCATAATCAGCTAAAACCTTCTCATAGGAGCTTTAAGCAGCAGTGGGTCCCCCTCTTCATGAAATCATCAAAGATCCTACAGCTCCTTGTTTAAACATGTTCGACAGAATACATCGGGAAAAAAATGGAATGGAAATTTGGAAACTACTCTTCGGGTAAAAATAACATTGCCTTTCTGGCCGTGAGCTGCTTTCCTTTTTTAAAACGTGTGGGTGTTTTAAAGCCTTACTCTAGAAATTCATACTGTACAGATGCATTTATTACAGAGAGAATACGTTATTTAAATGCAAAATGGTTATGAAAGTCATCCCTCGAAAGACCCCAAAATGCATGCAAAAAGAAATGTAGGCAATGCTTACTAGTTACACTATTTACATACAGTAATTTGTTTAACTATGAACTGAAAACAGAATAAAGGAAGAACAGTTACGCTCTCTAAGAAACTCGATGCAGCACACGGGTCACACTGACTGATCTCATGAGATAAGCTAAAGACAGTGATTTGCTCTTTTCTCTGAGATTAACGTTACGTATCATTATGTAACACGAACCCGCATGTGGAAGTGTGCCCTGTTCAACGTGTTTGCCAACAGATGTCAGGCTCAGTGAATTATGGGTGACCCTGAAGGTATTAATGGTGCTTCCTGCTCAAGATGCACCTGCCTCTAAGTCTGCTCATGGCATTTATGACAATTACCCATCAATATCAGCAACGAGGGGGGACGCAGGTGTTTCTACTGATGGAGCTTTAGTCACTGTTTTATGGATTAGTTGTCTAATGAAAACAGTAGGCACCAAATGAAATGCCATTAAATATGCCAGCAAAGAGCGATCAATAGTGTTCTTAGAATATGTCAAATCTCAACCATGGCTTTTGATAAAAAGAATGTTAAAATCCAGCCCAACCATTTTCATCGTACTTTTCAATGTACACCTACATTAAGTTCTATAAATATTTTTCTTTTTAAAAAAGCAGTCTGTAGTATAAAGTTAGAACTGGAGTGTTTCACAGAGTGAGTAATGGCAGGACTGAGCTGGAGGTGATAACTACATGTGAAAAAGAAAATCATTCTCAAGTGTCTGTCTCTACAGCAACAACATCAACTAAACCGCTCTGATGCCATAAATAGCTTTCAACTGCATGTCCTCTTTTTCATCAGTAGAAGGAACTAGCAGAGGCGTCCTCATCATAAAAGTACCCACCTATGACCACTTATCCTGACAGGCTGGACGCGTTCCACTTCAGTTACATGAGCAACTAAGGGCTTCTTCTTTTGCTGCTAAGGGAAAAGTGGCTAACGGAAACTAGTAAGTTTAGCACGCACATATTTAGGGAGCAACTTTTTAACACATTTGAAGTTGTTTAAAGTGAATGTAAGTTTTTTTTTACTTTAAAAACTCTATTTTTAGTCTTTAAGAACTCTAGAGGAACAAATCTGGCTCTTTAGCTGCTAAATGGTCCTTTGTTCCACTTTGTTCCCTTGCTAGTCGCTAACTGTGTCCGTCTGTTGTTTGTCGCTAAGCAGGTGTGCAGTGCGGATGTTTTTTGTTGTTGTTGTTGCTTAAAACATCTGCTTGCTTGAACCCAAAAGTGACCCCATGAGAGCCGTGAGAGGCAAACAATACCAAACAGTTACAGACAGATAAATGAGACATAACTTGCTAATAAAAAAAAAGGCTCAAAGGAGAGCTGCCGAATCAGATGATAGATCTCTTTTGGTTTAAACAAGCAACCCCTCTCACATTTTACATATCAATGTTATTTCATTATTCCATTTTGATGCCATAATCAATAATTATTGCCGCTTTTTGTTAAGCTAGTCTGTTCTTGCTATCAATACGGTTGACAACTAGCTCACTTAAAAGTCTTTCAGTAAAATAAATTATTTGTTCATTTACAATAACACATCTTATTACATAACAGGTTGATGCATTTGTTCTTTGTTGAAGGACATGCAGGACACAAGGTATTGTATTAGCCACAAGCTTTTCAAGGCATGTGACGACCTAATGAAAAGAGAATTAATTAACCCAAGAACCCCTAATTACCCCTGATAGCAATCACCATCTATAAAATGGCAGCTACAAAGGTCAGTCCTCTGACTTTCATCCTTTTATCTACCGATGAAATCAGTATTATTCAACAGATCATTTTCATTTAGTTTATTATCCTCTCATCCTCTTACAAGCTAATCTGGTAGATATAAATAGATGTAATAAACTATTTTTGGCAGTCTGAGTAGCTTGAAGGATAAAACACATCAATAAATTGTTTTATTTTCTTTTAAATTTGAACATGTCTCACTTCATCTGAAACTCCAAGAGCTTAGTTAGATTTTTCCTCACTCACCTTGATGAGATCCTCCAGTTCACCTGGTGTAACACAGGGATGTTTCTCCAGGAACCTGGCCTTCTCCATAGTGATACTGGTCTTCTGGTTGCTCTCAAACGGCTGCTCCAGAGCCCTGAACGCCAGACCTCCACAGACCAGGTAGAGAACGACCACGATGAACACCGCAAGCACCGTCTTCCACTTCATCACTGAGTGGAGAGCTGCTACCGCGCCATCGCAGCTGGCGTCCATGCTGGCCACAATGCTGGCCGAGCGGGAGGAGATGGACAGGCGTGGCAGAGGACAGTGACCATTGGCCTTTTGGTCGACGCCCATCGGGTTCTGCATGGTGGCCACACTGGCCTGGACCAGACTGGACTTCACCATGCCAGGCTGGGCCTTCTTTGGGGGGGCCAGGTTGGTCTGGACCGCCACTGAAAGAGAGGATGGAGATGACTAACCTGTGTTTTGTTTAGCTTTGTTGGACAAAAAGGCTGAACGGCCTAATTTCTGATCCAATTCCGATACATATGTACAGATATCGATACTGAAACCGATATTCTTTTAACCATATTGAATAGTGTTATTGTTGCTGTTGGTATGTATAAGGCTACACAAAGCTGTAGTAAACTCGGCATTAAATTTCTTATTCAAAGAACAAAAAATAAATAAAAATGCTTAGAACGTAAAAGTATTCCAAGGAATTGTGTTTGACTTTTGTGGTGGCTTCGCATACAAACCGGAAGCAGCAACAACTGCAAGGTTTTCAAATGAAATCTTTTAAACTGAAGTGTAAGAATTGTACTTTTGATCATATACTGTAGAAGGAGCTGTTCCATCTCGTCTGAACGTCGTCATGGAGACGATTTGTGAACACCTCTTACAGTTCAGTCTGAATGTCTTGTGACACTGTGCGAGCTGAGAATGTTTAAAGTGCCAAATGGTCTTTCTTACATGAAATACGTTAATATTGGACCCGAAACTGATGTTAGATTGGATTCATCCCATAGTGATGATCTTGGAAAAATAGAAAAAAACAGACTGTTCTAATAGCTGGCTGAAGGCCTTGAGTCTGAAACAGACTGGAGATATAAATAGTCGACATGAAGACTAACTGAAATAAAAGATAAAAATCCTTCTGAGATCATTTTTTACATCCACTCTGATGGTGCAATAACAAGACTGAATGCACGTTATGTCCCACAGCAATTTCAGACAGCAAATTGCCGTTGTATCTTCCTCTATGTGCCTGTTTTCATACATTTAGAAAGAAAATCAACCAATCAAAATAAACATACAGCATATTGTACAGTGTTGGGAGTCCTTTAAAAGCAGTATTCACTTCACAAGGCTTAGACAACACACTGAACGATGTAAACGCAATCTTATTACAACCATTAAAAACCTATCCTCCTGCATGAAGCATTAGAAAATGATTCCCTTTATTACCCTCAGCTAATAAAGGGATTTCACAAAGCCCTCACTCCAAGCTATCGGCAAAGATGCCTGTTATAAGGCCAACAGCTGAGTCAAAGCTGCAGAGAGACTATGTCATGCCAGTATATTGATATGCTGAAAATGTGTTCCGGGGCTCTCCGCATTAAAGCCATTAGTGCTGTTAAATGGAGCCTCAAAACACTGCGGCAAACAGCTCTACCTCTAATGCAGAAATCATGGCAGTTGAATTCAAAAATAATGCATGAGAAAAACCTCACGAGCATCCAGAGTAATAGCACGCATAACAAAAACCTGACAGTGTTGCTAGGGTTGAGGTGTAATTGAGCGACCCTTTCTGGGAAGTAAGTTTTCAATTTTTCTAATAGAATGGAAGAGAAGGATAAGTGCCACTTTCAGTCATTGGCTTGGGGATGGGTTTTAAACTAAATGCGTGCGTGCTTGTGCAGGTCAACAAAGTGGCAAGCACCAAAGATGCAGCCAAATTTAGATCCCTTTTAAAGAGTATAAAGCCCTGAATAAGCTATTCGGAGCTTCGGCCTTCACCCCTGACGCCCCCAGCTCGCTTAGATCGAGAGCTTGGCGTGCCTCTGAGCCATGGGCGGAGCCTGATGTATGATGTATGTATGCAATGATGCACCTCTGGAAGGTAGGAAAATAAAATGGATTTGTTTGAGAGGAGGTGCTCTTCGGTGTAATGGGATAGCATCACTTATTGGATATGCTAAGTAAAATGTCCACACACACACACACACACATATACACCCCACCCTGGTGAGTCAAGGGCATCCAGGAAGTGTCTCTCTCTCTCTCTCTCTCTGATCCAGAAGCTATGAATCTTGTTAGTTAATCCCTGTATCATGAGCAAATCAATAACAGCAAAGTGGTGTCACAAGCTTGGGAAGGTGCAAAACTTTGTCACTTTCAATTCACAGCGTAGGCTTTTAAGGGCCGTGACTGCCTGACAATTTTTTGTAACAAGGGATGAATTAGAAAACGAAGACTGAGAAGTGAAGCAGCAAAAAAAAAAAGAGACGATGACCCTCCATCAGTATCTGGTGATGTCATTTCGACTGACGCAATAGAACATCTTCCGGTAAATGAATTGCAAATTGGGACAAGTCAGTGTAACTAATGTAACTGAGACATTAATTGCTTTTCATCTCATCCCATAAGAGAGATGGAATAAATCAGCTCAATGCAGCCAGGCAGAGGCAGTGGGGCAGTGAAGAAAAACCGGCGATATACATTACAAGCAAAATAATTCATGATTTGGTCCAAATTTTGGACCATAGATGAAAAACCCTAACTGCGATGATCATAATGTGGTTTGCGGTTCAAATTTCTGGGGCTGTGAGGCATTAATCTGAAATCATTTTTCCACCACTGACTCTACTTCATATTGATTTTGCAAATTAAATAAGGCCTGAGTGGAAAGCAGTGCCTTTTATCCGATTCTCTCTCTCTCCTAGTCTTCACTCTTGTCTCCGGCATGTCCGGGCAAGCAAATATTCAACTTATGTAAGAGGTGTACCTCAATTAAGCCTCAAAAATAAACCAATTATAAGTGGATATTGATGCAGATGTTCTTTCTATTACTACAGTCAGTGAGGCACAGTTATGATGGGTGTCATCATGACGCATTAAGTTTGCAGCATGCAGCATGACAATAAGCGTAATTTGACATTTTACTGGAAAAATTACAAAATAATCTTTAGTAAATGTAAGGTTGAGTAGAAAGATTTGGGGTTGGCTCAGATAGGCTCTTGGCTCAGTTGGTCCCCTATATAGAGCTAGACAGGTTGTAGGCGTGAATCTCACCAGCTGAGCCTAAAAAAAAAAAAAAATCAAGCTTGAAATCAACATGAGTCACACATTGAGAACTTCTGGTCAATAAATTGAAAAAATAAAACATCGACAGAGGAATTCGCAAAAGGTCAATTGTGAACCCTCGTGTTTATTTAAATATGAATCAGATTTTTGATCAAGCTGAAATACTAAGCAAAACAAATAATGTGAAAACCATATTTTAAATAGTATCCCCATTAGATGGCAAGTAACCCTCGTAATGCTTTGATTGAAAGATGACTCATTTGAATCTACTGGAACTAACGCATGTCTACAAGTTGACACTGGTCATTATTTAGCCTCATGCAGAATATTTCGGGAGACAATCCCTTAAAATAAACAACATGCTCGCTCTTTAAACAGCTTTTCCGGTTTCGTCTATATTATTTCCGCCAGCTTGACGCGGCTGATGCTGAAGCAGCGCTGCCCACAGCTGAGCACACGGAGGATGAATGGAGAATAAAGAAATCCCCACTGCTGCTTTGTCTTGTGTTCACGGTGCTCTTTTGAGGTCATAATCACACAAATATGAGAAGAAGAACAATAACCAGAGGAAATAAACAAAACAATGAATGAGATTGTCAAAGCGTAGAGGTTTGAGGCATTTGCATAAGGCTGGTGTGGTGTCATTTGTTGTGTCTCAGGTATCTCCTGGAGATGCAGCTGGAATTCATAGTAGCCTATATTACATGATATTACCGAGCTTAAGTTATCAGACAATAAGAATGCAGTATTTACCAACCTTGCTCAGGGTCCCAGTTAACTTGTTTCCTTGGGTTTTCTATTGGAAATTTCATCTCTATTTTTGTTGTTGTTTTCAATCAAAACCTGACAGAATTGATCTCTGTGGCAATATTCACACAGAGAAAATAGCCGAATTGCGTGCAATTCTTCACCGGCATCTTCGGTACATCATCTTTGCGTGGATGCGAGTGGAACTGAGGAGTAAACGCATCGCAAAACCGCATTGTCTGCCTCAGCTGCCCCCTCCTCCTCCTCCTCCTCCTCCTCCTCTTTTTCTTCTCCACCTCGTTTGGACGGGTGCTGCTCGCCTGACGGACTGAGACACTTGTGAGACATTTCAACTGGGCTGTCGCACCCCAACCACATCCCGTCTCACACTCAAAACATAAACACACACACACACACACACACACACACATTAGGGGTGGTCTGGTCCAGATCCCATGCCTGAGTGTGTCCACGAGAGCAACTTTACCCACGCGCTGCACCGGCAGAAAGAACAAGGGATCAGGGATGCTATGCGTCCTTTCCTTCCCAAAAGCGCACAACTACACCTGATTTTTTACTCCAATTAGCTGGAGGAAACATTCTTACATGCATCGGCGAAATTTTGTACGACGATTTTCTTAATACTCACTCCTCTGTTTTCGGTAGTGTTCCCCGAAATCAGGATTATCCTCTCATCGTTTGGCAACCGGCGACTGAGCACATGGAGCTGGGCGGCAAGTCAGAGATGAACGCCAAATCAGCAGCAGACTTTAACCATTACATCATTCGCATGTATGGGAAACAATGCATTATTTATGAACTTCTGACAAGTCAAATCCACTATCCTGTTAGATCCACTAAACAGTGAAATATTCAGTGACAACCTGGTGCATTTTTTTTAAACATCTGGATAGATTGTTACACTGTAAAAACTGAATATTTACAAAGAAATAGACCTACTGGCCACTAGTTGTATTATTTTGGCTTAAGGCATAAATGTCAGGAAAGTATCAGGCTATTGGGTCCAGTATTGCCACCATCGATATCAGGCAAGTCAGACACAAGTCAATAAGTGAGGGGCTTGTTGATCATGGGGGACCTTGAGGTCATGAGTCTCAGACGATCATTTCCAAGCTCTGGTGAAATGAGTATGTCTGGTTATTGTATTCATCAATTTTCAAAGCTGTATTCTCAAGTCTCAACATGAATGCAAAGGAAAATAATAGTTATGCACAGTTGCACAAATAACATTAAGGATTTAAAAAAAAAAAAACGTGAAAGATTTTGCCAAACGTTTCTAAATGATCACATCAGCAGCTGCAGATATTATAACATGAATGCCAATCTCACCTTCAGTCCTGTTGTCCTTAGGCAAATAAATGCCCACCAATGTCATGTTGTTAGTTTTAAAATACAGAAAAATGAACTTTTTCTGTGAATACATTTGAGTGGCTAAATTTGTATTTTTCACTTTAGACATTCAAACTGAAACTGCGTTGTAATGCACTCATTACAGCTTTGCTTTGCAAGAAATAATGAAGTCATTATCAATACAATTGGTTCCGTCTCTGCTATTTCTGCTGGGAAAATGTGTTTTGAGTCTGATTCATTTACAAAAAAAGAAAAAACAAGATAAAGATTCAAGCATGCAATATCTATTTAGACTGCAAAAAAAAGGAGATGACATTGATTTGTAGCACTTGTGGTGGTTTAAACTTGGATTAGTAATTCTGTGTCCGCATTCATTTGACAAAGTAAACTCTGATAATGAATTGTTTACAGCTAGTCAATGGCGAGTGGGTTATTAAAAGACATTTCTTTTTTTATGACAGTGTTCCCCCTTATTCCAGTTATAAAATCAAACTCGTTAGCCTTAGGAGAAAAAAAACAAAGAGGCACATAGCTCGGTTTTTGTTAAGGCTTATGCATCAAAAAGTCTGCTCTAAATTGTATCTGCCTCACTACCAAGTCATTTACAATCTTTTGTTGTTAGATGACGTGAGGGGTTAAAAGGTCTATCAAACAACAGAAGGAACATGGGAGAAAAGCAAATGCTGACAGAGTGTTCTCGTGACCGGTGTGTTTAGTTGAATCAGAATTTATATTTGTTGCACTCTGGGTTTGCCTCTGCCAGAATAGAGTATACCACCAGTAAACCAGGATGTGATATGCAACATCTAACAACATCATCTATTGTAGCCTTCTGCCTCTCTCACTTTTGATGTGAGTACCCTGAGTCAGTGGATGCTAGTGGAACTGGACAGGGTCCCTTGACTGTGTTAAGGATTAATAGATAGATTTTTACTGTTCCGGGACCGAGAGAGCTACAATAATTTCCAAGGACCCTGAAATTATAGCTGCTGTTTTATTACCTTTTAAATAACACCATTTAGAAATGCACTTGTATGAAACCTAAGTGCATGTGCAAGGACATTCTGTGCAATCTTGCTAGTCATTGGGAGTCTCAGGGACTCCGGTATGCAACTGTGTTTAATGACCGATGACGATACAGGCTGGCTTTTCAGGCAGTTTATGGGCTTCACACTTGCTCTATGTGCCCTTTCATTCTAATGTAGCTTCACAAATATCACGCCCAGATCCAAACATCCCTGAAAAATAAAACACAAAAAAAATCATGTGGATCTTGCCTATTTGGGTTTACGTTTTTGCTGCTGTCTTTAGCTTTATGCCAAAATGAATGATTGATAGCAGAAATAATGTGGACTTTATAATAGCCTTTATCTCACAATTATATCAGAATATATAAATCAATGTAATAACAATAATAAGTCTGTTTTTTGTTGTGTTTTAAAATTCTGGTTTAAATGCCTCTTTCATGTTTTATATTAGTTCAACTTGTTGTGATTGGTGCGTGGGTGTTTGCTTTGGAGTGACGAGGCAGGGCAGTAGGGCGTTTGTTACGCGCTCCTCTTTACGCATGTGCGTGATGACGACACCACTCATAGCAACCAGCATGGCGACGGAGAAGCGTTACTTAGCCTCTCATCTGCTAATACGCTAGCCAGTGTTCAGTCGTTACCTTGACGCTGCTGGATTGTTTTAAAGCTCGGAAATGTTAACATTTAGACACGCTGTGTTGTCATGTGCTGTTCAAACTCTGTCGCTGCTGCCTCGGCACATTTCTGAGGAAAATGGGATACGCTGATTGTGACTCTATCATGGAATCGAGAACAGGTATGCAATCACTGTTAGCATTAGCCACAACATTCGGCTACTTAATCTGCAGAGGGAAGCAAAACAAGTTTAGTATCAACTAATGCTGACTGTGTGACTGTGTCTGCTCTTAGAAATGTGGCTTGAAGTTCATCTAGTTAGATAATGGCAAGTCTTAAACTTTTATAATGGTAAAACATTCAAACGATCTTATTGATTTAATTACTGTGGGTGGATATAGAAACAAAAATACAAGCATATAAACTTATTCTAATTAAGGTAAAATGTACAATATTCTTTATTTAAATTTAGAAAACAGTAGGTCAATTATCACTAATTGTACTTCTTTCTTTCAAAGGTCTTTTTTTATTAAAAGATAATAACAGAAAATAGCTTTTACTGTACAGGGAAATATTTTTATTTTCTCCCCCCCCTTAACAAAAACACTCATACAGGTCGCAAAACATCCAAACATCCAGACCTGGAGCTGCACCTAGAAGTCACATTCTGAATAATAAAAGGTCAAGGTCAACAATAAACACATCTGTACAGATGAGGGCAGTCCTTCCTTCGAACTCTAAAGGAAGCCGAGTTGCATTTAAGAACTATGTTGGTATATAGGATGCAGTAACACACCCCAAACTAACCCACCCACCCATAAAAATAAATAAAGAAAGAAAATAAAGAACATCACAAAAAGAAATAAATCATATCAAGAAAAATAAGAAAATAAAATAAATAACTAAAACACAGTAATAGGCTACTCAGATATGACAGTAGTGGGTCTACTAATTGTACTTCAAACACCTCTTCTCAACTATCCTTGAGAATTAACAAGCAAACACATACCACAAAATGTCTAACGCCAGGCAGATAGGTTGAAGTTTTTATTTTATTATTGTATCATACATATATTTATATGCCCAGCCTGAGTGCATAGTAGGTCTTTTCATGATCATGGAACAGCGGATGATAATGAGAACAAAAAGCATTCATGAAACCGACTATCTTGTTTTCTTTTTCAGGCTTTTTGAGGCTAAATTAGCACATCAAACTTAAACTGCAATTCCAGTTTTTTGCTCAACTGGCCTACACAATATTTCAGGTTTATGACAAGCTATTTCACAGCACCTCTCTTAGGTCAAAATATTTTTTTACAGTTCAAAAGAAAAAGGGACTAAGTTTCCACTTTATCCAAATCACTAAGTTATTATTCTGTCTTTATTTCGAACGATTAAAAAATAGATGAAAGTGAATAAACAAATGGGGAAAAAAAATCTGTATAAAATAAAAAAGGCAATTTCAATATAATACACATTTGACTCGTTCGAAAAGGGATATAGGCTTGTCAAGTCCTACCCCCATTCTTCACCATTAAAATGCAAAATCCAATAAAATAAACTAAACGGACAATACAAAAATCCAATCCAATCGAGCTATTAAGAAAAACAAAACAAAAAAAAAGAACAAAATGAACAGGTGCCATTAACATCTGTGAGATTTACATTCTCCTTCCTCATTTCTGTACTTTTCAAAGACATATCTTTTGTACATTTGTTTAAATTGCATTATATTCATACTTCTGTCTGTTTTCTCCTGGAATATTTTTGAGTGGACCAACCCCAATGGCCAAAGAAAAAATACCAGATTTTATCTGTGCGACCAAACATCTTTGGCCTCTACATAAATGAGATGTTATATATTTCAGGCATAAAATTCAGTTTGATCTGCACGTATTTTATTTCAATACCAATGTTGCGATAGCTTAATCAGTAAATGTTATAAATAAAGACCGTTTTCATCACAAGTTCTCACAGCTTAAAGGGATGTCATAAAATTGCTGATGTATCTGAGCAACATGCAAAAACGGCAAACGTTATAAGTTTACTAAAACATTCAAAGTCAGATATAGTTAATCTTCCAATTTAAGAAGCCGCCGATACAAAATGTTTCAGTAGCTTACACAATTCTTTTAAGTTTATGAATGAAGTTAAAATGTCCAGATCGATCTGTGTTCTTCTTAGGGAGTGCATCATCTAGACCGGGGTCCAGCCCTGTTGTGAGAGGACAGACTTTGAAAAGTAGCCGTAAGTATATACACTCACATATTGTACTGGCAGATAAGGGCACATATTTACATTGTACTGTACTGTAAATTGTGTCTTGTGTTTTTAGCTTTCTGCCCGCAATCCTCCAGTAAGTTGACACAGTCCATCATTAAAGACCACATGCTCTCTCATTACAAAAAGGTCTACTCAGCAAAAGGTGAGCGTCATGGGAAGGTTACATTATGTTGATATTGATTATATCAGACTTATCCAGCTCCTGCATACACACAGAGCTTGAATGTGGATGTGATTCAGATCTCTGTAGCAAAATATTTTGATCAATAATTTGGACCTGGCTTTGTTCCACAGCTGCCGTTGATGCGTCAGTACCCAAAAGCTTGATACACAGTGTGAAGTGTAAGTAACTACATTTCAAATGGGAAAGTATTGATTCAACTCTCAAACATTCTTTGTTGGAATAGGGGAGTATTTTTGGTTCCATTTTTTGTTGGTAAAACATTTCTTATTCCAGCACACCCACAGTATTTTTTCTCTGTACACAATACTTTGTACCAACGTTTAGTATTTCTGAAAGACATGAATCACAGTACAGGCAGAGGCCAAATGCTGCACTGACATAAGCCTCAATAATCAATAGTACCTTGCTATTACTTATTGCATTTGAGTCCAGGATTCAACACCTCGTGTTCCTCATCTTTACTGGTAAAAGGTGTCATGCTCTGTTTCAATGATGTGCTACAACAGTGGCTCTCTTGACACTTAGGCTACTGAGCTGTACCTCATAATTAAGTTTAATGAGCCTTTTCTCTTGGGCTATCCAAAGTCATCGGAGGACACATTTTTCATAGAATAAGCTATGAGATGTATTGAGAATCACTGTTAAAATTGATTTTGATTATCTAAGGTTGGCTTTTATTTCTTTGGTGTGAGAAACTGCTCTGCCAAAAGTGATAGTTGCACAGAGCAGAGTAGACTTTTTCCTTCTATCTGTTCATGTTTTCATTGCCTGTTTACAGACAATGACCAGATCAGACAGGAGCGGTTGAGGAAAGGGAGTCGTCCTCAATCAGCCCACTCCTTCTTACAGGGGAATAGCAGAGCCTCCTGTTCCTCGGCCCAGGTAAGAAATCAACAATGTGTCACATACGTTATGCAGCATTAAATATTTGAAGTAAAAGCCTACTTGTTTGTCATTCAGAGTTTTTCCAAATGTACAATCTCTGATTCATTTCATGTGCGTCTTTTAGAGTAGATTATCTGCACAGTATGATGACAGTCCCTACCTCTGCTCAAGAAGTTCCATGGTTTCCAGCCCAAGGTTCAACACTTCCTTTAATGCCAAGGACGTAGTTTATCCATCAAATAAACTCGGTCCGCAACACCGGCATCATCACACTCGCCCAGCTTCAGAGATGAAGTACCGCAGCCCAGAGGCCACTTTACACAGAAGACAGTCTGCGTGTTCACTGGAAGCTTCAGGAGAACAGAGCTTCTACAAGACATTTCAGGATCCAGTTCAGAAGACGTACAGCGGGGACTTGCTCCAGAAACATTCACAGCACTTTACCGGAGACAAACCTTTCACCCCTAAGACGCTAAAATCAGATAAGAGCTCATACTTGTCAAAATATCGCTACTACAGAGCACCACGGAGGAAACCCGCTGAAGACTGCAATAAGTCTAGGTTCATGCGACAGGAGACGTATCATGGAAGGTACTTACAAAAACATGTGTGTCTCTTTGAATTGTTCCAGCAGCAGATACAGCAAGTGTTTTCAAAGTGTTGAATATGAATTCTATTCTTTTTTTTTTCTTTTAGCACAAAAAACAAGGAATACACACAGGAGCTCTATGGGTCATCTCAGGTAATTTTCAGGAAATATTGTCTAATAAAAACTTTTCTATTTTAAGTTATGAAATACACCAAAAACATTTTAAATGTTTGTGTTGATGTGTGATGTAGTAACGACAGTTTATATTGCAAAGCTGTTATCAGCAAATATATTTCATTTTGCTTTTTACATTATGGGCAGACGGGGTTTTGATTCAGACCTTCTGCCCTGTTCCTGCATGTCATTCCCTACTCTCTCCCCCTTTTCACACTCTGTCCACTGTCCTGTCTTCTAAAGCCCAGAAATTAATCTTAAAAAAAAGTTAGTGTATAATTATTTCTGTTAGGATACCTGCAGCAAGGTTAGCATTAACCAGCCTTCTTCTGACCTACATTGTTCATGAAAACCATCAAACACTTTGAAACCACAACGTTAAACAGCCACTTTAAACCTACAAGGATAAGACTGCGGTGACAAAACCAAATATCCATTCTCATTGTACAGCCCTCTTTGTTTTACAGGGATTAAACGCGGAGCATGAGTGGTTTGAGGATGACTTCAATAGTACATACTTCTCAGCATCCAGAGAACAGAGCCGAGCACACAAGAGCAGGGACCATGAATCATTCCACTCCTCATCCAGGTAAAATCCATAAGTTGAAATTCTTGATGCTGTAAATATTTCCTTTTGTATTGATCTTACATAGTTTCATCTTTTAGGGTCTCACCAGTGGGCGGGAAGTCTCCAGCTGTGAAGAGTATATCTACAGAGTAAGTTGACTTTTATCATTTGTAATGCTTATACAGTTTTTTTTATTGATATAGTAGAAAATCATACAGGTATGTATGGATTTGATTACATAGTTCTGATATATTTGTTCAACAGGGAAGAAGAACTAACGTATCTAGAGTTCATTTCGGCTGTCACAGAGGATATCTTGTCCAGGGCGCACATTTCTGACAGGTTCGTGTCTTAAAGGTGTTCAAATATCTGTGTTTTTATGTTTTATCTATCACATGTGCAGCCTGACTCTTCTACAGTAGCTATAACATGTGCATATTTTTTTTAAATGAATCGTTAAAAACAGTGGCTCATGCCTGTAACTGTGTGTCTTTATGCCCCGCAAGGATTCTAGATAGGGTGATGAAGCGGCATATTGACATGAATCGACATTATCTTGATGAAGTGAGTATATTACTGCAGAATTCCAAATAGCTCTTTTTAATTGTTGGGTTATAGTTAAATTAAATGAAAGGGCTTTTTTTCTCGATCTGATTGTATTGTTTCTTTTCAGGGTAAAATGCGCCACCTTCTGGAAGTGCTGCGTAAAGAATTTGAAGAGCCAACCGACGTATCCACCCTCAGTGCAGAGATTGAAAAAAAGGAAAATGGTTTGCTTGATACTCTCCTACCTCATCTGGAATCAGAGACAGAAGAGGGGAAGACCAAAGACAACAAAAACCTCTTTTCTTACGCATCATTAATTAGAGACTGTGATTTGCCACAACATGCGGCTCCCTTATTGGTGTCTACCCCCTTATGCTCCCCAGAAAGGACTGCTTCACCTACTAAAACAAATGAAATGGAGGAGGAGAAGGAGGATTCTGAAGAGAACTTTAGCTCTCTTTGGCTCGGTGAGCATGTTCCCAATCATACAGGACTCAGTGAAGAGGACGTCCATCAAAATCAAATGGACACAACTGCGGCAAACAAAGAAATCAGCAATGACAGCCAAGTATGCACCACTGTGAGCAGTGACGAAGCATTTCATGAGGACGTAGCTGAGGTCAGTTCCAGCAGAGAATCGGAGGAGCTTGAGGATCTGGGGAGAAGCTTGTCACAGTCGCTTCATGTGTCCAGCAATACACAACACAACTATGTGGAGGCTACTGAGCAACATACAAATACAGTTGCTTCTGTCAGTGATGATGAGTTCTGAATTCTGCTGTTTTCATGTATTGACACGTTTACTGTATTTGTTAGAAAGGAGTGTTGTTTTACAGAGAGAAAATATTTGAATCTTTTAAAAGTTATAGGATTTTACACCACTGGTGTATTTACAATTTACCATGTGTGCTGTAGTATTAGTTCTAATCTTTCTTTTTTTTTTGTAAGTCTTTACAAAAGCACAAATTTCACACAAGCAAAAAGATTCATTGTCTTATCAGAAATGCCCTAAACATAGTGAAAATATTCCAAATGGTAATTTTATGTTTAACAAATTGACAAGGAACTCATAGTATTGCATTTATGTCAGATTAGATAAACTAGTGGTATCATTGGTTTGATTAAATTTCAGGGATTGTGTTCAGTATGCAGCTGCAGTTTACATTTTTCAGATTTCTGACAAATTCCTCAGATTGTTTGACTTGACATATGCCTGGCATGTAGTTACAAGTTGTTTACTGTCACCAGAAAGTGTCTTTACAATTGCAATAAATGTTCTATTCTTCAGCTGTATGTATATATGCACTGCTTATTAAGACTGTATTAGGTCTACAAACTCACAAGTAATACCCCTGCAAACCGCATCAAAACTAGTGCGGGGATTATTTCCACATTTAAGGATTCAATTCAAAAAACGTTTATTTGTCCCCGGGGGGGCAATTCAAAGGCACACAGAGCAGTAAATTAACAACAGTGCAAGTAGACGAAACATTTTAACCTAAATATAAAGTGTCAATTTAAATACAACTTAAAGCTTAAACTTAACTTAAAAATACAAAATATAAAGGAGTAGATATGAGTGGACAGTGATCGGACTAACATGTAAACAGAACTATGTGCAGTAAACGAGAAATAAATATATATATACAGAGCTATGTGCAAGTAGGCTAAATACTAATACAATATAACTGTTAAGGTAAAAATTAGATAAATAAAGTGACCGTAATGCAATGATGGATAAGAGACAACAGGAATAAAGTAACCAGAACTGTATGAATACTGAAATAGAAAGGAGAGAATAAAGTGATGTAGTGCATGAGAGCAGAAAAATCGTGACTTAAACCATCTTGCAGAAAATCTTCCTCGATTGCACAACATTCTGTTCGCGATTACAGCTGTCAGTCGATAAAAAAGAAAAAAGAAAAAGGTAAACAGGCAGGTCAGCGGCCTGCAGCTCTGGGCAGCTGTTCCATTTCTGGCATTTTCACCGCTCGGCATTCCAGCTGTCTGATGTCATAGACCCCGAAACCCTCCATGTATTCCTCCGCCGCAGAGGCACTACAATGCATTTCAGAAGTATGCACAAGAGAGTATGGCAAACTAGTCACAATTGATTGAAGTAAAGTGAACCGACAGGGTAAAATGTGACACAATTCTGTGATTATTACTCGTGTTTATGTTGCCGAAGCACAGTTTGTAAAGTTAAAGAGTCGCGGATGTAGACACTTGTTGCTCCTCCAATCCCAGGAAGCGAAACACGCTCGGTACTTGAGTGAACTATCGGACCAAGAGGCATGGGGTGCTACGTTAGTGTGGATCCAAAAACAAACCACAAACAAGCTGATCGTCTTCATTCCCGATAGATATCTAAAAAAAAAAAAAAAAGAAGTGGAAATCCGTCGACCTTCATGGCGGATTCCCTCGGGAGCGAAACGTAGCTGGACCACCGTGTTGCATCTCGGTGGCTAACGGTAACGTTTACAATTTTGCCCAAAAAGTATTTACCGGCGACGTCAGCTTCCCAAGGGTGTCGTCTATTTGCTGGAGCGTATGTTAGCAGTGAAGCTAATTTTTTAAGCAAGTTGTAGTAAGCGGAAAAATATCAACATGGATGTTAAAATTAACTTTAAATTGTTTAGTTGGTTAACTGTATTTCAGACGTTTTGGCCCAACTTCAGTCCGTTGTAGTAGCGTTACATTTGTTTTAATAAAACGTGTGTACGGTTGACGTGGATACCAGCAGGGATTTAGTTGTGTTGTGTCCGACAGCGGCAGCTTGACTGGGTCGCACTTGTCATTCTTGGGATCAGACTATTAACCGGGAGAGGATTAACTCCAACCTCAAGCTTGAAAAAAATGGCTACAGCTGGCAAAACCTAATTTTCAAAACGTTTGTTGAACAGATCAGGTAGTTGTTGTTTTTGTTTCTCCAAAAGTTAAAAAACATCAACACTTCTCTGCGAAATGCTAATTTTAATCGACTTTGAGTCGCTGAAATGCATTTCAAACGATTACTTTGTGACACATTTTAGTTAATTGATTTATTTTATTTAACTTTCTTTATTGCTTTTACATATTAACAACATTTCCACTTAGAAATGTCCATACAGAATGTGTTTTTTATTTAACTTTCTTTATTGCTTTTACATATTAACAACATTTCCACTTAGAAATGTCCATACAGAATGTGTTTTTTTATTTAACTTTCTTTATTGCTTTTACATATTAACAACATTTCCACTTAGAAATGTCCATACAGAATGTGTTTTTTTTATTTAACTTTCTTTATTGCTTTTACATATTAACAACATTTCCACTTAGTAATGTCCATACAGAATGTGTGTGTTTTTTTCCCCCAGCAAGAAGAAGATAAACAAACAAATACTTAGAAACAAACAATTATACCCCTCACCCCCACCCGTACCCCTCCCCTGGCACATATCCCCTAAAGAAAAAAGAAAACAAGAAACAGGGTTGACAATAACAAAAAGTAAGGGTTCTCAGTCTAGATTAAAGTGACATTCTGTGCTTTTCACATGTGACAAAAAGGGGTTCCAAGTTTTTCCAAAGGACCTCTCAGATCCAGACAGGGTTAACGTGATTTTTTTTTTTTTCCAGTTTAAGAAAATGAAGCACCTCTTTAATCCAGTACACATGTGTAGGTGGGGCAGAGGATTTCCATCTCAGGCCAGCAGGGTTGAGAATGCTACCAGGTCTTTTTTATTTGAGGGAAGACAAAGTGCAGAGGGCAACACACCAAACAGAGCAGTTCAAGCATTTGGAACAATAGTTTTCCCTGTGACCTTGGATAACACAACAAAAAAATTCAGACCAATATGTATTTAACAAAGAGCAGTGGCAGAACATATGTATATAGTCAGCAAATCTTAGTTAATCTGGAGTGGCATTATTTTAATGCGACCAACAATTTGTAGTTTACAACATATTAAATAAAGCACATTAGAATCCTTTAATAAAACGCTTTACTAACACTCAGGTTGTTCATATTCACATGGTTTTAAGGTGCACTATGGAGTTTTGATAGAGAAATGTAAAAGTTTGAAAAATGTACAGATTCTGTCGTATGTTCATAACTTTATACACAAACTGTCCTCAAAGGAAAATGTGGTCCTTGTAACCCTGAAGATAAAATCCCTCTCGAGATATTATGGTGGTGGGTTCAAGTCTCCTGGTAGCTTCATAGCTCCAAACAGTGTTCAGTGAACCATTTTTTCTTTGAGTAAAGTTTGTGTATTAATTTCAGAAAATATAGCATAGAATTATTTCACTTCTCCAACTTTCAAATTTTACCACCAAATCTCCGTAGTGCACCTTTAATGCGACGAACAATTTGTAATTCACAAGATATTTAATAAAGCATATTAGAATCCTTTAAGAAAAAGCTTTACTAACACTCAGGTTGCTCATAATATTTGCGATTCACTTGGTTTAACATCCACTTCCAGCTTTGGTTGTTTGTTGTAATAGACTACTTTGGATATGTTTTGAATTATCTTGTCTCTTTTTCAGGTTTGCCTTTTGATGATGAACCTCGTAATTATGAACATTCACACTATTTTCGAGGGGTCAGCCAGGAGGATAATTTCTCTTGAGTGAGGGAAGACCTCCCTCCTGAAGAGGTGTGAAACATGCCCCTGCCATTTGGCTTTAAACTCAAAAGAACTCGAAGGTATACTGTTTCAAGCAAAAGCTGTCTTGTCACTCGGATACAGCTGCTCAACGGAGAGTTTGTGGAGTTTACGCTTTCAGTGGAGAGCACAGGACAGGAATGTCTGGAGGCAGTTGCTCAGAGACTTGAGTTAAGAGAGGTATGTATATGTTCTTCATTCATTAATTCTTCAGGAGAGAACAAGTGCTGATTGTTCTCTCCTGTATGTTTATGACACATAAACATATTGTGTGTCATTTGCCATTCCCCATTCAAACCCAAGTATCAGCTCATGAACAGTGTGGTCAAGAAAAGAATCTGTGATTCAGAAGTGAACGAAGCACTGTAGTGTCTACATTTGGTCAGTATAGTCAGTCACATGTCGACAGTAACTGTTAATCATCAACTGACAGAGATGTAGGCTGGTATGCTGTCACCCAAATGCACCTCAAAACAACAGTATAGACTGCTGAATGTGCTGGCAATCTGGCAGAGGAACTTTTTCTTTTATGACAGCATTTGTTATTCAGCTGCATGACGCACTGAAGCTTTGGTTCAGTCTGGCTAGCAGTCCAAACAGTTAGTGAAAGGCCTCCTCCCTGAATTAAAGTTTTTATAGTCTGCAGAGGGTAATTTTATAATGTAGTTTTATGTCACCAGGCTTGTTTGCACCATCATTTTTGTGTCCTGAACTTCTGAACGGTTATGCAGCCAAAATCATTGTCTCATGATGACTGTCCGCATGGGCTATCAAGTCCTGTGTTTGGAAAATCTATATTAATTCAGCTTCAGACGAATGGTGATGACATTTAATAGAGAGCACTATTCAAATTTAATTCAACTGTTTGTAATTTAGCCTTAAACAAACACATTTCCCATGTCATAATATAGTATGTTCTGTGCTACAGGTCATTTTTATGTCACATTATTATAAAAGAAAATGTTAGAAAAAGACAGAAACATATTTGACTCACTACTATCGCATGTAAAATAATGATGTTTGCATATCATCACTTGTGGTTTGAGAGAGGCTGCAAACCACAATAGGGCTCTTTCAGCCAACGTGCGCTTGTTGTGAGATGTTCAGACAGTCAGTCACAAGACTGAACAGTAAGTTCCCACGGCACTAGAGGAGATTGCAGTTGTCGAAATGTCAGCTCTACATGTGTTTTGAATATCATGTAGATGGTTCAGAGAAGGCTCACAGCTTTTTCTTGTCTTGTTAAGAACGATTTCCTTCGAGAGAGCTACTACAGATAGTTAAGTCCAAATTCATGTGCCTAATGTATAGATGTTATATAATGTACTCAATCACAAATTAAATAGCAATTACTTGCTTGTCTACTTGGCTTTTTAGATAACATTCTTCAGCCTGTGGTACTTCAACAAGCAGAATCAGCAGAGATGGATCGACTTGGAGAAGCCGCTGAAAAAGCAGCTCGACAAGTACGGGCTGGAGCCCACCGTTTACTTTGGAGTCGTGTTTTACATACCCAGTGTCAACCAACTGCAACAGGAGATCACAAGGTGATGTTCCAACAGCATCATGAAGTGTCGTGTCTCAGCCCTCAACCTTTTTATCTTCACACAACTTCACCTTCAACAATTGCAGTGACATGAAATGAGTGCTAAGCAAAGTGTAGTGCTACCACTTTAAGTATGTTTGTGTGTGTCTGTCAGAAATCTTCAGACTAAATAAAGGTGCCAAATGTTGATCCTTAGACTCAAATGCCACCTCAACTAAGTGATGGATTCTAGTCTTTGTATATTTCCCCATCCATCTCTGTTAATACTTGGACCCAGATAGAGAGGTTTCAAGTGGTTTAAACATGTCACAAATTATTTTAATACAACCGTTTAAGTTTTACCCTGTAATGAGAAGTCAGCTATTTCTGCAGACTTGAACAAAGTTGTTGTATTTGTTTGTTGCCTGCTTGTCTATTCTCCACTCTTGGGTAATCTTTTCTTTTCTCCACAGATATCAGTATTACCTGCAGCTTAAGAAGGATGTTCTGGAAGGAAGGATCTCATGCTCACTTGAACAAGCTGTTCGTTTAGCTAGTCTGGCAGTGCAAGGTAATGTGAACATATAAACCCTGCAGGGTAAACAGATGCCCTCTTCACAAATGCACTCCTACATTTTGTAGATAATTTCAGGACATTGAGGCCCTGATATTTTCGACGGACACACTCTCAACACTAGGAATACTCGGTTGGGTTTGGGGAAGGGGCAGCAGGGTAGGGTGTGCAAAACGAGGAGGGGGAGGAGTCTGTTTCTAGATATCAATACACCACATATACGGACACTTCTGCAGGGCAAATACAACAGTGGAAAGCAATATCAAGATAACCGAGTTGAGGAGTAAAGAGAACAACGCAGCAAAATTTTGTTGAACCTGAACAACGTCATCACCCCGCTGGCTAGCTTGCAGTGATTTTTCTCTGAATGCGTTCAGACATCAGCTCAACACAACCCTTGCTGGTGTATCACTAGGGCGCTGGTAGAAAGAGTGGATAAAGTCAGTGAAAAACTCGACTGTTAGCATTCACACATCATATCGAGGTATTGTTGGGAAGTTTTCAGGAGAACTGTGCATGTGTGAAAGGGACTAGAAACCTCAGTTGACATGTCTGAAGTTTATTGTTATAAACCTTTTCAATCCCAGGCAGAGTTGGACAGCAGTTAGTCATCATATCGGGCAACGACTGCTGAAACACCAGTTACTCTGCATGCACTGGTCAACATTTACTTTCTGTGATATTTGTGGACAGTGGTTTGCACGAGTTCAATATGGTTGTTTGCAAGTTTGAAAGGGTACAGGTGTTGGTAATTGTTTATAAGCCTATTGATGATCAAACAGTTGCTAAGACTGGTGTCTTCTGAAAGCAGAGCACGGAGAATTTGATTTTAGGTCAAAGATTTAGGACTTATTGCAAACAAAATCTGTTTTTTATCTCCCTTGTTTTAAGTGTTGGTGATCACTGCGCTTTGCCATTTTTACTTTGCAATAAACAGCTCTTATAAGCCCCATTTAACCCCAACAGCATATTAATATGGTCTGGGGTGTTTGTTGTGCATGTGAACTTCCCCCTGTATGAACATGTCCTCCAACTGTTGTCCAGCCAGAAAAATCTCAAACACTGCTGGCAAAGTTATATCAGGCACCGCAACTCTCTGGCCTGGGTGTTAGCATTGCAAAGCTGCTGAGATCACTTACTGCTGCAGCCGTGTTCAGATGACTGGCCAGCATGCAGCATTCGGCCGACAGAAACATTCTTAAGAAAAGTCTTCCTCTAAGTTGTAGTCGGTGTACAAGTTGTCATGCAGACTTGACATATGTGCTGTAAATAAAGCTGCTTGATTCCTATTTTTTGTCCCTGGTGCAATATTTTGGAATGAAGGGCAGTTTCAGCTACTGAACAGTGCTGATGCCTGGGATGCCCAACATTGTTGAAAGTGCTGCCAGCAGGAAGGCTGGAGCTGGTACCAGTTTTGGATGTCTACGTTGTCAGACTCTGAAGCAATTCCCTTAAATAAAAAAACAAGCCCCAACTCTCCAAAAGCCATTACACCATACTGCAATTCTTGGATGTCTCTTTGGCCTTGTACTAAATACAGTGCATGGGCATGTAATAGGTTTTATTCAGAGAGCAGTGTCATGCAGAGTATGCCCTGCTCTATTTCTCATTTATTGTGTCTCTTTTTGTCTGCAGCTGACTTTGGAGACTTCAATCGATATGATTCTCAGGAGTTCCTACAGAAGTTTGTCTTGTTTCCGATTGTAAGCACATTATAATCAAATGGAGTTTGTTTATTTCTCTAACTAGGCAGCATTGTACTCTTTCTGATTCTTTTTTTTGTCTTTATAATTGTTATTCTTTTTGAAGGACTGGATCCAGGATGAGCGAGTTCTGGAGGAGGCCACTCAGAAAGTGGCTCTTCTTTATCAGTCCTTTAGGTGAGTTGTTGTTTATATTCAGCCTGCCTGTTCTTTGTGTTGATCAGCAAACAGCGTTAAAAGTGCAGTCCTTTTGCATCTATTTCCTTAAACCACCTTTTTTTATCAGTGTAATCTGGATTTACTTCAGATCTGGGGGAGGCCAAATTTAAGCCACCTTTGTTATTTATACTTGAATGGGCTAATAGAGCTGGACTTACCAGCTTACCAGACCCAGTTTTTTCCCACGCTGATCAAAATGTTGTCTTTTATCAAAACATTCACCATTTCCCACTTTATTAAAATAAACTCAGCAGAATTATTTTGACTTATTTCAACTTTTTTGATGAGTTTAAATGTTGCTTTTTGTTGTTGTTGTTGTCTTTTGTGGGTTTTTGTTTTTCAGGAGGCTTTGACATTTCTCTTTGTGTTTTGTTTCTTTGTATGTCTTATTCAGGGGTTTATCAGCCCCAGAGGCAGAGATGTTGTACATGCAAGAGGTGGAGAAAATGGAAGGCTATGGTCAGGAAAGCTATCAAGCTAAGGTAGGTTTACCTGGTCCAACCTTGAACCTTGAACTGGACCAATGATGACAATGTTCTGTATGTGAGCTAACGAGAAATATATCATCTCTAAAACCGCCCAGTTTCATCCAACTACTGTTTGTTTTAAATAGGTTTTGATTCCTTTATCAGAAACACTGTTGCTTATGTCTATTCTATTTTTTTTTGTCTCAACAGGACAGCACAGGCACAGATGTTACACTGGGTTCTTGCCTAGAGGGCATCTTTGTCAAACATAAAAATGGCAGGCCACTTCTTCTATTCAGGTAAGTCTGGAAACAAATTTAGAAAAATATTTGTTTGGCTGTTGAAACAAAAGGCTTAAAGTGCTGAAACATGATCTACTTCCTGAATTAAAGCGTTGTCTGTTAACTTGTGACTCTGGGCAGTAATTAAATTGAATCCGATGCCTCTGATTGAGTTTCGTGGCACAGCTCACAGCTATTCTTGAGCGAGGTTTTCCCCTGTAGTGCTCCACGATGCTCTCTCAACTTAAATCATGAATGTTGCACTGGAAGAAATGAGTCAGGCCGACTGCGATAGCTGAAAAGAATTGTGGGAGCATTATCTTCTGCTCTTACATTCTCGATCGCAGCTGAACTCTGCCTTCGTCCCATAACGAGTGCCCACAAGTGTATGGCTTTTATTAAGCACTGTTAACAGTCTCTTAAAAGGGATTTGTGACGCCATGACATCATGTGTTTTTTTTTTCTCCTCTCTCTCTTTATGTCACTGCGTTCAAATTGGCTGTGTAGGTGGAATGAAATTAACAACATGAGTCACAACAGGTCCTTCTTTGCCCTGGAGCTCACCAACAGAGAGGAGAGTGTTCAGTTCCAGACCGTAAGTCTCTGCTGCCTCTGCACCTTCTTTTCTGTAGACTCTCCCCTGGGACATTTCACGCTCTTATTGGATTTGGGAAAATTGGAAATAGCCTTCATTGTGTTTTGTACCATCAGCTAGTCTTTACAATGCCACCTATGTTTGTGTGGGAGTGGGCCATAAAGTTGCATACCATTAGCTGAAACCACCTCTGTATTAAATGTCTTGGGGCATAATGATTTTGTTTTCTTCCTCCTTTGTGTAGGAAGACATGGAAACCTCCAAATATGTGTGCCGGATGTGTCTGGCCAGACTCAAGTTTTATAAGATAAACAAGAGTAGTCTGTAAGTTGTTTTTTTATTTTAACAAGTCTAGCCTGGTTCCTGTCTCTTTGTTCTTTGTCGTCTCATGCATGTGTCTCCTCTTCGGAGTAGCCTCACTTCCATCCTCCTCTCTCTTCAGAGAGGAGTGTGACAACCTGCCTTCTGAGGGCTCCCAGAAGTCCCTTCTCACTCTATCCTTTCCTCGCTTTCCAATGCTCTCTCGTCCCTCTCTGCCTTCTAATAAGGGGTGAGCCACCACCTACATTATGCCCATCAAGCAGATGCAGACACCAGTCGCTTCCTACCACAACAAAACAGGCTCTCTGTTTAAAATGGGTCTGGGGTGCTGTAATGTGTGGGGAATTTTCCTCCCCAAGTGTTATGTGTTTGTTGTTTAATTAATGGGATGTTAATGAACCAAAGATAGAATTGCCTTGGTTTTGTTGAAGCTAATGGTGATACTTATCAGTAAAAAAAAAGCCACTTAATTTAGGCATTGTAAAACCAAGACCTTCTTTTTACAGTTCTAAATTTAAGGCACTTCTAAACATTTTAATTACAATCTATGATTCTATATCTGTGGTTACAGATATAGTGATTACAGCCCTGTGATTACTTTGAGAACCCGACCGATAAATTGGCCAGCCAATAATATCGGCCGATATTAGCAAATCACATGACAGCTTATTTGATCTCTAAAATGTGCCGATAGATCTATGATTATTCAATTTAAGTTTCTTATTTATTTTGATATAGTTTTTATTTATATTGTTTTGATGCACTTGAAATGATCTGTACCTTTTGCTGTGTGTGTGAGTTAAATAACAAAAAGACAAATGAATGTGTTAGGAAAAGGGTTTAAAGTAGCCGTATTTCCCGTCTGGTCTTTTTGTTAACCATTTATTTGTTTTCCCTTCAGCCAAAGCCAGGCCACAGTTGTCAATCCAGTCAGACGGAGATCCTCTACTCGACTATCTCTGGTAATATCCGTCCTCACTTGAAAGCCATTTCTGTTTATAATGATGTGTGTTGAAATATAGCCTCATAGTTATTTTTTTATTCGTTGCTATGGGGCAGCATTTAGATCATATGAGCTGTAACTGAATCTCACTCTTGGTTGATTTACAGCCGAAGCCTCAGGGCTACATGATGCCCCCTCCACAAATGCACTATAATGGCCATTTCACAGAGCCGTACACATCATCACAAGGTATGTACTCTGTAAAACAGTGGTTCTCAGTTTAACTTTTTGATAATAAACTCCCTTTAATATATATATATATTTTTTTAAGCAAACAACCGACTGTTATGGAATAAAAGCCTTAATGAGCCTGTAACAAATCAAAGGCATTGAATGACAAGTTATAACATGATGCTAATACTTTCTATTATTTTGTGTAGTTATGTAATAATAACAACAACAGTCTTAACAACCTTACACACCCTAAGACAGGTAATAATAAATTTGCTCTTTTGCAGACAACCTGTACATGAACAATCAGAACGGCTATTACTACCACTCCCAGACAAGCCTGGACTGCCCTCCTCTGGAATACAGCAGCGGAGGGCGTTTACGTAATGGCAGCGTCTACAGTGCCCACAGCACCAGCTCTTTAACCAATCCACAGCACTACCTTCAGCCCTCACCCATGTCCTCCAATCCCTCCATCACTAGTGACATCACCAGGCCTGACTATATCCCCTCGCACCGCCACAGTGCTCTGATCCCGCCATCCTACCGTGCCACACCTGATTATGAGACAGTGATGCGTCAGAAGACCAGAGGACCGGGCGGAGGGATGGTGTTGTCTCAGGAGCACCGGCAGAGCCACTCAATGAGGAACCTGAACATTGGTAACTCCTACGCCTACAGCAGGCCAGACCCTCTGGTTTACAGCCAGCCAGAGATCAGAGGGGAGCATGGCGGAGCGGCCCAACACCTCCACTATCCCTTCCATCTTGGCTCCAGCTTCCACAGCCCCTCTCCGTACCCATACCCCACAGAAAGAAGGCCTGTGGTGGGGGCGGTGAGCGTCCCAGAGCTCACTAATGTCCAGTTACAGCAGGCGCAGGAATATCCAGCCCCCAACATAATGAGAACACAAGTGTACCGACCACCGCCACCCTACCCATACGCCCATCCTCGGCCTGCTAACAGCACCCCTGACCTGTCGCGTCACCTGTACGTCAGCAGCAGCAACCCTGACCTGATCATCACGAGACGCGTGCATCACTCGGTCCAGACTTTCCAGGAGGACAGCCTTCCTGTTGCACACTCTTTACAAGAAGTGTCAGAGCCCCTTTTCAGTGGACCCCCACAGAGACACCCATACCACGCTCAGAAGCGTAACTCCATTGAGATTGCTGGATTAGCTCAAAGTCTGGAGGGGATGAGGGTCAAAGAGCGGACTTTGTCTTCGTCTGCAGCTGAATCTGCTACGCCTCCTCCTGTCCTGCACAGCCGTCAATCTCAGGGCTCTCAACTTGACGTGTTTCTTGAACGTACAAAGAAGGAGGACAGGGGGGGTAATAAGGAAGGCGTACAGTACGGACACAAAAAGTCCCTCTCAGATGCCACCATGCTGGTTCACAGTAGTGGTGAAGAAGAGGAGTTTGAGGAGGACAGCGGACGTCACACTCCACTGTCTCAGGATGCAGCAGTAACTCTTCCTGAGCAGCCTACGCAACCGCATCACAGCTTAACGTCTCTCTCTTCACTGAAAAATCAGCAACAGACTCCCATCGAGCCGCCTCCTGCATATCCCATAGGCTCCTCCCTCGACCCCGCCGTAACCAGCTCCCTAGCCTACAAGGTTCACCCCTTGATCCAGGAGAACGAGCCCCTGTACCTGCTGTCAGATTTAAGACAGCCCAGGATTATGCCCTCAGTCTCTGAGGGAGACCTGAGTGGGCAGGCCAAGCAGAAGACCAAGAAGGACTTCAAGAAGAGGCCTGTGTCTGATGTGCCTGCTGGGAAGAAAACCGTGGAAGGTTTGCCCCCTCCGGTGAGTTTTGTAATTGATCTAAGCTTAGAGCTGTACTAATATTTATTTTAGGAGATAATGTCTCATGTTTGAAGAAGTTATTAAAATGTTAAATGATTTCTGCTTAAGCTGTTCAATTAAGAAAAGTCTATTCTTATGTAAATAAGTTATGCTTTCTCAATCAGCATGCATTTATTTTTCCTATTGGATGGATGTCTGGGTATAATGGCCATGCATGCTCCTACTCCATTTTGAAGCACCTACTCAGGCTAGCTATCAGCTACCCTGAGATTAATTGGTGCCGATTTAGTGAAGAAACATGTATTTCAATTTAGTGAAGATTTTCGATAAACATGTGGCAAACACAGGTATTGTGGAAACCATGAAGTACAGCAGATAATCCTAAAACCTTTGAGTTGGAGCTAGTATGCACTCTGCGTGTTCATCACACTTTATGTAATTATTGCAAACTTAAACAATTGTGTTGCATATCACATATTTTCCTCATACCATGCAGACCTACTTTCAAGATATCTGTTGGCTTTTCTTTTTAAAGATTAGAGGGCTGGTTGATTTTGTCAAAGGGCCTGAATTGTCCCATGGCACCAGTTGAATAGGTCTGGCAAACATGAAGTAAGGTTGAGAATTTAAGGGGAAAAGGACAAACAAACTAAAATGTCTTCATGCTATTCCTCAGAGATGTATGTTTAAATTTTAAAATGATTTTGCCGTGACAAGTTGCATGAAATCTACAAGTTGAATGTGGTTGTTTCGAGTAAGGTGAATTGTGTTACTCAATCAATCAGTCAATTTTATTTGTATAGCGTCAACTCATAACAAGTGTTATCTTGAGATACTTTACAAAAAGCAAGTAAAATACCTTGGTGGTAGGTGGTTAGTGACTGAGATTTACAGATGGGTACATGCAGTAATATGATGTACTGTATATGCACAGATAGAGAGAGGAGGTTCGTTTACACCCTGGGTGAAACCAATAGAGTCTAGGAGGAGGGCGGTAAACTACAACAACTAGAACTGGCTGAAAGGTTGTTGAGACTGGATGTAAAAGACTAAGAACAAGGCTTTCAAAAGAAGAAAAATTCAGCTTTGGTCGAGGGTTAACTAGAAGACCAGAATTAAAAATAGCTGCCACTCCACCACGTCGTCCAGTGTCTCGAGGTACATCTTCTCGACACAGCCAGGTTTCAGTCAAACAAAATAAATCAATATGCTGATCTGATATCAGATCATTCACTATAAGAGATTTGGATGCTAAGGACCTAATGTTCAAAAGTCTGCAGTGAATTTTCAGATTTTGCAAATCGTTTTGATTCTAATGAGATTTTGACGATTTACGCCTTACTGTAGTTTATTGTTTTACAAATGTAAACATTTTATAACACTAGTTTTATTTTTCCCTGTAGGTGAACTGTTTCTGCTTAGAACACTCAGTTCTTAAGGCAAATAACTTAAACGTCTTGCCTGGTTTAAAAATGTGGGCTGTAGGCTCTATTGTCTGACATAAACACCACATGTTTGGCTTCATATCAAGATCACAGGAGTATGACGAGAAACCCAGACAGCTTCACTTTGACACATATCGAAAGCATGTCGTTGGACGTCCTGCAGAAAACCGGATGGGTGACATTTTTCTCAGGAAGCACAGAGCAGGTTTCGCTGCCCCTCCCCTCCGGCATACCTGTTGCCTCTCTGTGGGGCTCGTACACCATCGTCCTCACTCCTTGTTATTCTTTTATCACACCAGGGCATGAGGAAAGGAGCAAGGTCAGAGGTGAAGAAGATGGGCCCTCTGAAGGTGGCCCACCTGAACGGCCTGTCAGTGTCCAGGCAGCCGATGCACGACGAGATCAAGGATGAGCCTGAACGAGCCTCTAACGACGAGAGGGTAAGGCCCTTCACAGCTTTCAATTTTGTCAGCAGTTTGTTCCTTGATAATAGGTTTATAGAGCTTAAAGGAATGTAAAGTTTAACGAAGGCAGTGTGTGATTTAAATGTTTAATGTGTTTTTTTTACATGATTTGCCTTTTTAAAGAGCTTGAAGAAAAGCGTATAACCAGTAGCTGCTGGTTGTGTTTATTTAAGTTGAGAGCTTGTTATGAACGATATTTGAAGAGAAAGTCTGAGCCAGGACGTTTACTTTTAGATGAACCTGTCTGCCTTGTTAATGTTGATGCTCACAGCGTTGACATTGAAGGTACATTCAAGACACTTTGTTTATTAGCACTATAGCTCATCAGTTTGTGACATGCACACAGGAATTGTCAACAAAAGATGTACTGTATGTTCTTAAACTACAAACTGCATGCAAATGTGTAGAACCATTAAATCACTTAAATCAAATATAATTCAAATTTTGGACAGCAATGCACGAGATCGGTGCTCCATATTTGTAGTGTTCTCAAGGAGGCTTTCATTTTTACAGAGGTGTTATGTCTTTCAGAATGGGGTGTATCGTAATGTAACAGCCTCCATTCACCACAGTTCACAGTCAACTTTGTTCTGGTGTTGAAAGCACCACTCAGAATGTAACTACAGAAACATAAAGTTAAACACAAATGAGCTCGATTGCATCAGTCCCTCATTAAGATCAAAGACAGAAACAGATGCATTTATGAGGAATTTTTTAAGGGGATATGTAAACATTTTCTTGACTCAAACTTCAGCCTGTTTATTTACCATCAGGGGTATTTTCAGTCATTTAGTTTTCATTTAAGATCAAAAAGTGATCCTTGACATTGCTCCACATAATTCACAAGAGTACAAAATTAAACTTGCCCATAAGTCAGTGCTGCTGTTACAATGGCACTGATGTACTTACTGTTCCCCTGTGTTTGTGTTTTTAGTGTAAAGCGCTAGAGCAGCACATGGAGAGGGGAGAGCTGCTGAAAGAGTACGAGAGCATCCCAAAGCGACGTCCGTCAGGAGAATGCAACATCGCCCTGCAGCCAGAGAGCGGAGACAAAAACCGCTTCCAAGACGTCATGCCTTACGACGACACCCGAGTGGAGCTGGTGCCCACGAAAGAGAACAACACAGGATACATCAATGCGTCACACGTCAGAGTAAGTCAGGAAGACGGTTATTAAAACAGTTATCTAAAGTGCTCCAGCGCTTAATTGGTCTGTACAGCAGGTTTATATGCTGGCGCAAACAAATCCATTCGCTCCCTGAAAATGTTCATAATGCCATTACACACATGATTTCAGAGTAAGGAATCTTTGACTAAATTGCTGCCATGACAACATCACAAATTTACAGAAATACAGTTGTATTCTGTGTGGATAGAGCAGGTGTTAACATCTGGTGATTTTTGACCATTTTAGAAAATTCAAAACTCTCATGATCTTAATAAAAGATAATTTTCTGTCCATCTACAAAACAAAACAATTTGGCTGCTCACTGCGACTAACCAGACTATGCGATGTTTCATTCTCTTGCCCACACTAATGAGGTTAAGTTCAGCCTAATTCTTTGTTTATTTTTGTTTTTTTGCAACTCTGGGGGATCGAGATAAACGAGTCGGGATTTCGAGAAATCCGCTGATTTTCTGTGATAACGAGTAATTTACAGAGTAGATAAAAAAAACATGGATGTGTGTCTGCTTTGGTTGGATTGTTTGGTTACATTCTAGAAATAATTTATGGCCATAATGCAGTTGAAGCTGTGCATTATGGGAAGCAGTGTTTTTCTAAAGGCGTTCCTTGTCATTTTAGATAACAGTGAGTGGACAGGAGTGGAGCTACATTGCTACGCAGGGTCCCATGTCGAACACCTGTCAGGACTTCTGGCAGATGGTGTGGGAACAGGGTGTCTCTATCATTGCCATGGTAACTGCTGAAGAGGTGCGTAGTTTTTGTTTTATATTTCTAACAGTTCTTTCTTTTTTTAATTTTACTCATCACTGTCAGTACTGACCTGTGTGAATGTCCTCTGCGTCCTCCAGGAGAGTGGCCGAGAGAAGAGCTTCAGGTATTGGCCCCGGCTCGGCTCACGACACAACACGGTGACATACGGCCGCTTTAAGATCACCACGCGGTTCCGCACAGAGTCGGGCTGCTACGCCACCACGGGGCTGAAGATCAAACACCTCCTGACGGGCCAAGAGAGGACCGTGTGGCACCTGCAGTACACAGACTGGCCTGACCACGGCTGCCCCGAGGACTTCAAAGGCTTCCTCAGTGAGTGGGATCAGAATCTGTTTGTCCTTTCATGGTCATCACACTTTAACAATCAGACATGTTCAAAACTGGTTCAAAGATATTTTTCACTGACTATCATATCAGTTCCTATCTGTCTTTCTGCCTTACAATAAGAGAAGCCAAGCCTAAATACCTGCACATGCACAATCGTATTTCTTCTTGTGTGGGCGATATTTGAAACTGCTCTCTTTGCAAAGCCTCTGAAACTTCTTCTTTGCATCGCACAGAGAATATGATTCATGATTTTTGTATGAAGAATACAACGTGTTGAAATGATCTCTTTACAAAGACAGGATTCCACCCACCACTGCAAAAAGTTGCCGCTACAATTATTTCTGTCCCTCTTTTTTAAAACAGCTGAATGAATGTATCCTGTTTGTACTTAATTCTGAAATGAGTTGTTGTAATGTTTCTCCAGCCTACCTGGAGGAGATCCAGTCTGTGAGGAGACACACAAACAGCATCAGTGACCCAAAGAACACAAACCTGCCTGTGCTGGTCCACTGCAGTGCTGGAGTGGGACGCACGGGGGTGGTCATTCTGTCTGAGATCATGATCGCCTGCCTAGAGCACAACGAGGTAAAAACGTCCTTCTTGGAAAAATAATCAAACCTGGAGCCTTTAGAGAAGCTGTTTCCTCCTCCTCATACTGTGAAAATCTTTCTTTTTCAGGCACTCGATGTCCCAAAATTCCTGTCGAGGCTGCGCGCTCAGAGGATGATGATGGTGCAGACCTTGTCTCAGTACACCTTCATCTACAAGGTCATCATAGAATACCTCCGCAACTCCAGGCTCATATGAGGCCACGTGTTGGTCACAGCCAACATCGCAGTACAGTTATTACACACGATTGTAGCATGGAGTGTGCTGCAGGTTGATACCAAACTGCTGTATGAACCTCGAGTTTCAGTTTGTGGAGGTGTAAAGATCAGACGAGGCGGAAGGAGTGATGTGTGGCTATTTAAGAATGAAGGAGCATAAAGACTTATCTCTAAACAGTATTATATATTATTATTTTTTACATACATTATCGCTTGATGAAACCCCGCACTTTTACAATACTTTGCTGTACATACTGAACCAATGTTAAGCTGCGTAAGAAAAAAAAGTCTTTATCATAGATTTGTATCAAAACTAGTTGTATTTTTCAATTGACAAAAGGACACTTTTAAAATAAATATTTTGGGAATGCTGTTGGGTAGATTTGTTCTCAGAATTAAGGAATGTTTTTTTTTTTTTTTAAGAAATGACGACGGGGTGGATCAGGTTGTGAAAATATCCGTTTGTCTCATGAAGGTTTGAGGGCAAAGTAGAGAGGGATGTTAAAGATGTGTTGGATCCTGCATTTAAGTTCAGGAATATCAAATATTTATATGAAACAGATTGATGCTGTTTGTATTCCCCTTGATTCAACTGTGCTAAGTGGTACGGACAGTCCTCATGTTGAAGAATCCTCCATACAGCAAAACTCAAAAATATTGAAATAGAATAATCCTGATGTGTTTTTTGAGAGCTGACCGCTGCTTCACACGTCGTGTCAAACACTGGATTGATTGATGGGGTAGCACAGGTTGCAGAGATTTATGTTTGATGAGAGAAGAATAGGAACGACTGAGAAGGAGAACGAGTTGGGATTTAAACTGGAAACGTTTAATATCTACCCCTTTACAAATTAGTTGTTGTTTTTTTTATATTAACTAAAACTGAGGGCTGTATTTGATAAGTCGATTTAATTTAAAAAATGTATCACGACAAAGTGCCTGAGTATCTGCATTGTACATTTGAAAAAGGCTGTGTATATTTGTGTTATGTGAAAGGACATGTTTCTCAACCAGTCATTCATGACTTGATTGATTGCAGTGATTTGTTTTTCTTTAAGCCAATCAAATTGAGTCCAATCCCTGCATCAAGTGTAAGGCTGGCAAACGACTGATCATAACTCTTAGATTTAGATTGAAGAAGTTGTGACAGTTTTTACTTTGTACATAAAGGACGGGGGGGGGGAGGAGTTTGACAGTATTCATACAGAGCTGGCTGTGGTGCTCAGTGTTTGTGTGGCCCAGAGGAAGTGAGGGACAGACCGTCTCCTGTTACAGCATTCTGCCTGCTACGCTTGTTTTCACTTTCTGATGTAACAAACAGCCTGCTGATTAGAACTGAACGCCTCCACCATAAACGTTTGCCTGGAGCTTTGTCACAGTGTGCGTCAGTTTCCTGCTGCAGCTTGAGGTGGTTGTTTGGGCTTGTGATGTTTCCCTTTGCAGAAATAATGCTTACAGGCATTGCAAAGTTTACATGAAGTTCTGTCTTCTTTTTTTCCCATCAAATCTCCAACTTAATTTATAATACAGCCAAAGTGACGTGATCATGAGTCCCTTGTTTTGTCATGTTTTTGTTGTTTGACACACGGGCAGTGATCTTAACTGGAAAAGTAAAAAAACATGTCTTGACTGAAGTGAAGATGTGCTTTTACTGGATCATTTTATCGGCCCGTATGAATTTGCTTCAGCGTCTTCTGTTTTTTGTTTAAAGAAACTGAATGAGTCTTATTTCGGAGAATGAAGAGAGGTGTTTTTGTAGCCAAGGTGCAAATGTGTTGTCCATGTACAGGTATGTTGTCCATAATGTACACAATGTAAAATTTTGCTTTTATGAATATTGGTTATTGTACAAACGATGTATAAACTGTATCTATTGAACAAAAACAAAAAAAAAAGGTTTGCCTTTTGAAAAGAAGTGTAGAAAATCTGAGACGAGAATAAATCATTGGAAATAAATGGTTCCTTTTTTGTCTATCCAGAACACCTGTTATTATTTCAGTCCAACGCGCCACCAAGTGGTTAGAATAAGCCATTTACATCTGACTGTGTGACGTCAGTATTATTAATTAATTAGACTTGTATAGCGCTTTTTTAAATACTCAGATGCTTAACAAGGAATAACAAAAACAATGATTTTTGGAGGAAATGTTTATTAAATAAATTCAGAGTTTCAGCAGATAATGCTGAGCTGGTATTTTCAAATGTAAAGTTTAAAAAAAAAAGATGTATTGAAGTCTTAAACAGGAGAGGCAGACATAATGGAATAAAGTTTTACTTAAGATACATTTCCACAGCTTGTTCTATACATGCAGAAAAGGTTTCAGTCAGTTTGCACCTTTTAAGTCAGGTAAGCTCACTCGTCTTTTCATCTGTCTGTTCCTAATAAACTCAAACAGTGAATAGTAAGAGCTGTTAAGAGAAGCTGTTAATGTCTTTGTCCCTTTACTTGTTCAAGAATCAGCTCAGGGTGTCCACACTTTGTCCAAATATACAGTCTGTGTTCTAGTTCCATACTACACACACACAAACACACAATTAAATCAAAACACTGATAATGTTTAAACAGAGGCTGCAACCTTTGAAGATTTGTATTTCAAAACAGCATTTAAATAAAGAGAGGAGGCGCTAAAGGAACATGTTGGTTTGAATCACATGTTCCTGTTGTGATATTTTTTGACCCCATTCTGCATCGCAGTGTGGAAGCTTGAAAAGGTAATTTTTTAAATACATGTATACCAACCTGTTTAAACGTTCCTTCATTGACACTTTTACAATGTTAAGTAACGAGTGGTGTCAACATTTTCAATACCGCATGTTTTAGGACAAAACAATTTTTTTTTTTCAGATCCTCAGTCATTTCTTTAACTCAAAAGTTTCTGGGCGTCTCATGACGATGCAAAAAATAACACTGATTATTCTTACAAACGGAAAGAGAGCAGAGGAAATGGCAACGTCCTCGTACTGAAAGGTTGCCAGGATGTGTGTGTATCGGTGCAGGAGTGTCCCTGTAATATTTGATCATTAAAAACAAACAATAACCCAATAATGGGCGCCAAGGACTTCTAATGTCATTGCTGTGGTATCAAAACAGATATCAATAGCGTCTGATTTTTATTAGTATCGTATATCAAAGTTTAGAATTCTGCTATCATGACTACCCTAGTGTTAACTCCTCATTGTATGGAGTTTGGATTTGAGACAGTTTCAGAGCTGTCCCAGTGCACATGTTAAATGATTTAGTACAAAAACGCACTCGCTTTTTTTTAAATCACTGAGAATATTAATAATGAAAAATGAAAAACTACTAAAAGTTGAAAAACAAAGAGAAGGATTGTTCTCCATCATTACATCAAACTGTGTTTCCTTCTTTCATCGAGTTCATGTGAAGCGATCGCGATCACTTTAAAAAAAAAAAATGTCCAGACATCGAAGCACATCAGCAGAAATTAATACTGGTACCGTCCTCTCTTTCCTCCATGTCCACCATGTCCTCCATAGCTTCCTTGTCCACTGTGTCCTCCTTGGTTCCATCCACCTCCTCCTCCTCTCCAACCACCACCACCTCCTCCTCTTCCTCCTCTTCCACCCCCTCGGCCTCCCCAGCCACCTCCTCCCTCTTGTCTTTTTTGCCATGGAGGCATCTCTGGAGCTGGGGCTGAGATCTCTGACGGACGCCCTCCTCGGTCTGGGACTCTCCCCATCAGGATCTATGGATAAACAAAGAATGGTTGTGTCAGAAAAGCCTAAAAAAAAAAAAAATGGAGATTTTTCTTTTTGGGGAAGGTGGAAATCTTGTACCTTGTTGACGGCACATGTCGTGTTCTCCCTGCTGGAGCCGCTGCTGGTCTTCACCACGTTGCAGATGTCCTCTCTGGCAGCCAGCAGCTCGGCCATGTCCACGCCGGGCTGTGGCCTCAGAGAGTGTCTCTTCGGCTGGTAGGCCCTCGCCATGCTGTCCACCTTTACCTGACAAAGCGCAGACACACACACAGTGTAAGAACAGGCTCTACTGCACAGATCTAAAACATGTTTGTTTTGCACCATCATCACAAAAATCCATTCAAAAAAAAAAAAACTGTTTGTGGCACACTTTCTTATGAAGACTTACCTTTGCTCTGTCTGACCACCCAAAAGACTGAACCGTGACATCCAGACGTTTAATCAACATCCTGCGCCGACACTCGTACTCTGAACACAGAACAGAGTTTATACTCTGCAACTTCTCCTGCACAGACACAAAAAAGAAAATATGATCTGTTCAATTCAAAATACACTTTTAAGTAATACACAACAAACATGTGATATGGATTTAGGCTTTACTGAAGATGTTTACCCATTGTTCACTGGACAGAGTTTTCTTCAGTACCGGGTTTCCAACGGTGCCATTAGGAAGATCTGTGACTAGTTTGTCAACCTAAACGAACACACAGGACTTAATGCATGCACAAGCTTAAAGAAACAATGGATTTCCAGATTACAAACAGAAAAAAAAGTTGTTTTGTCAAAGGGTGTAAAAAAACAAAACAAAAACAAGGTTCTTACATTTAAGCATGACATTATATCAACTAGAAATGTTGTGGTGCGGGGGCATCAAAAACGCGCACCACCTACTGAGGCTGGAGTCTGCAAGTTTGAATCCGACTTCTGCCGTTCAATGCACGTCACCCCCACCCTCTCTCCTCCCAACACCTCCTGTCTCTCTCCAGCTGTGCTATCCAATAATGGCAACAAAAATGAATAACCCCCTTCCAATAAAAAACTAAAACTTTAAAAAGAAAGAAGTGTAAAAAAAAAATGTATACATGTTCTCTATGTATACTGCATCCTTTCCAAATAATCAAATAATGGATTACATGACAATAAGGAATTTCACACGCTAGGATACTACTTACAGCCACCTCACACTGAACCACAGTAAACACAGTTTAACATTCATCAGTAGTCCCACCGTCTCTTGGACTTGGCTAAAACGTCTGCTGCGTCTCGTCCTCCGGGCTCCGGCAGCTTCAGGTTCTCACAGATTGACCGGAGCTCCCGACACGCCGGACCCTCTCCTCGGCGTTCATCAGAGGCTCCTCTGCTGCTCACGATCCGAGCCGCCTGGAGCTCAGAGCTCAGAAACACTACAAAGAAAAAACAAAATCAAACTCTTCACCTAATTGATCAACCTGAGGGAATGAGGCATCATGAGCAGAGGAAGCGGCACGATGGTGGGTGACATACAGACACACTTGAGGTGATCTTTGGCGACTGGCACACTGCCTTTGAGAATCCCCGAGACGACATCTTCATGAGGACAGTGCAGCTCCTTCAGCAAACCACTCATCTCCAACTGAAGGCTGTCCAAGTCGCCTGGAGGGAGGAGGGAGGACAGAGAGGATGTGAGGTGAGGAGACACAACGGGATGTTTGTGGATGGATCATGTGGCTCACCTGGGTCGGAAGTAATGCTCTCCTCCAGACCACATAGAGGCTTTAACTTGGAGGCCAGCCACCTGCACAGGTCCACAAACTCAGCAGAGGACAGACCTCCCTCTGCAGCCGTGAGCAGAGCTTTCTCCTCCAGCAGAGGGCCGCCATAGCTGAGGACAGAAACACGATGAAGAGTTTCATTAAAACAGCAAAACAGCCGGAAGTCCGACACAGTTTCTTCAGCTCCTCACATCCCCCCCCCCTTTTTTTTTTCTTCTTCTCCTGATCAACACAAAGTCTGACAGCGTAACGATGTTTGTGAAACCCTCCACATGCCCCCTCACAAAGCTACAACAAACAAACACATCACCATGCCAACCGCGCGTCACCTTACCCGAGCTGCTCCAACGAGTCCAAAATGTCGCACTCCATTCTTCAAACTACTTCAAATACGAGTCCAACCAACCCCGCTGCATCACGACCAGCAGCTTCCATTCATTTTCTTTTTTTTTTTTTTTTGCGGCTCAATCGCGTAGCACGCCTTTCATGTCGGTCCGGCTCTTTTACGTGAGCCGGAGTGAAACGTACGGGGTTTCATTTAAAATGGTTCCGCTTTGATGGTTCCGCTCTTTTTAAAAAGAGTCACAAACACTCCTGCAAAATGTGACAATCATTACAGTGTGCTTTTTTTCTAATAAATTTGAGCTATAAATATATGAAGAAATGATGTTACTCTTTTTACTCTTATCTTCTATGCTTTTTTATTTATTTATTTTTATTTTTTATTTATGTATTGTTAAGGAGCTTGGAACACAAAAAATGTCACTGCCAGCTGTGACTGCTTTGCCTGTTATGTTGTGTATTTGACTAATAAAGATAACTTGAACTTGAGCTTGATGAGTGTGTGTCAGTGTTCAGGAGTTAAATGCGTTCAGGCAGTTTAATACTCTCACACATAGTTTGAGAAACATCCAGAAAGTCTTTCCTCCAACACATCTTGAACGTTTTTCCTCCTCCTGACACGGATTATAATTTATGTGTTTATCTTATTCTGAATGTACAAAATTAATCAGCTAGTATTTAGTTAAATCAGTAAGCGACTGTTCACATGTATTTTAATTTTTTTTTTTAATCTTATTTTTATATTCAGATTGCTGCTGGGCTGTTTGTCACCAACCAAATTTCGTTGTATCGCATACAATGACAATAAAGTGTCTTATCTTCACTTATATAATCATTTACTGTTCAACAACTGTTTATTCACTCATTCATTCACTTTGATTATGTATTCCCTCCTTTACTGTGACATAATTATTGAAAATATATTCACCTGTTCATTCTCAATTCATTTCAACAAATATCTGTTTCTCATCTCACCTCGTCTTTATGTTCAAATCGAGCACAACTTACATTTTTTCATATGCACATAGCTTCAAAATAAATCAATATATAAATGTTTAGACCTATTTTGACCATATTTGTCATGATGTGGAACAGAACTGCTGTCTAACGGAGTATCCTATCTATCCATCTATATATCTATGTATATAGTATGTTTCTATGGATCTATATATCTATGTATAGTATCTATCTATCTAAAATTGGTGACTTAATTTCATGGTGTAAGCATGAAATTGGGGGAATTTGGAAATTCATTGAACCATCAGAATATAAGTACATGATTATTTTTTATTCAGTGTCTGAAGTCACTTTTATGTGGTTGTAGATGAATCCTAACAATAAAATCACTTTATCTGGGTCAAAAATGTTAACTGAAGGAGTTGTCGTTTTTCAGGAAATAGGACATTTTCTATTTCTCTCATGTAATTTAATCTAAATCACTATCAACTTTGACTCAATGATCCATATTATACAGTGCTCTGACACCTTAGAGCCTTTGAAGCAGGGCTCCAAATACAGATTCATTTTTTAATGAAGCTTTGATACAGACAATATGTGCATCACAACTATCAGATTTCTATGACTCACAGCTATTACAATGTTTGAGAAACTTTTTTTTTTTTTTTTAATTGGTGAATCTTTTCAGGTCTTCTTTTAAGAATAGCGACACCTACTGGCAATAATAATATATTTTAAAAAAAGAGTCAGGTTGTTTGAGTTTTCTTTTGACGTTTTGTGTCTGAATACCTGAGAGATCCCGTTTGCAGCCTTGTTGTCACCTGGACGGATCGAAAGAAGCCCATTGAAAGCAGCACAGCAAGAGATTAAAACTCACCATTTTATTATGATAATGTTATTTGATATGTCAAATTACAAGTGTATGATGTAACATAAAAACAGTTACAAACATATGTATGCATATTTACATTATATATTTATGAAAAGTAACGAGCTACATCTGTATAAAGAAAATACAACTATGACATGAGTTATTGGGACTATAAATTTTACATCATATACTCGGTATTCTCACACCATGAGAGGAAATACCTAGACGTGTAGAAACCAATAGAACCAGAACGAGAAACGTTAAATTATAAAACGGAAACAAGGATGGACGTGAGGCACTTTTTTGAGGTTGTCAGGATGTGAAAGCCGATGGCACTAAGGAGGAAAAAAAAAAAAAAGAAGAAGATGCACAGGAAAGGAAAATGCACAAAGAGAAAGTGAAAGGAAGAAAAAAAAGAAAACAGGCAGTGTTTACAGAATAGTTAAGAGTAGTACCATTTATACTGCAAGTTTCAAAACACAAATGTCTTCCACTATTTAGAACTAATCACATAAATGTTACATCAAGCGCTGTAAGATGAAAAAAAGCTTACATATAGTATCATCAGTGCACCAAAGCATTGGAGAATTGAAACATAACCACTCAACTGCTGTGAAAAGTAACCTTTTTTTTAAAACAATACACTGAAGAGAAACAGATTTATATAGCTTTTTTTCTTTTTTTTAAATCTACACAATGTCAAGAATGTACACTGGTATGCATTCCCAAAGATATGCACAATTTTCCAAGATTGAAAGAGGATAAAAGACTAGCAGCAAAGTGGTTAAAACTGAAGTCTTATATAATGCAGGTCAAAAAAATATATATATTAAAGCAGACAGACACATGTTGCATATATAATACAGTACATGACAGGAAGTTGCACTGTGCTGGTTAATGCAGAATGAGAAGTGTTATTTCAGCATTCTCTACACTTTGTATAAATGCACGTCCTACATTTTTTTTTGCTTCTCAGCCAGCAAGTTTTTAATCAGGTTCATCAAACCTTGGTTCAGCTTGCAATAATGCAGAATTATCCAATTACAGTGGGAGAATATGAGAAGCAACCAAACATTTGGTTACACACCAACCCCGCACACACGCACGCACGCACGCACGAAACAAAAACGCACACACACAGAATCTCTCTCGCACACACTCGTCATCACGCAGAGCAATCAAACTTTGAAAAACACGCCGTCATGTTCAGATGCTGTTGGAGAATTAGGGTTTAACAGTCGTTCATAGCTGATTTTCTCTGTCAACACAATAAAATTAGTGATTGTATCTAGCAGCTTTATATGTATGTATTTATATATATATATATATATTTATATATATCAAACTTTTGAAACAAGTGGACTGTCACTGACGTACCGTGTTAGCACTATCCTTCCGTCTACCGTACAAAACTAGAGAGAAACTCTATTAGAAGCTCAATAGTCATTTCCGTCGCAAACGCCCTCTACTTTTCAATGTGAAATAATACTAAAAGGTGACCTATGTACATAATGCTGTCAATTGAAGCTACAGTATATGCTGACAGCAACGATAAATACAGCTCTATCTTTAACATTTCAAAGACAACAAAAAAAAAAAAAAAATAAGCTGGGATTATTACCAGAACTTAAATATAGTGTTAAGTATTTACAGGTGTTTTGGAGTTTGGTACCAGGGGTTCTGTCGTCTAAGTGTCCCGTCCCGTCACTGACTCAGTCTGCAGAGAGGTCGATGTGTTTCCCATGGTAGAAAGTTTGCATAGAAAGTAAAGGGAGCGTTGGTGAGAGCGGAGTTAGGAAAATAAATGTTTCTTTTGTCTTCCAGTCGTGTCACTATATTGTTTTTTTTTTTTTTTTTTCCACCCAGGAGATAAGAAGAGATTCATATCTGTTAGCAGATGGTACCAAATCTGCTGTTAAAAACTGAGGTGAATCACAATTAGCCCTAGAGTCTAAACATGCTAACACTTTAGCAAGGGGGAATTTCAGTTCTGCAGGCAGGGATCCAAACTGAACTGTTTGACTGTTGGGAGTTTGTTCTCTTTTAAGTGTTTTGTTCAGACTTCTCATCGGTTTATTTGACATCTTTGACTCTTTTAAGTGGGACAGGGGGTTCAAACAGAGCTAGACTCGGGCATACACACTGCCTTGTTTCCTAAAAAGATGTTAAAAGGAGAAGTTTGACATGTTGGGAGAAAAGAGATATTGAGGCCACCCTTCTACCTGTCTGTTGAGCAGCAGCTGGTTAGCTTAGCTGAGTGTTAGCACCAGAGGGGAAACAGCTAGCCTGGCACTTTGCAAAAGGTAACAAAGTTTAGTTATCAATGCTGCGAAAGAAAATGTAAAAGTGAGGAGCTGTGGTTTCATGATGTGTGATGTCCTGGAGAAGTTTTTTTTACATTGTGACCCCGCAGGAGGAAGTCACGGTGCGCAAACCGGAAATAGTACCGCACATAACCATCTGTTAAAGTTAGAACTGTCATTATTTGAGCTGAGGTGTTTCTATAAATAAAATACACACGTTACAATATGTTAATAAGTGTGCTGTGAAAGTGTAGGGAGATTCTTTTATACATTTGGACAAAGCTAGGCTAGCAGTTTCCCTCTGCTACTGTTTTCAATGCTACGCTGAGACAAGCCGCCGCCGCCACATTGACTGGACAGATGTGGAAGAGGAATCGATCTCCTCACAAAACTCCAACCAAGAACGTAAAAGAGTGAATTTCCCACAATGTCAAACTCCTGCTTTACAGACGGATCACGTCTTGGTTTACTACGGAGGGCGATAACGCACGTTTTAGGAAACGAGTCGAAGCCTTGATCACAGTCAGTGACGTTACACGACATCATACCAACAGTGCATAGTAAGACTTATGCACACACACACACACACACGTATAACATCTGTATGTTTATAAAAAGCTAAGATACTCAGCTTTCTTGCAACAATGCATTCACTCATCCATTCATTCAGGGCCTAGACAAAAGGAAGGAGTGGACTTTAAAGGTAACAAAAAGAAAAACGACATTTACACACGATATGACGAGAAAATAAAACGTAAAAAAAAAAAAAAAAAAGAAGAAGAAGAACTGATTCATGGGACGAACACAGAAATTTGGAGAGGGTGCTGCAACCAAAGCTTGGAGAGCAGTGCTATAAAGAGGGCGTTTTCCCCCTCCGTGCCTAATTGGATGTTAAATTAAGTCAAATGTATGTTCAGACTGACTTTGAATCTGAGGGATTCTCGATCAAAATAAAGCCTAATTTAAGTGCCTCATCATATAACCAAGGAGCACAGTATCCCCTTCACTCACCACAAACAAAACTTGCTGGTTGAGCAACATTTCAGCCATTGTTTCGAAAATAATTATAACAGAAGTGAGCAGGAAAATAACAATGATCAAACAAAAAACACCAATTTCACTACAGCAGTGAAGAACTTGAACTTAAACTGAAATTCACCGGGGTAAATGTAATCGTATTGGTTCTTATGCATGTTCTTTTTTTTTTCATGATGTGGGAAAACTATTTTTAGCGTAACTCGGTGTGTTAAAAGTTTTAATTGTTTCCCTTCTAATTGTGGAATTGATCCCTTTGCTTTGGAATGCAATCAAATGGTCAAAATCACCTCAGGAAAGCAAGGTAATGGTTTTTAAATGTTCAAAAAATAATGTCTATAGTTATACCAAGATGTACCTTCAAAAACCAACCTGTTCATTTGTGACTTCTTTCAACATTTGATTGAAAAGAAAACAAAGAATTGGCCATACAACATCTCTTGAATGTTAGAATAACTCCAAATGTGGTGGTTAATGTTCCACAAGTATTTCAGAGGATGACCTTACTCCGGGGGGGGGGGGGGGGAATACCATTTCTAGTGCACTTTTTCTCTGTCTAGTAATTACATAGTCAGCAAACGCTAAAGCCATGAAGGAAAGGCCACTTTTACCCAACTGCAAATTCACAAAAAAGCAAGAACAAATCCCTTTTAGCATACTCAAACAGCAAGTATTTCTCTGAACGCAGAATAGTTGTATGTTCTTTTTTCGTCATTAAGTTGTCGCTCTCTGTACAAAAGACAATTTTCCTTCATAAAGTTACACGTGACTTGGAGTAGAGTTCTGACATTTTGTGGCCTGGCTTCGTCAATGCATGAGTGTGAATGTGAAAGAGGTGTGTGTATGCGTGAATAGGTGTGTTTAGTAACATCTCCAAGTCTATTAATCTCGACTCCTCTTCTTCCCCTCAGATTAAGCTCCTAAACTTTTAGCTTGTTGCTCAGAGCCCCCACAAAGCATATGGTTTGTCCTCCACCGCTGCTTGTCGGCGACAAACGCAAACTGAAATCTCCAAAATCCCTCAGAGCTGGGGGTCAACAACATATCACCCCGTCTGAGAGGGAATGAAAAAAGGATGCCGGCTTTTTGAATTTTCCGCTTGTATCCACTTTCCGTGTTAGCTAGCTTTGAGGGTGTCCCAGAGCCCAGCGTTGGGTCACCCCGCTGCCTTGTGCTTGCCCCCGCAGCAGCGGCAGGCCTCGCCACAATGGTGGCAGGCGCGCAGAGGCAGGTAGCAGCACATGCAGGGGGCGATGAAGGAGAGCGCCACCAAGGCCAGCCAGCGCAGGCAGAACTGCTCGTCAGATGTGTCACATGAGCACGGGTCCGAAAAGTCACCCTCCGAGTCGGACATGCAGTGGTACAGCATGCTCTCGGCGCACAGCATGCAGCTGACTTTGTAGATGCACTGCTTGATGGGGTCAGGGGCGTCTTGGCACTGCCCCCGCCAGTTGTCTTCGTGGTTAAACATCTCCCGACAGTAGATGCAGCGCGAGCGCTCACCGTCCTCTCGCCTCCGTCTGCCTTTCTTTGACTTGAGCACAGGCGACGGCTGAGTCTTGATGGCTGTGTCCTTGCCCAGACCGAGCCCCATTCCTGTTCCAATGCCCATTCCAGGGCCAGAGTGGGAGTCCCCACCGGGTCCGTCGGGGAAGAGGTACTCACACTTCTTACTGTCCAGTTTGTGGAAGGTGGAGGGAAAGTCCAGGTCCTCGCGGTCAGCCTCCTGTTTCCACATGACAGGGTGGCGGTAGTCCTCATAGCCTCGGATGAGCACGTCTTTGCGCGGGTTGATGCGAACGATCTCCTCTTCGTCCATGTGAAAGCTGACATGACGAGACGATTTAAAGGAGACCTTCGAAAAGGAGAAAGCCGGAGTTAGTATGATTAATGATACGTTGAGAACACTTCATTCGCAGCTATAATCTTGTACTCGAGTTTCTATATTTCCAAAACAATCAAACGTAATTTCTCGGTAGATGTTCGATTCAACGTGATTGGCCGTATGTAGCAGTGGCAGACCTGAGGAGGCAGGTAGCGGCGGTTGCTCGAGGGGAACTCGTCGAAGGGTTGCGCGCGGACATAGCAGCCCCTGAATGGCTCGGTGGAGACGACGTTGTTCAGGGGAGAGAAGGGCTCTTTCACTGGCGTACAGATTGAGGGGGGCTCATCACACACCTTGAGAAACACAGAAACAAATCCAGTAAGTTAAGGACACACGTTCGAAATCAAACCTTTAATTTGTTCTTATCTCTATGAAACATATGTGCTGAAAGAACTCATAGATTAACAAGCATCTATACCGACTAAAGACAAAGCATTTGTTGTGAAATGTATCGTCTTTACATCTACATAAATGGTAGTTCAGGCCCAACACATTGATCATTCTGATGTTCTATGACACCATTACGTTTACTAAAAGCACTGACAGTTGTGTTCAATTCAGTTTTCTGACCACAGATGTTGTGACTCATGGTGTGTAGGCTGTGTGTGTGTGTGTGTGTGTGTGTTCCTCTTGCATCCACCAGGGGGCAACCTGCGCCCAAGCTCAGTATAAAAGCTGTGCGGTGATGACTCAAGGCCCTTCTGTTGAGAACTCAGAGTACCTATTAGCCTTGTTAGTGTTCCCACAAAAATCTAAACGATGTAAAAAAAATCTGCAAACATGGCCCGCCTGAATAAAGAGGAACACAAAACGTGCAAAAATGGCAGCATGACTATTTATCTCACTTCATCATTTCAAAAGGGGAAGCTTACTGTTGGCATCAATCAGAATCCAATGTCTATAAATAACATCCTGTGAATGCAGCAGTCTACATCTAACACCTTTAAAAATATGAACCAAAAAAAAAAAAAAAATTGGCATTGGCATCTGCGGAAAAAAGTACTTCTAAATCCAATAGAAAAAGAGAAACACTGATACTCCTGGAAACTCAAATCAAAAGTGATGGCTATTCATGATTCATGCGTGCAGAGGTGATGAGTGATGGGGGAGGATACTCAGTCGTTGCATCAAGAGTTGTGTGATTTTTTTTTTTTGTCCAGCTTTATCTGAGCACCACCAGCTGTTCTATCACATGTGTCAATTATACAGAAAAAGGCTGAATAAATGTTGATAAAGTTCGATTTATGAAATCACAAGTTGAACCTTCCTTATAGGTTACAGACAACCATGAGTCTGAAAGCCATTTAAATAAAGAGTAAATAAAAAATAAAAAAAGTCTTCCATGTAATATCTCTCTTAAGGTCCCACTCAGAAATACACAACAACCACGGACACACTCGAGGTTTCTTTACACGTACAAGTTACATCCAAACGTATGTAAAGCTTGTACACACTGGCTAGCGGTCACACTTTTCCCACACACGCCCCGACCTCATCAAGGCAGGGTTAGTCCTCCTCTCTTCTCCTTCTTCCTGCCTCTCTCTCTCTCTCTCTCTCTCTCTCTCTCTCTCTCCCTTCCTCCCTCTCGCTGCTCTGCGTGTGGAGGAGGCTGCTGGCTCTGGTTAGTCAGTGCCGTGTGTAAAGTAGCCCACGCTAGTCCTTTAACGCACAGCGGAAATCTGGTTTGCTCCCAGCTGCTGCTACAGTAATTACTGTCCTGTGGTTGCTAAGAGATGCTTCCTTTGACTTCTTTTTTTTCCCTCTCTTTCTCTTCATTTTCCCCCCTCTCTCTCTCTCCTTCGCTTGCCCCCAACCCCCCCCACAACCTGAGACTGCGAACACATGGTGTGTGTGAATGCGTGTGTCAGTTTTCTCCATCTTTTCCTCCAAACATACCAAGTGGTGTAACACACATCTAGAGCGTATGCAGGGGGAATGTGAGGAACAAGAGACAGTGGAGGGAGAGAAGAGAAAGAACAGAACAAGAAAAAAAAAAAAAAAAAGACTTGTAGTCATGTGTGTGTGTGTGATAGAGAAGGAGAGCGAGAGAGAGAGAGCGAGAGGCCAAAGAGTCTGCCGAGGGAATGTCATAAACCAGCTCCAGCTGGAGAAATGCAGCACAGAACTTAAAAAGCCAGATGACAGCTGTGTGTGTATGTGAGAGAAAGAAAGAAAGGAGCGAGGGGTGGGGTGGTGGGGAGGGGAGGGGGGGTTGAAATGGGAAACAGACTCTGGCTTCCTTTTAAAGCGCTCTCCTAAACCCCACCATTCAAAGGCATGCGTGGGGGCCAATGTGGAGCTGAGCTGACCCTGGAGATGTGGCTGGGTGAGAGAGGAGAGGAGACGAGGGGAGGGGAGAACAGAGGATGGAGGTGTTGGGAGCCAGGGGCAACCTGGAACCTCACCAACATCAGGGATCCATGCACTCCCGCCCTCAAAGGCCAGGGGGCTCAGGACAGGGAGAGCTGGGGTCGACCTAACACTGAACACATGCAGGCCGCGCTGGATGTCTGCATCCCACATAGGAGAAGGGAAGAGATGATATGCAAGGATTTGATGGTTTACATCTGTCTACATGTGCGTCTCACAATTTAGGAATCAGGCTCCACTTAAATTAGGCAAATCCTGAGTCGTGTTCATCATCATCTTTGTCTCATTAACATGAAAAGGAAAGAAAGGTAGCCAAGTTTGAGGCTAGTCCTCATGTGTCCCTGTTACCAATGAGCTAAGGTTTTGGAAATACATTTATTGGCTTTGCTGCCGCCACTCTCATGTCGGAAGGGCTAAGTATGAAGCTAAAGCTAGCAATTGGTTAGCTTAGCTTAGCTTAGCTTAGCTTAGCATAAAGCCTGGAAAGAAGGGGAAATAGATGGCTTGGCTCCCTATGTCTCAAAAGAGTTAAAAAAAAATAGTTTTTCAGGAAGAATGAATAGTTTGATCATATGTCTACTAACTTTGTTTGAGATTTTCTTTAAAAAAATAGAAAGCACTCTTTTTTTGTTTACACTGAATGCATAGCTACAACCTGCTGCTGATTAGCAAAGCTTGGCAAAACGACTGAAAACAAGACAAAACCGCTAGCTTGGCTCTGACCTAAAGTAACTTAACCAACCTAACAGCACCTCTGAACCTGACAATTTCATCTCATCTTGATTCAGTTAAAAGGACATAAAAAAAAACAATGTGTTATAAGCAACACGTTAGCTGCTTCTCCTGGCAAAAGAATATCAAACTGGATTAAAATGAGCCAATTTACTAAGATCATAGTATTAAAGTAATATAACTTGTTAAAAAGGGATGCTGTTAAAGTTCTGGTTTGTAGAATTTGTTACCTTTGGACAGTTTCACCTCGTTTCCAGACGTTATGCTAACCCAGTGGCACGATGTAGTTTTCACACTAATGGAGATATAAGAGTGTGAACTAACTTTGTGTACAGCAAAGCTATTCAACACACATCATCAGAATCTTTCTTTGTCTGAGGCCTACAGTATATGGAGCGCTACTGAGACACACCGAACCAGTCCAAGTGTTTACTGGTCTATGAGGCTGTAAAAGTCAACTGGCCAACAAAACCTGGGTTTACTGAACCGCTAAGAGGAAACTTCCTGCTATGCTAACTTAAATGCGGGTGTTTTCCTTCTGGAATTGGGAGGGGAAATAAAATAAAAAAAAACATTTCACTTTGACATGAATTGTGCCGAACCACCACAGTCCTTCCGGATGTGTATTGGGGTCGTCACAGCTGAGAGGGGAGTCTGTGCAGCCACTTTTTTTGGGTGGAATAAGTGGCATGTGCGTTTAATGTGTGTGCTGTGTGTGTGTGTGTGTTCTGAGTGAGAGGTGGAATGTGGTAAGCTTGTGAAGGGCATGAACGAGGGTGTCCCAAGCCTCAGTGGGCCGGATGTGGGTGGAGAAGTCCATCTTGCGCACACACACGCACACACACACACACACACACACACACACACACACACACACACACACACACACACACACACACACACACACACACACACACACACACACACACACACACACACACACACACACACCACACAACACACACACACACACACACACACACACCACACACACACACACACACACACACACACACACACACACACACACACACACACACACACACACACACACACACACACACACACACACACACACGTTTGTTAGCAATGCAAGGTTGTAGTGAGATTCTGTAGATATCTGAATCCTTACAAGCTTGGATGGTGACCTCACATAATGATGAGACACAAGAACCCCAGCAAGGTCAAGGTTCTTCTAAAGGGAGCTGCGGTGGAGACTTGATGACGGAGTGTAAAGGCAGACAGCTAATATCGCACCTTGTTGTGCGGTGGTATTTGCTAGTTCTCTGGCTGCAGCTTCACTTCTCTTTCTATGTAGCCCAGGTCTCCGACCGCAACATTCAGATGCCAAATCACCATGGTGACACCCTCAGTGGCTCACTCACTGAACCTTGTGAACACCCCCTTCTACCCCCCCCCCCCCCTCCAGTTGCAACCCCCCCCGCTGCCTAGCAACAGTGGTGCTATTGGATTTCCTGTATGTTCAGACTGCTTCCTTAAAGAGGAACTTCACTACAGGAAGAGGAAGACGGCTCTCCCTCCTTCGCTCTTCTTCCACTCCATCAACATGCAGGATTTAAGATGCGAGGCGAGGCAGAGTGATGAGGAACCTTTGGCGATTTGGGTAAACTTGTACGATCTGAAGTTGCGGCTGTGTGTGAACACCAAAAACTTGTAGGGGTGAGAATCGCACAAGTGACTCAGGATACATGACATGACCGACTATAACGATGATATCACAATACGATACTGCACTAACTGATCTGCAAGACAACCGTACCGTGTAACTAACCCGATCACCTGGACAATAAATACTAAATTCCCCAGAAAAGGTTAAGTGCAGGAGGCATACATGTACTCACTGCACCTTGTTGCATTCTTCTACTGCCCAATATCATTTCGCCGTCATCTGCGCCATTCATACAAGTGTCAACTTTTTCTTTGGCCAATTAACTACCATTCACGTTTCCCTATGTCATGTCACAAGCATGTGAAGTAAGGATGCAATGAGTTAAATAAGCAGTGGAAGTTTTTCAGAGTGCTTAAAAAAAGAAAGAAAAAAAAAGCGTTCTTGGCACCAGTGATTCAACAACCACATTACACGAGGAGTCATGCTACAATATACTGTCGATTCGATATTTTTTCCCACTCCACCAAACCACAGAGTAAAACATGACTAAAGGTGGATAAACACCTCTCTGACAGTGTCAACAGTAATTCATCTAATGTTTCACAATAGCAGCACCTCTTGCAGGATTGTTGTATGCACTATAGTTCACTGCAAGGTACAGAGGTCGCCTTTTTTTTTTTTCTTCTCCTCGTAACTCAAAACAAAATGTGCTTTTACAAGAAGTGCCCGTCCTTCCTGCAGGTGTCTTTTCACCTACTTTGCAATCAGAAGTAGAACAGGTGAGTGTTTCTGTAACAGGTCTGATATCTTGCACAAATAAACATGGGTGTGTAGACGTGAACTATATACCTGCAGCTGTCCCCGCTAACGAGAGCCAGGCCCTCCTAACCACACATAGTAACAGTCAATAGATGCAGGGTAAATATAGATTATCTGTAAGATGGAACAGTTTTAAACTGTCAAACTGAAAGCTCATAACGAGACACGCTCAGTTTGGAGAACGTCAAAATCGTAAAAACATTCTCGCCAAGCTGCCTTTATGAAACAAGCAACTCCCGAGGCCATAGTTCCAACATTGGACTGATTGTAAGAAGAGTGACAGCTACCAGGTTAGATAGATAGAGACAGCTAAGCCTGCTCGAGCATATTCGCTGGCCAACACCCAGCTTCACCTCAGGGTCTGGCTGGCACTGGTTTAAACACCTGTAAATCTTCAAGAACAACTGTTGGAAAACAAAGGCAGGTGTCAGAGCCTGGGTGGGACACATCAGGCATATGGCTCAGGTTCTAGTTATGACCTGCCTCCTATTTAAAAGGGCGGGAGAGCCTGGTGATAAATCTCTCCTTTAAAAATCCACTAGTTGCACTTTGGAATTACAACGATCAATTTCCAACTCGGCAACACCAAGATGATTTGTGAAAAATGAATTATTTCTCTCATAATCAGTTAAAACTAACTAACAATAGTCAAACTAAGGAAAAGAGACTCTTCAGTGTCTGAAGAATAAACACGTGCTTGTTTGCACGCTGACAACACGCAGACTTGAACTCCCAGCCAGAACCTCAACACTTGTTTCTCACTCACCGGTAGTCCGTCCTCGGGTGTATCGCCTTCTCCAAATGACCGACAACCTGGAAGACAGAAGGAAGAACAGAGAGGGGAAAGATTAGAGGTCTGACCTGATCTTTTGTTTGAGTAAAAAGATTGGGTTTGTAGAAAATGCAGCGCACGGAGAAAAAAATGTATTGGAGCTAAGGTAATCAAATGTTTAATATTACGATAAGTTTTTGATACCACTTGTTTTAAAAACATTACAATCTCAGAGTTTTTAAACAATCAGTAGCATCAAAAAGTATCCAAGCTTAAAAAAAAAAACTACATTTCATTGGTCATATTGTCAACTCCTATGTTCCTGCGAGCAAGTGAAAGAGCTCAAATTCAAATTCACACTGCGGTAAAAAAAAATTGAAATTTCCAACTCCAAGACGACCAAGACCTTTTGATGTTCTGAGAAATAACAGAGAGGGGAGTAGCCGAGAGAATCACTTCCATGAAAAAGGGGATGAAACTTATTTCTAAGTGATTAAGGAGACACTGTTGATGTACCAGGGCATTAACAGGTACTTTTGAAAACTCGGTGCTTCATACAAGGCATACGTGATTACCCTAAGACAACATTCAGTTTGTCAGAGTTCAGGGAGAGGACACAGCAATGCATGACGGTGCTGTGTAGGCCTGCATGATATTAGAAAAATATGTGATGTAATATTGTTGAATATTGCAACAACGTTATAAAGTGTGATAAATAAACAAAAGTTAAGGAGTACACATTAGCTACAAGTCATAGGTCCTGTGTCTGACTGTTGTTCTTAGTGTTTACACAATATCTGTGTTTGCATAATGTCCCTCCTGAATCCAAAATAGATCCAATAACTATTCTTTCACCGATTAATTGGCAGCATTTCATGTGAGGGTAGCTAACAGGTAGCTTGAGCTTCATCTGCCTGCATCAGAATGGTGTGAAAGCACAGCTGTTTTACCTCGCCCTCTCCGTCCATAAAGTTCAAAATGCATAGCTGAAAGAAACGCTGTGCTTGTTCTCATGACATTTTCTAATTTATTAAAATTCAGACTATTGGAATGTGTTTCTCTTGTCAAAATAATGATGAAGTTGTGATTATAGGCGTGCAGCCCTAGTGCCATCTCAACCAGACACTACATTGTGTCAAACTCATTCAGTCCGTTAGGTTAGCCTGTCTGTGTGTTCATGCCACATGGAAAAGGTGTGTGTGTGTGTGTGTGTGTGTGTTTGCATTTCTCCACTACAGAGAGGAAGATGCTTCCTGCAGCACGACTTTGGCAGTGTTGGGCTGCAAAGCTGCCTGAGCCATGTGCCTGGCGTTGCCATAGCAACAGAGGACTGCAAGACTGATACACACACACACACACACACACACACACACACACGTTCTCTCTCTCTCTCTCCCCCCCCATCCCCCAACCTCCACACGCACGCAAACACACACACACACACTCACGCAGCAGTCCAGCAGCAGAACGATGCAACAGGAATACAGAAGAACCTGCCAGCCTGAGCTGAAGAGAGGCATTACACAACAACACCGGCAGAATACACAAGATACCAAGAGAGGAAAGGAGGCAGGGGAGGACAACAGGAAGGAAAAAAGAGAGAGTACAGGCACTAGGGAGATGTAACTATCCAATCACCTGCTGCAGCCGACACTCACAGGAAAGAGTTGAAGCAATTACTGGCACACTGACACTGTCCCTCCTCTAGATGAGGCAAGGGAATGTGTTTAGTGATGGTGACCAGCTATCACACATGTTTATTTCTATTCTGATTATATTTTCTCTTATAATCATTTCTTCCACAGAAGGTGCACAGAGCCAAATGACCTCCAACATCCCAAAATACTCACTTTGATGTATTAGAGAAGTGATTCTCAAACTCGGGGTCCTGACCCCTGCAGGAGTATTGATACAATTTCTGGGGGTTGCTAGATAGTTACATAGTCTAGTGTGTGACATCATGTTTTTTTAAATTATTGAAACGATGTAGCTACTTAAAGCCAACATGTAAACGTTTTTTATACCTTTTTGCCATGCCCGAGATGCTGTTGGATAATCTGCAGGCTTAGGGTGGGTGCTTAATTTACACAGAGCGGGGCAGAGAGACAGACACAATGAGAAACATCACCTGTGACCTGATAAAAGTCAAACGGAGACTCAAACAAAGAGCTTTGCGAGTGACTTCGTTCACCAGATAACTAGTCTGAGAGCTTAAAAAAATATTTCTGCACCAATCCGAGGTGCTAGCTAACTTACAAAACTTTGTGAACTATCATCACAAATAAAAATATATCTCACTGCTTATTTAAATGTATTACGCGAAGCATTCGCAAAATCCACTTCAAATCAGGAAGAGGTCTCTCTCTCTCTCTCTCTCTCTCTCTCTCTCTCTCTCTCTCTCTCTCTCTCTCTCTCTCTCTCTCTCTCTCTCTCTCTCTCCTCTCTCTCTCTCTCTCTCTCTCTCTCTCTCTCTCTCTCTCTCTCTCTCTCTCTCTCTCTCTCTCTCTCTCTCTCTCTCTCTCCTTAGAAGAGGTGCGTTTTGGCAAGGTACAGCTCATGCACGAGCACAAGCGTGGGAACAGGACGTGGACAGCCTTCTTTTATGGAGAAAAACCCGGAGTCATAAGCCACAAAGTCAGTAAAGTAGTCGTCCCGTTGTCTGTGTAGTTCTCCGATGTGCCGACACACATGGACTGTGCGCGTCCCTTTAATTTTTTTTCCCCTTTAAAGTAGCCAACTAACTTTGCACCACCAAAGTAGCGCTTACCTGTGATATAACACCGTCATCCTCCACTTATTACATTGTTGTGTTTTTACTGTGGTCCATTATTCTTTGCTCTCCACCTTCAATTGAAATGTTCAGGCTGAGCTATTTGCAAAAGCCAGCTGTGATTACCTTTTGCCTCGATTATGTGTGGACTTGTGTCCAGGAAGTTCAAATCTCAGATAAACGCTTGTGTGGGGGAAGAAGTGACTGATGCCCAGGAGTGATAAAGCTTTTACGATATGTTCTGCGGTGCCTCCTTTGTGCTCCCCTGGGTTCCCAGGTCCAGAGCGTAAAAAGAGATTATAGCTCCCGAGCCAGCCAGCCAGCCAGCCATCCTCTTGTGTAACACAGTGCTGGGTGGCAGATTGCTGAGCTGGCGATTCTCGTGCTAATTGGATGACTTTGCAACCTCTGGCACTGTACTGAAAAATAATGCTTATCAGGACCCAAAGCTGCTAACTAAACTGTCAGACTGAACTCCAACCATCCAAAAAAAAAAAAAAAGGGACAGACCAAACCAAACAGTTGTTGGACTAGACTAGCCAGTCTTCAAACGGATTTAGTATGAGCAACACAAAAGCCCAACCTGGTTGAGTTTGATCTCAGGTTTCCAACCCTTCCTCGTGTCCCACCCCCGTCATTTTTACAACCCTCCCTTCCCCTGTCCTGTATCACCCACTGTCTGGGCATAGCATTACCCTGATAGTCCCCCCTCAGGAAGTGAAGAGTTTATCTGGGCAGCTGGGTGCTGATAAGATAACACAGGAGGGGTCATGCTTGGGTGAGTGAGCAGGTAGCACTAGGGGCAAGTCATTGACGCTAATCAAAGCTATGCATCTGTCCTAGAACACATGCTAGGTCAGCCATTACATGTCAATAACAAAAAGGCAGCAACACAGGCGGTAGACACGTGCTTACAGAATGCATGCCTTGTTCATTCACTCGTATTTATGTACTGGATGACACGCATAGTAATGCACAACCACTTTGAGGGAATTCCAAAACCATCCACAAACAGCCACCGGGAACTAATTCCGATGCACACATACTCTGGTTGATGTCCTCGATGGCTCGACGAATTCCCCGGTCAAATGCTCGGGCGTCAGCCGGGCTCTGAAACGTCAGTCCAAACTTCTTGTCGTTGATCCGCCAGTGGTGGAAGATGGGGTTGACCTTGTTGTATATGAGGTTTTTCTGCAGGACACACTCCAGCACCACCTGGCAACACACAAGAGTTTAAGAGTAAGACATCATACTCAACAAAATAGCAGTTCCTCTGGTCAAGTAAAAGAAGTTAAAATGCAGGCAGATAATTGGAGGCGTTTTAAGAGTGGATGATAAAACTCACTGGGGGCCGCACATGTAAATCCTCCAATGCACTTCTCATTCTTATCTGTTTTTGTGTCACAATTCAAGCATTAAACAACTTAAACAGGGAAAGATTACGAGTAGAGACCTGCGTCTAGGACTACATACAAACCCAGGGTTTCAAAAATAGAAAACTATTTAGAAAAAAAACCTCCTGAGCCCAGCAATTTGAATTACCCGTTTGGATAATTTGTAAAACACATTCCAAATAGCGGGGTTTTCATAACAGATGATGATAAAGTTGGACAGGAGTGGTGGTGGTGGCAGAAGAAGGGGGGGGGGGAGAGTAGGGGGGTTGTGTATGTTTTGGAGCCAAGCAGCCCAAGTGTGTGTCAGAGAGAGAGGCAGTGTTTCCAAAGCCTATTATTAATCAGGGCTACTGGGCCGCCTCCCGGCTTTCCTCTAGGCAGATTAAATGAAATGAGAGACGGCCATTACAGTCTTTGAGGTTTTTTAACCGACGTGCACGAGAGGTGGCTTAATGGGGTGTGAATGTGTGAGCGTGCGCGAAGATAGAACTCCGGAGCGCTGGAGCTGGTGTGATGAAAAGCTCAATGACCCAAGTGCTCCAACACTGTGCATCTTTTTACGATCGCAAACCAATACTGGGTGTGGAGAAAAAAAAAGCAGATGGCACCCTTCCCCGTCGATCTGGACATGAGTCAAGAGTCACGTTCGCTTTGAGGGGCTGATACGTGGCAGCTGTATATGAGCTGGATGATATGTGATATGTGTGTCAGAGAGGGTTGCACACAGGTATACATTTCCTCTAAAGCATCAGAGAGAAAGCTGCTTTCACCCTTGTTGGCAAGAGTAACAAGTGTACTAAATTTTGTCTACCAGGATCTGTCCTTCTATCACTTTCCCCCCCCCCCCCCGAAGTTAAATGTTTAGCCTTTGAGTTTACCTAGAGCCGGAAGGATGGGGGTAGAGAGGGAGGGTAGAGGACTGGATGTGAGAAGGATGGGGCGGCAAGGGGAAAAGGGAGGGGAGATGGGAAGGTGGGGAGGGGGTGTTCTGCTGATTGTGGAGGCGAGACTGAATGGAGCCGGAGCAGGTAAGGTGAGCGCACAGCGGGGCAGACATAGAAGGAAGTATCACGGTTGCATGGAAAGGACGACATTTAACACCACATTCCACACTGTGCTCAGAGAAAAGACAGGAGGAGGAGCCACGCAGACAGAAAAAGAGATAGAAAAATGTAACTGAGACATGGGGGGGGGATATAGACAGGGCAGAGGTGAGACGCTATAGAGAGAAGTGAGGAGAGAGCGTGAGAGCTGAAACGGGGAAATAACCTGAGTTTACATGCATAGAAATTGGAAATTGAGCTACATAACAAATGCCATCAGAAATGACATTTTTATAACTTTTTGGACAGATTTCAATGCCAAAGGATTTTTTTATAATCGTATCTGTCTTGGATTGAAGTATTGATGTTTAAGCACTTAAACATCAGACAAAAATAGAGAAATAGAGAAACAGAGAAAATAGAGACATGGAGATGTTATGCAATAACTGAAGCACTGAGTTTTCAAGGCTTAGTAGGAGGCATTGAGTGCAACGGATACCAATTCTTGCCCTTCCACCAGACTTACAGTAAATAAACCATATCTCGCGAGCAAACATAATTCAAAACAATCAATCAATCAAGTGGAGTGTCAGAGGGAGTCTCAGATTAAAAATGACAGGAACCGTGAGAGCTATACCAGATAGTGTCATAATCAGAGAGCCTGTGTGATTTAGACATCATCAACCAATTAGGTCTGTAGTTTTTTAGAGAGTAAGTGAATCAGATTGAAGGAGAGAAAAAAAGAGAGAGGAGAGGAGAGGGAGGGGGGCGGGCGAGGAGGAGAGTGATTGGTAGCTATATGGAGAGCCAGCTGAGTCATCACCAGCACACTCTGTGCCGCATCACTGCGCTTATAGACAGATCCTCTCCACCTCTTCCGTCTCCCGTCTCTCTGGCTCCACCTCTGTTTCCTGCTCTTTGACTACATGCATCTCATCTCTTTTCCCGATTCATCTTATCCTACGCGCCCAAAACATCACATTTCTACCAACCGCAACTGTGTCTTAGTGATTTCAACTAAGTCCATCTCTTACTTATATTTCTCTGTCTTGCTCTGGTTCCTATCAGGGATCAAGGGATAGAAGGTCGTCTATGTGTATGCCAATTTCTGTCTGAATTAAAACATTGACATCCTCTCCCTTAGACACCTTCTCTTTCTGTGTTTTAGACATAACAAATCATACCAAGCAATCCTTCAAACATTCAAAAGCTAGTCCTCTTTTTCACTCATACAACATAATTATGGTTCTTTATTTACCCCTGAAATCAAAACACCGTCGTTACCGTTTTAGACAACACTGTGGTAACAAGTAGATATTGCCCTGTGTTTTCTTCCGCCTCTTGCTAACATGTTCTTATGTGGTTTTGTCTGTTTTTGTTGCATTCATGGATTCACCCTCTCCTCCTTCCAATGCCCTCAGACTGTTGGTAGCACTGTGGTCGACGCCAACACCATGGCATTGGGTGGCATCCCGACAGACCTGCATATGGCAGGGTGTTTGTTGTGGTGGCTGAGGGGTAGACTCTGGCGGTGATAGGGGTGTTTTACCACATCCCAGAAGAGATGCCGGGGTCTCTGAGCCATGTCTTTACTCTGTCTGAAAAACAGCATTCCCGTCACACCCTTTTCCTGTGCCACACACATGCTTGGATAGCAACGCAGAAAACACAAACACGCCGTAAACACTAAACACACATAAAATGTGATCAGTCAAAGAAGTTTTTTTTTTTTTTTTAAAGGAGGAGATTTAGACGCCCTGCTGGAACAAGCCTCTAATGTTGGGATCATGGTGGCCCCCTTGCTCTCCTGATATCTAACAAACAGTTGTCTCTCTGACAAACACAGATTTACACTCTCATTATCACCAGACCAGGATTATCCCTGTGCATCTACTGGATCTTTTTTTTTTTACATCTCCAACACAGAATGAGTCTGTGACATGAAGGTCATAATCTTGACAGCAATGACAGCAAAAACTGCGAGGATTAGGACTACAGAAACAGATCGACTGTGTAGAGTTTTGTGCGTGTATGTTCATGCTGTACATGATGCAATCAAAATGTGTAAAAACTCTAAATCAAAAAACATTATCTGTTAGCAACTAGCAAAGACTGAATTCAAAATCCTGCAGTTTACACCAATGTTAAGCCTGTAAGCATGCCTTAAATAAGCAACGTGCAGCGCAGCAGAGGACTTGCATGGAAACTGTCCAAATAAAAATCAATTGACCCTTTATTCAACCCATTATTGATAGCTATCCACTATCATGCTGTGTAGCTACAGACCTAGCGCAAATATCAAATTCAACTAACTGTGGAGTGTTTAAAGAGGACCCCCAAAATCAACAATTTCTCCAACTGTTTCTACACTGACGAGTTGATCAGGTGGGGTAAGCATATCCAAAATGGCGAACACCATTGTTCAACTTCTAAACGCCTCTTCAGAAACCAATAGATGGCATCACTGAGACCATGTTCATACAGTCCATGCCCTACAGATGGGGTTATTAGTTTTAGTTATAGAATTACCAGAAGATAATTTCCCTTGCTTTTTTTTCTGAAACATGCCATTTTTACGTCACAAAAGCAGAAATGCTGTCAAAAAAATGGTGGACTAATACTTGCGTACACATGGAAAAACCGAGTCAGTGTTAACTTCCGGCCCCTATTCCATTGTTTAGGTCCTTTCTAAGCTTTTAGTGCATTTCCCACATCCCACATCCCTCATCCCACATTCTTTGCTCCTGAGTAATCCATCCTTCTCTTTAATGATATCATCATGCATCACAACATCACGCAGTTCGCTCCTATTTTCAGATACCTGCACCATGGAGGAAAGCCAAACAACCACTTCCTGTGTGAGTGAGTGTGTCAGTGGATGAGACAGAGAGAGGGGGAGTCTGGGAAAGAGGTGGGGGTCAGGGTGACCTCATAGGAGGGAATGCAGCATCTCTTGTTTATGCATGAAAGAATCGACGCAGCGTAGCGGTACCGGTTCCCTTACCAGTTTGTCTTTGAGCCTCTCGCCCTTGATGTGGAACTCCACAGAGGTGGGACTTGGACTGGGACTAGGGCTCGGACTAGGACTCGAGCTACAGGGGCTGAGGTTAGTGCTGCTTCCTCCGCTGCCTCCGCTGTGGGTGCTGCCGCTGTCCTCTCCCCGGCTGACCTTATAGACGGTGACACAGCTAAGGCCTCCGCCCCCCAGGGGAAGCCACCCACCGCTGGAGTCATCCCGAGTCATGACCACTGCTCTCACGCGCGCATAACTGTCACTGTGGAGGAGGGAGAGAGGAGAGCAAGGTGAGGAGGGTGGAAGGAAACAAAGAAGAGTGCTTTTAGTAGACATAATCAGTAGTGATCAGCATCTAAAAATGTCTACCTTGATATTTTCCTTAAGGGTCTTTTAACTTGGATTACAAAACATCAAAAGCGAACAGCCTACATGAAATATCAGCCCACATACAGCTGAGTTGTAGTACAGTACATGGAGCGTAGCCTACAAAAAAAATGGTCAGTGAATTTGTAGTAAGGAACAATATACAGGTGGACAAATGTGATAAAGCCAGTAGAGGATCTAAGTGTCTCTAGAATCACATTTGCTCAACAGTTTGAGCATTCAAACACAATTCACAACACCCTATACAATAGAAGCTGATGCTTGGATAACATAAAACAGATGAAACCATGAAGGACATCTGGCTGGTCCAGCAAACTATTAGCAACAAGCCAAGTCTAAAATCTACATCAATATGAGGGAGCAAAGTCAAGGGTTAAACTGTAGTTCAAATGTATATTTAGCACATGATACAACAGACTAGTGGCTACGATTTCTGAAGTCTGATGCTGTCAGTGTATGTTTAACCACGGACTGAGGGTGACTGACCATGTGGCCAAGTTCAGCCTCTGGACACAGACGGATTTCAACCTTTTCCCTAAAGCGGCTGTTTCAAAGTGGACCAAACGTTTCAGAGGCTTCTACTAAGATCAGCTCATTTCCAATGATTCAACAACTCCTGTCTCACTCTGTCTTTCCATGTCAACTGGGACTTTGAATGGTGTGGAATGTGATGCAATGAATTCAAATATAAATTCAATTTAAGGGAAATGTACAAACAGACAAAGTGTTTTTTTTACAAAGCAGATAAGGAACGTGAAGGGCATTATTGAATAAGGCTTTAGGTTTCAGTGATTCATTTACAGCTGATGTGTACATGTGAACAGAAATGCATAAAGACGAACAGAAACAAGTGTCATCATTGAAATGTCAATCAGCTAATAAAATTGAAAATGTTATTTTTTCTAGAGATGGGAGTGATCTGATCTAATATCAGTATTGGGTCTCGCTTTGAAGACGCTCAGACTGAACTACAAGTGCCCACGAATCGTCTACATCAGGTCATTCAGACAAGATGGAACAGCTCAAGTACAATTCTTGCACTTCAGTTTAAAATATTGAATTTGACAACCTGCTAATTGTTGCTGCTACCCGTTTATATGTGAAGCCAGCACAACGTTCAAATACATTTCTTTGGAATTCTATTTTCTCTTGGAATATGAAATGCAATGTGAAGTTCACTACAGCTTTGTGTAACATTACACATTACACCAACAACAATTACAATACTTATGATAATAAAAAAAAAATATCGGTATTGGCACATATGTATCTGAATCAAAACGAAAAGAAGTGGATAGAACTTTTTTTTTTTTCAATATTCATTTTAATATTCTACATTTAAAAGTCTCAAAGAATTAAAGCAAAAAAGGTCCTACTGGAGTCCCATGAACTGAATGAATGGCTACATTTTCCCAGTGATTCGTACTCTGTATCACACCATGATTTACGTCAACTTATTTTTTGACTGAACTTCATAACTTCAACTCTATAGACTGACTTCACTTGAAGTCAGATTTTCACCTCATTAGATAACACAGACTGCAGCAGGCCACCGGAAATGACAAAGGTCAGGGTGTGCTGAGGGCAGCATTTTGCACAGTCTCTGGGTAAAACATTAAATACTGGAGAAGATTCGAGAGCTGACAGAAATGGGCAAAGGAGTTAAAGAGTTTGGCTGCCGGATGTTGCCTGTGACACTTTGCTCTCTGGTCAACCAAGATGACGTCACATGTTCTGAAACACCTCAAAAGAATTCCTTCAATGAAATTGGGATTAAGGGAGAAATATTTCGCCTACTTGTCACATTAAATAAATGAAGAAGTGAACCAGGGGTTTCTGCTCTTTCCTCCCACTCACTGCCTCTCCTCTCTTTGTCTTGTCCTACCCTATAAAACTTACCTTTGGCCTCCTGTCTTCCACACCCTGGGCAAACGTCAGTGTCCAGGTTATTGGTTAGTAATTAATCTAACAGCCAGAGAGCATGAAATCTGGAGCTAGTTTTTTTTTAATCATGTGAATGCTTTGATATCCTGGAACCTGGAAATAGTTTACCAGTTCCAAGAAACCACAGAATAAACAAATCTTAATAAACCAACTGACAAAACACTGCTTTTCGGAAAACCAGACTCTTTAAGTCATAATTATCTCCCAGAAGACACTATGAAAGAGGTCACAGAAGGCTATGAACTAACAAATAACTATCCCCCAGATATGCATCTTACATCTTTTCTTACATACAGCTTTACTGTTTTTGTTTACTCTCGCAGCTGTGGCATGAGTCTCTGAAAACCTGTTGTAGAATACCTGCTCAACACCAAACAAACATTACACAAACTGGTAATGACTATCAGGTAAACAACGTTGACAACCTAAAATACTTGTAAGGGATTTCGGTCAGCTGTTGGAGGAGACCAAAAATAGTGCTAAAAGAATGAGTATTAGACACAAAGCCAAATGCTTTAATGCTGAACATGCATAGTTCTGGCCTTATTTAAGTAAAAGTGATGATAGGTCAATGATGTGTTGACAACATGTTACTAAGGTTGGTCGTAAAAATACATTTTAAACAAAGGTTTAGTCAAAGAAAATCCGTCAAAAAAATATGTTCTTGTAAATTTCCATAATTAAAAGTGCATTTTACATGTCCAACATCTTTACACTTTTCATGAGCATAAACCTGTATGCAGTTAACTAACGATAGAAAAAACGTGATAGGAGAGGATTGGGAAAAGAGGTGTGTTTGGGAAACAACCAAAGCTTGGCTGGCTCTCTTGTACATGAACAGTACATAAACTCGATCTGTGCGTTCTTCTTTTAATTAAAAGTCTCTAGTTGATGGTCAGCTTTATGCAAGAATCTGAACCAACAATTAAACAATGAGTGGTTTGAAATTTGTTCTTTGCGATATTTGAGTTGATTTAGAAATGCTAACCGCAAACTAGCTAGTAGTTAGTCACGGTTTTAAACATTCTTTTATTCAGCACAATTGGCTGCTCTAATGCAGCCGTTTAATTGTGTGATCATAGTGGTCGCGTGTAACAGTCTATGCACCGTGCGGCAGTCACAGGATATAGGCGTCACTCTCCCTTCCATTGGGTCGAGGTGAATTCTCCGGGTAATATCCTGCTGCGTTCTCACATTAGCTCACTCGGATAAAATACTAAGAGGGCTGGCAGGAGAAACTCCGGGTGAAGTCCTAATGAAAAATGTGGCTGTTTACGTTCACACATACAGCTCCTCCGGCAAATATCCAAAGTTTTTCAGCTAGTTTTCTGCAAGTGTTGTTAAATGGAAACTTAAATAGCATAGGATGAGGTGAAGGGAGATCTTCTATCAATGGCATCTCTAAATGTAATTTACAGTTTAGAGAGTGTAAAACAAAGACCTGCCTGTTAAATTATCCAATTAAAACACATATCTATACATCCTGTTCTGCTTCTGAATCAAAACTTGCAAACAATCATTGGTTCGGACTGAATAGCTATAAAAAGCTTCAAAAATGTTAAATTTGCTATAGCTGCGTGTAACACTGCCTGTTCAGGGTTGACGGTTTGCCAATGTGTCTATATTTCCAGCAAGCTTTTTAAGTCATGGTGCAAACAAAATTGGACAACACTGAAAGTCTGTTGCTTGTTATTATAGCCACGCAATCCAGGGACGTTTTTAAACATTTGCTTTGATTATTCTGCCACCAAATTTGCAAAATGATCCAAAAATAAGCAACTGCTCTGCCAATCAAAAATATGCTCAAATAATAATGGATGGCAGGGCTGGAGCATTACAGATAGAGAGTTTATCAAGCTATTAACATTCAGAATCTAACCAAGTGACCTCATATCACAGTTCTCGGCACTCTTTCTCACATGCTTGCCCCAAACTAAAACAGACTGGTCATGAGAGACTTGCAGAAAAACACAACCACAGCTAACTTCCCTCTTGCATCCTTTCTGGTTGCCCTTATTTACAGCGCCGCGGACATGGTGCTTAACCTATCATGAGAACCTCTGCCATGGCAGGAAAGTGCATTTTTGAGCAGAATAACAGGCAGTAAAAAAAGGAAATACTGCTGCTGTTACAACCCTTGATGGCCCCTAATAAAAAGGATGCGGGTGATGGGTGCAGGAGGGGCTGTCAATCAGGCGGGGGTCCCTGGGGTGAACAGAAGGCAGGCGGTGGTGTCGCTCAGCCATGACCAGGGCACAATGACCAGGACCTGACCCTTCAGACCATCACACACATGCCAGCAACCGGGGGGGGGGCAGGCCCGGCCCGGAGAGGAAGTGAAGTGGGTCGTGTATGTGTGAATCAAGTTCGAAACAACTAATTCAATAAAGATAGTTATTGCAGTAGTTAAGTAGTTAATAATGCAAATCTATTCTTAAACTTGAAAACCAACAAGTCAACCAAAATCTACAACAAACAAACAACCTAGTTTAATTTAAAAAAAATGTCTTTATAACAGGAGAATAAAGGCTTATTCCATCCCTCGTCCAATCCTGCATATACATATTTCCCCATTCTTATTTTTTTTAAAAAGAAGAAAGATTGTGAGCTCCAACGGGGTATTTGACTGCAACCTGCTTCAACACGAACACACACACACACACACAGGGTTCAGAGTGGGAAAGCGGAGACAAAGGCCTCCCTCCACGCCCCTTTCTGGGAGCGCACAATCGGCTGGACACACAATTGAGAGCGGAAGCAGATCAGCTGGCCTGGGACTGTGGGCAAGGGGGAGGGAGGGGAAGGGGGAGGGAGAAGGCTAGAGAGAAAAGGAGCCCCCCCATTCCAAATTATTCCAAGTTATTCTGCTGGATGACTGACTTCATTTCCGACCGAAAGCAGGAGAGACACACAGGGGGAGGGGGTGAGAGT